AAAACTATAAAACTAGTATAAGAACTATATCAAAGGCAATAGTCCGTATAATACCTATATTATTCTAGACGGCTATGCTAGCTATACTAACTATATATATAATTCTAGCGTTTCTAACTATAGCTTTAGTAAGTTTCGTCTTAACCTATATATAACTAAATATAAATCTAATCTATTCTATATAGCCCCGTCCCCCTCGAAGCAACCTGCCGTAGAGATTTATACTTCTACCCCGAGTAGTAAGAAGTTATACGTCTCTTATACGGAGTATAACTTTCTTAACGCAGTCCGTAGCGTTAAGCCTAAGCATATACGACTTATTAGAAATACGTTAGTTTCTATCGTAGACAAGCTTGCTAATATTAAGTATAGTACGTTATTATATATATCTAATACCGTCTATATATCTTTACTAACTATAGTTATATATAGATAAGAACGAAAACATCGAGATTAAGCTTTATTACGACTAAGCAAGACCTTATAAAATCCTATATAACCGTATAACAACTAGAGATAACGTAAACATATATTTATATAATGCTATAAATACCTACTAAGGCGTATAGAATCGGGAATCTAGTATATAGAAACGATAGGTATACTTACAGGAATGGGAGGATGGATACAGGCGTTTACGGTTGGTAACTTTGGTTTGCGGGTCGGGCACTTCTGTACAGGGTTTGGCACCCCTGTACAGAAGCGTAGGACTGTCCGTACCCTTGCGTTTTTAGGTTTTTTTTAAAATACCTAATTCGTATTTCTTTACTAATATCTATATTTTCCCGTTCTCCTTCGTAAATCTCCGTATAGACTATTATAATACCTTACTATAGCTAGCCGGCTACGTATCGACCTTACCCCTTTTTAATCTATTATTACTAAAAAGTTCTAGAATAGCTAGACTTATTCTAATATAATTATATATCTTTCCGAATTATTCTAAATTTAGGTCTCTCCGTTAATATTTAAACGTTTCTTATAAAGCTTAAACCTCCGCCGCGAAGTCCGTACAGAATTTTCCAGCGCCTTACTACAACGTATCTTCCAGCTCTTCTTTGATCATAGGCTATCCGATTTAGATATTCTTTTATACTTACGGACGGAAGGCTTCACAGTCTCACAACGTGGCTTAGAAGATATTCGAAAATGCTATAAACTATAGCGCCGTCAAACCCCCGAGTAGCTTTAAGCAGTATTTTACTAAGCTATAAACTTCCTTGCCTTTATAATAAGTAATAAAGCACGCGTTATATAAGACTTTAGCCGAGAATTCCTCTTTATATATATATGCTAACGTAGCTATATTATTAGCTACTCGGTCTTATATAAAGCATATCGTATAGTTTTTCCCGAGGAAGTTATAAACCGACTAAAAGAGATCCGATACCAGCGGAAAGGTTAGACTATGCTAGGTCTAAACTTTATATAGTTACTCGATATATATAATAAACTACTTCCGTTTAGGTTTAAGATATATACTAGCATTGATATATACTCTCGTTATATTATATAGTTTTACGTTAGGTTTTTGTTGGAACGGTAGGTAGGAATCTCGTAGATAGTACGATATCCTTATAACAGGGTATTAGAGTAAGGGAACTTGTACTTATGAAGTAGGGCTTTAATAGTAAAGAATGTATAGGCTTATATTGAAGCTGAGTTGGTTGAGGAACTAATAGCTAGCTAAGGGAGAGAATTAGGCTAGTTATATAGTAGTATAACGTCGCCTATAATAGCTAATATAGGAAGCTATAAGCTAGGTTTAGTATACGTAAGTATATACGTCAACTAGCTTATAAAGCAGCTTATAAATCAGACTAGAATCTTCTTTAACTAAATAGACTTTTAGATAAGGTTAAAGAGAGTATTCCATAGGGATCTGAATGTCATATGTTTAAACTAGCAAGCAGCCATTCTTAGCTAGTTACTTTTGTAAGTCCTACTAAGTCTTAGATAAGACTAAATAGGATAAATAAGTAAAATAGAAGTATAATATACTTATACTTCTAACAGTTTTCTATATATAAGCTTATTCTATATTAGCTTAATATCTATCTATACTTCTATTACAAGGTATTATGCTATAAACTATTCGTTTAGACCGTAGTATAGAAACTATCTTAACTACTAGTAGTTATTAATATCTATTATAAAACTATATAAAGAAAGCCCCTTTATAACTAAGCTAAGACGTTCTTATTTAGTTCCGTAACTATTAGATCTTTAGTAAAAGTATCTATAATGTTAAGATTAAAGCTAGTAGAACTAACTTTGTTAAGCATAGTCTATAACTTAGAAAGTACGTATTATTTACCTTTATATCTATTTATTTACTAATAGTATTAAGCATATTTCTATCGATTATAAGTATTAGGTTTATTTTATAACTAATCGCTTTCTAACCGTATTACCTTATTATTTATCTTTATACTACTTATCCGTAAAGACTTTACCTCTTTTATTTAACTTAGAATAACTATCGTATTTGCTTATAAAAAAGTCGCCTATATATTATTTCTAGTTAACTATAGAAACTTTATTATTATCTAGATTATTAAACCGTATAAGACTTTGCTTAGTGTTACGGTCAGCTATCCGACAGTAGGGTCTGCTAACAGAAGTTGGGGATTGACGCTAGTAAACAGTATTGTCGTGTCGTAAGTCTGGTTCGTAGGTCGTAGGCTATGTCGTAGATCGGTAGTCAGAGGCTAAGGTGATCAATCTTAGGCTCAACAAGTATTCGCAGTGAAGGTAAGCTGAAAGTATCTTGAGGATGAATACAAAGTTGATTGCTGAAGAGCTATGGAAGTCTGACTATGAGTCGAGCTCAGGTCATACTATATACAAGTCCGAATAGTACCCTTTGTTTGTTTTACCGTTCCTGATCCTGACGGGGTCCGTTCCTCGTTCATACGGATCCCGTATATACCAAGGACAGACTCCGTATTCTTGGCGTACGGATCTAATCTCTTATCTTATCGTCACGTGACTTGCACTATAGTTCTTCCGTTTCCGAGTGAATCCCTGTTGTTCCTGTGATTCTGCAGTACAAATGTCCTGTTACAGCCGCCCCAAAACATCAACAACAGCGAGAACGAAATTTTTGAAAACAGCATCAAATTGATCAAACCACGCCCGCTCGCGCTCTCAGAGGTCACTTTGGGCATAATGTCATCCTCGGCATTGATTCTGCTCCCAAAGAGCCTGCTCGTGGCCGCGGGCGGGCTCTGACCACGAAAAATTCGAGAGCAAGCCACAAAGTATGACACGTCAATAGACAACACCATCGACACCACCGCGGTTGAGTCACGGGCTATCACGTGAGCATAACGACCAAGCCCAAACAAACATCAACACCATAGCCACCGATAGGTTATGGGTCGCCTATCACCCCCGACAAAGTTTGCAACGTCCCGCGACAACAACGACGACAAGCCCGACAGAACGGTATCACCTCCTGCATAGAGAAAGCACCAGACACCAGGCATGCTACGATCGATGCCACAAAATACTACAGTTTGCAGACAGATTGGTCCCCTGTCGCCCCCTCCGCGAAGAAGGATTGTCGCCCCTTCAACGTATGACAATGTCTGCGGAATCTGTGTACGAGCTCTCATACTTAGTAATCGGACGAATCGAAGCGGTTGGAGCATTGTGTTTTGCGGATTGAGTCCGACTCTAGGCGGTGGATGGAGGTGGTGGTCGAAAGATGGAAACATAGAGCCACATAGGAACCCAGCATGAGGCAACAAAAAGATTTACAGATTCAACTGAGATATAGCACATGCGAGTCTGAGAGGATGCGGACAAGATAAAGAGACGAAGCTGAGGGCTGGGGGGAGACTATAGGTATACAGAACCAGACATGGTGCCTAGCACCAACAGAACCGAAGTAGGAGGACGCGAAAGAAGGATTCTAGAAGGCAACACCAAGCGAGAGAGCAGGCAGGAGGACAACAATCTTCAACAGAGGGCATAAACACACAAGAATAGATAGCATAGTAGGAGCTTGGGGACAGCTGGTCCTGATCTAACAACAGGGCGAAGTGGGGCGTCGCGGTTTATCGTCGATGCTTCGGCTGTCTGCCAAACCCCGCTTTCCGGGCATAGCTGCTAGCATAAGAGCGGCTTCATAACCGTGTAGGAATCAATCAATCAATCAATGTTACAGCCGCCCGACGTCCAAGTGGGTCTTTCAGCTGTTATCCTTGTTTACGGGTCGTAACATCAGGTCCCCTCTCTAAAGGTCTTGTCCTCAAGACCCAACATAAGTAGGTCGTTGGTCCCAGGTTGGGGATCCGTCAATCGTGCTTCCCGATTTACCTATGATGCTGACACCATGTCAGGTCGCGTTCAAAAATCGAAACAATCCAAGTCGGCACTTCGTTCTGCTTGTGAAGACGTTTTTTATCGCTTTGGTTCTGACGACGTTATGCCGTGTACTTACTGCTTCCGTGCAAAGCGTACATGTCGGATGGCGGAGGGCGCAAAAACTTGTCAGGGTTGTAGAAACCTGAAGCGTCCTTGTGATGGTCTCGTGGTGGCGTCTAGTCGTGAGTCTTCGTGGCGTTCGTGTGCCCGTGTGCGTGCTGATTGGTCGTAGTGAAAAGGCTAAGCGATCAGCGTCAGGAGTGGGAAGAGAAGGAGGAGCAGGCTAGTGATGCACTGCTGGATCTTCATGAAAAGTTGGCGCGGGTTCAAGCCGAGGTGGCTGAAGCGGCTGGTCGATTGTCGCGGATCCGCGCGATTCGGAAGAAAGTAAAGGAGCGGCATGTAGAGACGTTTTCTCGAGGGATGCAGGAGTTAGAGGAGGACGACGTTCTTCCTATATTGGATGCTTATGAGAGTGGTGTGGTTGGTGATCTTTAGTTTCAGGGTGTGGAGAACAATCCGGATTAGGCGAGTTTTGGCATTGGCGAGGAGTTTGCGGATCTTGGCCCTTTGTTGGGGGATTCGCAGTTGGTGTCTTCTAGTAGTTCTTAGTTGCTTTCTGGTGTTCCTAGGCGAATAAATGGTTTTCCTTGTCGTAGTCTGTCTGCTTCCGTTGGTAGTCGCACATGCTTGTAAGGTCGCCTGATGCGCTGGTAACCGGTGGTGTCTGTTGGGGCTGTTGTTGCTGGCGCTGCTGGCGTCGTTTCTCGTTCTTGGTGTTGTTGCCAGTAGGTCGCGAGTTCGTCCTTCGCATTGGTGATGTTCTTGGCTGGTTCCCATGTGTTGTCTTCGTAACCATATCCTTTCTACTTGATAAGGTATTAGTATCCTTCTGGTTCTTCAAGGTAGTCGATGATTCGTTCGACTTCGTACTCTGGTTCGTTGTCTTCCACAATAATAAGGTCGTTTGTCTATGATCCTTGTAGTGCTGGTTCGAGTAGCGAAATATAGAATGTTGGAAAACACTTTATCGTGTCGGGTAGGTCGAGTTCGTAATTGACTAGTGAAACTTTTCGGAGGATCTTGAAAGGTCCGAGTTTTTTGAAGTCTAGTTTGTCGTTCGGTCGTTTTGTTTTGATGTTTCGCCGTATGAGGTAGGCGCTATCTCCCTCTTTCAAGGTTAGTCCCTCAATCCTTCGTTTGTTGCTGAATTTCGTCATTCGTTGTCGCACGAATTCGAGTTCTTTGCATGCGTTGTCTTGGATATCCTTGATTTGTTTAACTGTGGCGACAGCCTTGAGTGCTGCTGGGCCAGCTTGGGGTTTTCCATAGGCGGTTGGTTTAAATCCGTAGTTGAGGTAGAAGGGGGATTCCTTAGTGCTTTCTCCGATTGCGCTGTTGTAGGCAAATTGGGCTATTGGTAGGAGTACTACCTAATTATCCTGGTTGTAATTGATATAGGCGCGGAGGTAGGTTTCGAGGATCTGGTTGACTCTTTCTGTTTGTCCGTCGGTCTGCGGGTGAAATGCGGTGGACATTGCTTGCTTGATGCCGAGTTGCGATGTAATTGATTTCTAAAATTTGGAAGTAAAGATCTTGTCTCTGTCTGATACAATTTCCTTAGGTGTTCCGTGATTAGCGATGATGTACTTGAGGAATGTATAGGCGAATTCTTCGGCGTTGCTTGCTTCCTTGTACGGGATAAAGTAGGCGTACTTCGTGAGTCTGTCGACGATAACGAGAACGCTGTCAAAGTAGACTCCCGTAAGGGGTTCTCGAGACTTCGGTAGTTTGATAATAAAGTCGAGTAATATAGAGTGCCAGGCGGTTTGCAGCACAGGCAAAGGTTGTAACAATCTATAAGGTTAGTGTCGGGCTGGTTTGCTTTTAAGGCAAACCTCGCAATCCTTAATTGCTATTGCGACACGTTCTCTAGTGACCTTTTCTCCATATTGTTGTCATAGTCGTTTCTAGGTTTTTGTGATTCCTTGGTGACCGTGTGCTGGCCGAGCGTGGAACTCCATGATTGCTTCATCGTCCAGTCCGCTAGTCGAGCTAGCACTAGATCGTCTAGCTATCATCAAGAGTTTTATAGCGGGCACGAGGTCTCCATTCTCGTTGTGTTTAAGAATCACCTAGGTCTTGTTTGGTACCGGGACATTGTAGTCCGGTCGTCGGCTGAGGGCGTCGGCCCTGCCGTTCTCTGATCCTTTCCGATAGATGATTCGGAAATTGAATTCTGAGAGGAATTCTGACTATCTAATTTGTCGTTTATTAAGTTCCTTCGAAGTAGTGAAGTGGGCTAGGTTCTTATGGTCCGTATACACAAGTACTTGGTAGATGGTTCCTGAGAGTTAGGGTCGCCATTCCTTAAATGCTTCGATGATTGCCATGAGTTCTTTGTCGTAGATCTGGTAGTTAAGTTCTGATCCGCGGAGCTTGCATAAGAAGAAGCCACAGGGGTACAGGCGTCCTTCTGAGTCTCGTTGAGATAATTGTGCTCCTAGCGCGAAATCTAAGGCGTCTGTTTCCACTTCGAATTATTCTAGTAGGTTAGGAATCATCAGGACTGGTTTGCTAGTAATGCGGTCCTTGATTATTTGAAAGGCGGTTTCCTATTTTTCTTTCCACTCGAATAGTTGGTCTTTCTTGCTAAGGTCCGTAAGGGGTGCGTTGATTTTTCCGTAGAGTCTGATAAACTTTCGGTAAAAATTGACGAATCCGAGGAATCCTTGGACTTCCTTGAGGTTCGTCGGTGTCGGCTATTCTTTAACGGCTTGAACTTTCTTTTTGGACATGCTGATGTGTCCGGGAGTAATAGTGAATCCGAGGTATTCTACTTCTTGGGTGTGAAATGTGCTTTTCTCGGGTTTAACCAGGAGTTTAGCGTCTTAGAGGGCTTGAAGTACGAGGTGTACGTGCTCCTTGTATTGTTCCATCGTTAGTAAGAAGATGAGGATGTCGTCAAGGTAGACGACTACGAAGATGTCTACGTATTTCCTGAGAACTTGGTTGATCATGTTCTGGAAAGTGGCTGGGGCATTGGTGAGACCGAAAGGCATGACGAGGTACTCGAAATATCCTCTGCGTGTTCTGAAGGCGGTCTTCTATTCTTCTCCTTGCTTCATTCTAATAAGGTTGTAGGCACCCTTGAGGTCTAGTGCCGTGAAGTAGTTGGCTCCGTAGAGGAGTCGTTGTAGTTCTTCGATTAATAGTAGCGGGTACCGATTTTTAATCGTCATTTCGTTGAGCATTCGGTAGTCGACACAAAGTCGTAGTTTTCCGTTCTTTTTTAGTACGAATAGAATTGGGCTTCCTGCTGGTGATGTTGATTCTCTGATATAGCCTTTCTCGAGGTTTTCGTTAAGGTATTTGTCGAGGGCTTCTATTTCTGTTGGGTTGAGTCTGTAAATTTTGTTGAACTTGGGTTCCTTCCCCTCCTTAATGGGGATTTCGTGATCGAAATTCGTGTGTTCGGGCAGTCCGGTTTCTAGTTCGGCTGCGAAGAGTTTTTCGTAGACTCTGTATTCTTCTAGGATAGACAGAAGTAGATCGTCTTTTTATTCGAGATCCGTTTGCTTTAATGGTCGTGATGCGGCTTCTTTCGCCTTGAGGTAGCAGATGTATCGTTTTGCTGTTCTTTGGTGGGTGGATCTGTTTGAGGCCTGGGTTCTGCAGGGCTGCTCAGGGACTAGATCGTCGTTATCCTAATAGAGTTAGCCTGTTCTCTAATCTATCCGTGGGTTGTTCTTTTCCAGCCATGGTATTCCTAACACAATGTCGTATGCACCGAGTTCGGCAATGTCGAATTGGAGTTGTTCGTTTCGATCTAGGTAACTTATCTCGAGGGGCGTAGTCTCGTTTTTGATGGTTCCTCCTTCGTACTGGACTTGTTCTCCTTCTATGTTGCTGAGCTGGTACGTGTGTTCCTTCTTCTGCCATGGTAGTCGTAGTCGGTTCACCGCTTGGGGTGACACAAAATTCATTTCGGCTCTGCTGTCGATGAGCGCGATGGTTGTCGTGTCGTTGATAGTAACTGCGAGTTGCAGGTGTACTTTCTGGTCTAGGAATGCTAGACAGATGGACCTTGTCGTTGTTGCCTGTCTCGGTCCTTTATCGGTAGGCGAGTCTAGTTTTTTGACTGCTCTAGTTGTCTTGGGTAGGTGATGTGCTTCCCTTCTCGTCGTGCCTTCGTGAGGCGATTTTCCTGGAATCGGAGCCTCGGGGGGCTTGATCCTTCTTGTAGGAGTCTGTAGGCTTTTGCCTTTTGGGTTGCGTGGATGAGGCATTCGTCCGTTCGACATTCTTCCCACTTCATGTTTTTGTCGTGGGTGTACCTCATGGGGTATTGTCGGCTGGGGGTGAACGTGGCGATGTTGCCGTCGAACTTCCTGAGTTCCTACCCTGTGAGAGTATGGGCGGTGTAGACGTTTCGTAGGGGGGTGTTGTCGTATTTCCTGGGTTGGAAGTGGTGTTCGTATTTTTCTCCTATGTGCGTCTCGCAGTGGTCGAAGAAGCACTGGGCCTAAAAGAGGTAGCGATGGCTTGGGTCCGTGATTCTGAGGTAGGGGTGATCTTCGATCCTGAGTTGCGGGGTGTAGTGCGTCCTGGGTCCCATGTTTGGCACGCTATAAAGTTCGATGAATTGCTTATTATTGTGCTGATTTACTTGCTTGTGTGTAATGCGTTCGGGGGTGTTGTCCTTCTCGGGTTCCTCTTCAGAGCTGGTGTCGTCTATACTGGGGGTGAGCCTATAGGCGATCTCCGTCTGAGCACGTTGGCGGGCAACGTCACGAGGTTCGTCCGAGTCGTAGGGTGAATCTTCTCCTTCTCCGAACGTCTAGTTGCTGGTGAGACTGAGGATTTGTTGTTTAGTCAGGGGGTCGTGCTGATATTCAGGTTCCTTATCCGAATCTTCTTCGTTCTCGAATTCCCTGATTCGATTTATTTCGCGTTGAACTTGTGCTTCGGAGTCTCTGATCCTTTGTCGGGTTTCTTTATCGTAACCCATGGGATTGTCGTAGGTAGCTTGCCTTGAGGTGATGCGTAGGGCTGACGAGCCTGCGGGTTTAAGTTGTTATACTCGTAGCCTCCCGTTAAGTTGTTCGGTGGTTTTTCTGATCATCTTGCTGTTGGCCCGGGAGGCCATTGCAAGGGTTTTGCTGGTGGGCTAGTGTCCTGTCATTTCTTTGTCGCTGAGGTGTACAGGGCATTTGTCGTCGTAGCATCCTGTCTACGATAGGGATGCGTGGGGTGTCTTAGTTGCTATACTAGCTTGCTTGGTTCGCTCGGGTACTGGCTTCCAGTTGGGCTTCTTGGGTTGTCTGCAGTCTCTGGCGATGTGTCCTATTTTTTCGCAATTGTAGCACTTGGGGTTCTAAGGTTTCTTGTCGTTGCTCTTGGTAGCGGCACTGAGGTCCATGGGTCCGCTGTGTTGTCCATAGGAAGTGCTTTGTCGGGTGTTGTTCCAGTTGTTGCGGGGTCTGTTGTCGTTCCGCTGGTTGTTGAACTTGTGCTGAGGCTGCCATTGGTACTTGCGTCCTGAGTTCGGGTTTTGTCTTTTCTCTCCTCGTTCCTTTCGTCGTTCGTAGAGGCGGTTGTCGATCTTGATAGCATGTTCGACGTAGGCGAGGAAACTAGGGGGTGTCTCTAACTTGGCTATTTCGTCCTTAACGTTATCTTTGAGTCCTTGGTAGAAGGCGAAGACCTTGCTTTCGTCGGTTATGTGGAGTCTTGCAGCTAATCGTCTGAACTCGGCGGCGTAGAGCGTGGCTGACTTAGTTTGTCGCAGGTGTGATAGGTCTCGCTCGGCCTGCCTTCGCTTATCGGGGTCGAGGAAGAGGGATTCCAGGGCTTTAACATAGCCTGCGAAGCTGAAGAAGATGCTTTTCACCTCTTCGCTATATTTTTCGACCGGGTTGTCGAGCCATTCTTGTTGCAGGGGCTCGAACCAGGCGAGGGCTCTTCCTTGTAGGAAAGTGGCCGCGTGCACCACGCGTTCGGTGTCGTTCTGGAAAGTGTTGATATGGAAGGCTTGGTAGGTCCGTACCTGAACTAAGTGTCCTTTAAGTTGTCCTGGGGTCCCGTCGAAGGTAGAGGGGGTGTTGAGCTTGAGGCGTTCGCGTCCTTCGACCGGGGCGGAAATCACGTTGGCGGCAGCTCGAAGGGTGTTGACTTCCTTCTCAAGTTCCTGAGTCTTGCGCGCTTGCTCCTGAAGTTCCTTGAGAGCAGTGGCGTTTTGGTTGAACATGTCGCGCATCTCCTTGAAGTCCTTGGTGGTTTTGTCGAGCTGTCGTTTGAGTTCTTCGGTGTCGTCCTCGCTGTCTGAGTCGTCCTTCATTTTCTGGTCCTCGACTTCCTGGGCCAGGCTCTGAGGAGCTTTTCCTCCAGAGGTGGATGAGGATCCGGGGGTAGGAGACTTGACAGAGGCGCGGGAAGACATTCTATACTGTTTAGTAGGTATTAATAGTCAACTTACTGAACAGGAGCAATCAAAGTGTTACGGTCAGCTATCCGACAGTAGGGTCTGCTAACAGAAGTTAGGGATTGACGCTAGTAAACAGTATTGTCGTGTCGTAAGTCTGGTTCGTAGGTCGTAGGCTGTGTCGTAGATCGGTAGTCAGAGGCTAAGGTGATCAATCTTAGGCTTAACAAGTATTCGCAGTGAAGGTAAGCTGAAAGTATCCTGAGGATGAATACAAAGTTGATTGCTGAAGAGCTATGGAAGTCTGACTATGAGTCGAGCTTAGGTCATACTATATACAAGTCCGAACAGTACCCTTTGTTTGTTTTACCGTTCCTGATCCTGACGGGGTCTGTTCCTCGTTTATACGGATCCCGTATGTGCCAAGGACGGACTCCGTATTCTTGGCGTACGGATCTAATCTCTTATCTTATCGTCACGTGACTTGCACCATAGTTCTTCCGTTTCCGAGTGAATCCCTGTTGTTCCTGTGATTCTGCAGTACAAATGTCCTGTTACAGCCGCCCGACGTCCAAGTGGGTCTTTCAGCTGTTATCCTTGTTTACGGGTCGTAACACTTAGCTAATTAATTATATAAAGATTTAAAAACTTTAAAACTTACTTAAAAGTAAAAAACTTAATTTAGATTAATTCCTTCCGTACGAAGTCTTTTAAGTTTATAAAGGTATTATAAAGCCTATATAAACCTTTCTACTAGTTATAAACTTTTATAGTATATAATATCTACGTATTAAAGCATATAACTTCCTACGGCAACGTCTTAAAGAATATATTAAGGCTAGGATTTAACTAAAACTTTACTTACTATTAAAACAAAATAAAGGTATTAAATAAGTAAAAAAATAGTTCCGTAGCTACAGGATTAGTATAGATAAACTTTATATATTACTATTAAGAAGTAATAATAGTTTAGAAATAAATAAAACTTAAATATATAAAGTATACTTAAACGATTATTTCCTCTTATTATACTACTATTTCGTCTTCTTCCTTATCTTCCTAGCTACCTCCTTTAAAAGTTATATCCTCCTAAATAATATCTATATAGCCTTGCTACTTAACTTATAAGTATATACGCTTATATAACTTTATTCCTTCTCTCTCCTACTTTATTACTTCTTATACTTTAAAAGAAGGCTTTCGTTCGGTTTAAGTTTAAATTTAAGTTAAAAATTTAAGCATAAGCGCTTTCGTAAATATATTAATAGTAAGTAAAAGTATTATACTAGTTATTACTATGTTAAGCGTATATTATTTTAGTCGTAACTTCTTTAATACTTATAGTTTAGTAACAAGCAGATCTACTTAACTTTCGGAAATAAGTACGATAGTATAAACGTCTTTATTAGGGGTAATTAAGGCTTTGCAAAGAAAGGTAAAAAGGTTTTTAGCCTTATATACTACCTTACGAAACTTATATATATCTATAAGATTTTTAAAATAATAAGCATTACCTTCTAGTTTCGGTTAAGGAATTACTTCTTAAACGTAAACTTTACTAAGACCTTACTTATTATATCTATATATAAAGTAAACTTAGAAGTTAATAAGAACTATAACTTCTTAATAAACTTTTTAATAAACTAAACCTAAGTATATATTCGAATAGTGTTGAATGGGCTCTCTGTACGATCGTACTGTCATAAATGTAGGGTGAACCAAAGATTCTATTTTCCGTGATTACCTTTCCTAACTAGATGTTGCCTTCCGTACGAACAGATATATCTCTGTCCATACCTAGACACGAGTCGTGCATGACAGGTAATAAACCATGATCCCTTCCTCAGACATTTAGGTGTTACAGGTGCTAGTCATGCCACCTATACACCCCTTTGCCTGTGACAGCCTTGTCGTACGGTCATGTGATTATCGTTATTCCAACAAATAGAGATTTTATCTATATCTATAATATAGAAAGATATAAGCTATAAGTAAATAATAATATCTATAGTTAGGTTTAGAACTAGTTTCTTCTAGGTTTACTAGATACTAGCTATACGCTCCTCTAAGCCTTTAATAAAAGTAGTAAGGAGACTATTATCTAGCTATATATCTAGTATATAAAGTGCTTGTTCGATCGGGTTAGTTATAGTATTAGAAAGTCGTATACGTAATGAAATCGTAGCTGTTAGAGTTTCGAAGTCGTTAGTATTTATAAGGTCGATTTTGTCTAGTTCTTATACTTAGGATAAATCGATTAAACAAAATACATACGTCTTCTACTTCTATAGTAGTTTTACTAAGAAGTAGTCTAGGTTAGCCTGCTTAAGGCACCTTAAAAACATATTCGTATAAAATATAGTAAATATTATTATTAAGAATTAAGAATATACTCCTATACGGTCTCGTAAAACTCTATATATATACGTATACGAAATATAGAATTTGCTTAAATTTATAATAATTACATAGTAAAGATAAGAAGCTTAACTATCTATACGGGTAGTATATGCTTATCTCGTTTATACATCCTAATTAGGCAATGTTTGAATTTTGACCTAGTGCGCCCTGCGGACTGCCGTACTTGTTACGGCCAGCTATCTGACAGTAGGGTTCTGCTAACAGAAGGTGTAGTAAGAGACTAACACTGGTTCGTAGAGGTCGTTCTGGTAGATCGTAGGGTTAGGGTAAGGTGATCAGTCTTACACTATGGTAACGAGGTTCTTAGTATTCACAATACTGAGAGGTAAGCTGAAAGTCATTCGAGGATGAATCACAAGTTGATTGCTGAAGAACTATCTAGAAGGCTTAAGCAGATGCTCAAGTCCTGGTCTATATACAAGTCCCGTTTCCCAATGTCTTAGAGAGTCTATAGAGTCGCTCGTCGACTCTATCGACTCTCTTCTGATTAGTCCTTTACAGGAGTCTACAGAGTCGCTCGTCGACTCTGTCGACTCTGTCCTGATTGGTCGATTGTCACGTGACTTGTAACGTAGTTCTTCCTTGCCGAGAGGTTTACCCTTGTTCCCGTGATCCTACGTACATATGTCCTGTCGTAGCCGCCCGACCCAGTGGGTCTGTTAAGTGCATCTGACGGGTCGTAACATCAGGTCTCCCCTCGATGGTCTTGTCCTCAAGGCCAACATAAGTAGGTCGTGGCTTCCCAGGTTGGGGAGTCGTCAATCGTGCTTCCTTGTTTATTCATAATGCTGACATCATGTCAGGTCGCGTTTAAAAATCCAAATCAAAGAACCCTGTGGCTTATAAGGAACTTAGCTAGCTTGTCGATTTGTTCGGGTTTATCATGCCTGTCCCTTGTTCCGGTTGCGCGGCTGCCGGTGTCGACTGCGTCGTTTCCGAAGTTAATTCTTCTCGTTGTTCGCGTTGCGTTGCCGATAAGCATTCTTGCGACATTCACGGTCCTTCCGCGGCTTCCCTCATTCGGGTTCGGCAATAGAAAATAAAAATTGATGATGAGCTTGAGAAAGCTGAAGAAGAGCAGTTAGCTCTTATGGCGAAGATTCGTCGTTTACGAAGGCGTCGCAAGGACATCAATCGTGAGGCGACTGATCTCATTCGATCTGGTTTGCGGCGTGTGGAGGAGGTTGAGAATGAGTATCGTTCCGAGGTTCGTGGTTTGCAGAGTGCTAGCTCGGAAACTGTGGGTGCACTTCATTCCCTGGGTGCTATTGGCGTTGTGGATTGGTCTGGCGTCGGTTTGGACGACTGGGGTCTAGAGACGTCCTCTGGTGCCAGTATTGTTGGAGTTCTTCCTGAGCGTGTTCCAGGTTCTTAGCTGGTTCCCACGAATCGTCTTCGTGTCCATAGTTTTTCCACTTAATGAAGTATTCTGTTGTTTCGTCATTCCTCCGGTGGTCTAGAATGCGTTCTACTTCGTATTCGGTGTCATCTGTTTCCACAATGATGTAGTCTTCGGTGTGTGTACCGTCCGGTGCTGGTTCTAATAATGAGACGTGAAAGACTGGGTGACATTTCATTGTTTCCGGTAGTTTCAACTCGTAGTTGACTTCGGAAATTTTCTTCGTGATTTCGAAAGGTCCTAGTTTTTTGAAGTCGAGTTTGTCGCTAGGTCGTTTCGTTTTGATGTTTCGCCGTATGAGGTAGGCGCTACCTCCCTCTTTTAGGGGTGGGCCTCTCACCCTATGTCGGTCGGCGTGTTTCTTCATTCTTTGCCGTACGAATTCGAGTTCTTGGGGTAGTTTTTGTTGGATTTCCTTAAGTTTCTTGATGTCTGCTACTGCTTTTATCGCGGCAGAGCCGGTTCGGGGTTCTCCATAAGCGGTAGGGTTGAATCCATAGTTGAGGAAGAAAGGTGATTCTCGCGTGCTTTCTCCTATTGAACTGTTGTATGCGAACTGTGCGGTTGGTAACAACTTGACCCAGTTGTCCTGGTCGTAGTTTACATAACTCCTTAGGTACGTTTCCAGGATCTGGTTGATTCTTTCCGTTTGTCCGTCGGACTGCGGGTGGAAGGCAGTGCTGAGGCTGTGCTTTGCTCCGAGCTGCGAGATCAGGGATCTCCAGAACTTGGACGTAAAGACTGATCCTCTGTCTGATACTATTTCCTGGGGCAGGCCGTGTTGGCTGACAATGATCCTGAGAAAGGTGTATGCTAAGTCTTCTGCCGTGCTTGATTCCAAGTATGGTATGAAATACGCGTACTTCGTGAATCTATCCACAACTACTAGTATACTGTCGTACTGTACTTTAGTGAGTGGTTCTCTCGATTTTGGTAGTTTGACGATAAAGTCTAGAGAGATTGAGTGCCAGGGTGCTGGTGGTGCTGGCAATGGTTGTAATTCTCCATATGGTTTGTGTCTGCTGGGCTTACTTTTTGCGCAGACTTCGCAATCCTTGATTGCGTCAGCGACGTCTTTTCTTGTTACTCGCTTGTCGTGGTGTTGTCTAATTCGTTTCCAGGTTTTCGTAACTCCTTGGTGACCGTGAGCGGGTGCGCTGTGTATCTCCCTGATCTGGTCGTGTGTTATTCTTCTAGTCGTGCTGGTCTTGACACGGTCGCCGATCATTAAGAGTTTCGCGGCGGGTACGAGGTCGCCATTGTCTTTTTTGAGGATAACCTGAGTTTCTTCTGGGACTTCGTCCTTGTAATCGGGTCTTCGGCTGAGCGCGTCTGCTCTGCCGTTTTCTGATCCTTTCCTGTAGATGATTCTGAAGTTGAATTCTGAGAGGAATTCTGACCATCTGATTTGTCGTTTGTTAAGCTCTTTCGAAGTGGTGAAGTGTGCCAGATTCTTGTGATCCGTGTACACTTTTACTTCGTACTTTGTTCCTGATAGTTGGGGTCTCCATTCTTTGAATGCGTCGATAATTGCCATAAGTTCCTTATCATAGATCTGGTAATTCAGTTCAGGTCCTTGGAACTTCCTTGAAAAGAATCCACAGGGGTGTAGGACTCCGTTCTCGTCCCTTTGGCCTAGCTGCGCTCCTTCAGCTTCGTTCGAAGCATCCGTTTCGAGCTCGAAGGGCTTCTCAGGGTTCGGAATCTGGATGACGGGTTCCGATGTGACCTTGTCCTTGACTTCTTGGAACGCTTTCTGTTGTTTGTCTGTCCATTCCCAAGGTGCATTTTTCTTAGTGAGTTCGGTAAGAGGCAATATCGTTTTGGAGTAGTCTTTGAGGAATTTTCGGTAGAAGTTGACAAATCCTAAGAAGGATAGTATGTCCTTCGGGTTTTCTGGTGTAGGCCATTCTTGCACAGCCTTGATTTTGTTAGGGGACATCTTGATTACGCCTGGCGTGATTGTGAACCCTAAAAATTCTACTTCCTGTTTGTGAAACAGACTCTTCTCTGGTTCCACAAGTAGCTTCGCTTGTTCGAGTGCTTTGAGAATCTCGTGGACATGCTTCTTGTGTTCTTCCAACGTTTTGGAGAATATAAGGATGTCGTCGAGGTACACAACAACAGACTTGTCCAGATATTCCCGTAGTACTTGGTTGATCATAGTTTGGAATGTAGCCGGTGCGTTGGTGAGTCCAAATGGCATGACTAACGTTTCAAACTGTCCTCTTCTCGTTCGGAAGGCTGTTTTCCACTCATCTCCTTCTGCAATTCGGATAAGGTTGTAGGCTCCTTTAAGGTCCAAGGCTGTGAACCATTGGGCCTCGTAGAGTAGGTCTCTTAGTTCCGATATGAGGGGCAGTGGGTAACAGTCTTTGATCGTAATATCGTTGAGTCGTCGATAATCGACACAAAGTCGTTTCTTCCCGTTCTTCTTTGGTACGAATAGTACGGGGTATCCTGCGGGTGATTTCGAAGGTCTGATGAATCCTTTCGCAAGATTTTCGTCAAGCCATTCGTCTAAGGCTTTCATTTCTTCTTGGTTGAGTGGGTATATTTTGTTAAAGGTGGGTTCGTGTCCTTCCTTAATTTCGATCTTGTGATCCCACTTGCTGTGTTCCGGTAATCCGGTCTCGAGTTCTGGTGCAAAGAGTTTGCTGTAGACCCTGTATTCAACAGGTATCTTTGACATTGGATCTTCCGTGACTTTGTCAATCGTCGTGGCTGCTAGCGTCCTAGTGCCAATGTCTTTTATCCTTAGCATCAGGCGTGGTCTTGCTCTGGTTGCTGCTAGTAATCCGCATGAGGCCTTCGTCGAGTGCTTCTCAGAGGCTGGATTGAATTTTATTCGGCCGGTAACCCAATCGATTTGTGGGTTATGTCTTCGTAGCCATGGAATTCCGAGGATAACGTCGTGGTTTCCTATCTCCGTGATGTCGAGGCTGATAAGCTCCTGATGGCTATGGTAGAGCAAAGGGAGTTGCGCTGTCTCCTGATCAATGCTGCCTCCGCCATACTCGACTTCTTTCCCTTCCACATTCCTTAGTCGGTAAGGGTTTTGCTTCTGATTCCATGGTATTTCTCGCTGTTGCACTATTCGGGGTGCGATAAAGTTTCCTTGGGCTCCTGAGTCTATCAGGACCTGTGTGGTGTATCCGCCCAGGTTTACTGTGATCTTCATTTGTGCGTCGTCGTCGAATGTAGCACATAGGGACTTGCTGGGGGAGCTCGCCATGTGTCCCGGACAAGGCGGCTCTCCTAGTTTTTTGAGTAGAGGGCCTTCTCGCCCTTCTTTCGGTCTCTGCCGAGGTTACTTTCTCTGATTCCTAGACGAGGTGGGCTGGGCGTCTCGCCGTCCTGTCCTTGCTTGTCTAGTTCTTGTTGTCGGAATCTCTAACTTTCGCTTTTTGGAATGTAGTGGAGTTTGCATAGGTCTTCCCTGCAATTCCACCAGACTCCCGTGAAGTGGTTCACACACTTCTGAGGGTATTCGACGCTGGGTCGTAGGAATGCTATTCCATTGTTGTTGGTTTTCCATTCTCCGGGTTCTCCCCGTACTTCCCAATATGAGAGTTCTTGTTCCTCATGGGCTCTGCGGATTCGCAGTTCTTCTTTTCTTTTGGGGTATAGTTCGTTTTCTGCTTTCTTTAAGAGATGGTAGGCGCAGTGATCGAAGATGCAGTAGATCCATGCTATCTCCTTGTGTTCTCTGTGCTGTGTCGTAATCCTGGGATCGTCTTCCAAGAATATTTCTTCATCCCGGGTTTGTGTGATTGTTGTAGGGATTTTGTTATGATATTCTTCTGCATGGAAGGCGATCTGTTAGCAGTCGTCTTGGGGGTCGATGTATTTGTATTCTAGTACTTCCTTAATTTTTTCCATTCTGTCGAGATGGTGTTCTTCTTCTGCGTCTTCCGGGTCGGTATCGTCTATCGACGTTCCTTGTGGACGTACTTCCGCCGAGGGTGGTCCGTCTACGACGTCTTCAGCCCATTCCGAGATGGGTTGAGGAGTAGCGCGGGTTCTTTGTGGCAATTCAAAGGTCGAGTCGCTGGCTACCGTGGTATATGGTGAGCTCTATCGTTGGCTTAGGTTGTCCTTTGCTTGGTATACTCGGGTCTGGGTGCTGGCGTCCCTGAATTGTTGTTGTCTTAGCATTTCATCCAATTGCTCGGTGGCTTTGCGGGCGTATTTGCTGGCTACCGCGAGGGTTCGTTCCGTCTTTCCATCGTTTTGGGGTCGGTAGACAAATTGGGTTGCTTTGTACTTGAGTTGATACTGTCCTCGGGTGTTTCCGCGTAGTGCGATGCGGCGGTCTCGGGTTTTCCGCATGTGTTGGAGGGTGTCTCTAACTTCGCTGTTGTTTCGAATTTGCATCGTGTAGTTGATGGCGTCTTGTATCCGTTTGATGGCTGTCTCGTTTTCTTCTTCGAGTTTCCTGGCTTCTTCTTCTGAGAGACTTTCCGGGGTGTTTACTTCATTCGTCTGTCGATAGTTGGCGAGGCGTGGGATGTCCCATAAGAGTCCCGGTTGGTACACAATGCTACCATCTTGGAAGGCGTTATTAAGTTCCGCGGCCTTCTTCGCTTGTTCCCAGTCGTCGAGTGGCTCTTGTCGCTGCTTAGTGTAATCCGGTCCACCGGTGTATCGGTCTATCACAGCAATGGCCTTGGGTATGTTGGTGGTGTCGTATCCCGATCGTCCTGCTGGGTTTTGAGGGTACCATCCACTATTCTCTTTTGCATGCCTGTGCGTAGTGCAATCATTGTCATAGCAGGCTGTCCATCCCTTTTCTTCGTGGCTAGGGATTTTGGTTGCAGCGTTGGCTTGCTTAGGGGTTGCCGTAAGTTTCTTAGGCTGTATGCAGTGTCTGGCCATGTGTCCTGGCTTGTCGCAGTTGTAGCATTTGAATTCTCTGCGTCTGGGTTTGTCTTTTTGCGCGACGCTCAGGTCCATGGGTCCACTGTGTTGTCTATGTGCGGTGCTCTGCTGATTGTTGTTCCTGTTGTTCTGGTTTTTGTTGTTGAACTTGTGTTGAGGTTGCCATTGGTATTTCTTTCCTGAGTTGGCTGTTTGACGTTTTTCTCCTTTTTCCTTGCGTCGTTCAAACAGTCGGTTGTCAATCTTAATGGCGTATTCGACATAATCAAGGAAGCTAGGTGGCGTGTCCACTTTGGCCATTTCGTCCTTGACGTCGTCCTTGAGACCCTGGTAGAAAGCGAAGACTTTGCTTTCGTCGGTCATGTCGAGTCTGGCTGCGAGTCGTCGAAATTCTGCGGCGTACATTGTAGCTGATTTGTTTTGTCGTAGGCTCGCCAGTTCTCTTTCTGCTTGTCTTTTCTCATCGGGGTCTAAGAAGAGAGATTGAAGGGCTTTAACATATCCACTGAAGCTGAAAAAGATGTCCTTCACTTCTTGACTGTATCTCTCGATAGGGGTGTCCAGCCATTCTTGTTGGAGGGGTTCGAACCAAGCGAGGGCCTTCCCTCTCAAGAAGGTGGCGGCGTGGACGACACGTTCGGTATCGTTCTGGAACGTGTTGATGTGGAAGGCTTGGTAGGTCCGTATCTGTACCAAGTATCCTTTGAGCTGTCCAGGGGTTCCGTCGAAGGTGGTAGGGGTGTTGAGCTTAAGGCGTTCTCTTCCTTCGACAGGAGCTGATATGACGTTCGCGGCAGCTCGAAGTGTTGTGACTTCCTTCTCTAGTTCTTTGGTGCGGCGGGCTTGTTCCTGTAGCTCCTTGAGGGCTTTGACGTTCTGGTTGAACAGGTTTTTCATTTCCCTGAGCTCGTTGTTGTTCCGCTCAAGTTGCCGCTTAAGTTCTTCATTGTCGTCATCGCTATCGGATTCCTCCTTCATTTCCTGGTCTTGAATCTCTTGGGCCAGATTCTGGGGAATACGTCTCTCGGACGTGGACGAGGTTCCAGGAGTAGGGTTTTCGGTAGTTCCGTGCGAAGACATCTTGTCTTATACTGTTCGTTAGTCTCAAAGGGCAACTTACTGAACAGGAGCAATCAAAGTGTTACGGCCAGCTATCTGACAGTAGGGTTCTGCTAACAGAAGGTGCAGTAAGAGACTAACACTGGTTCGTAGAGGTCGTTCTGGTAGATCGTAGGGTTAGGGTAAGGTGATCAGTCTTACACTATGGTAACGAGGTTCTTAGTATTCACAATACTGAGAGGTAAGCTGAAAGTCATTCGAGGATGAATCACAAGTTGATTGCTGAAGAACTATCTAGAAGGCTTAAGCAGATGCTCAAGTCCTGGTCTATATACAAGTCCCGTTTCCCAATGTCTTAGAGAGTCTATAGAGTCGCTCGTCGACTCTATCGACTCTCTTCTGATTGGTCCTTTACAGGAGTCTACAGAGTCGCTCGTCGACTCTGTCGACTCTGTCCTGATTGGTCGATTGTCACGTGACTTGTAACGTAGTTCTTCCTTGCCGAGAGGTTTACCCTTGTTCCCGTGATCCTACGTACATATGTCCTGTCGTAGCCGCCCGACCCAGTGGGTCTGTTAAGTGCATCTGACGGGTCGTAACAGTACTCCACCCCCTTCCTGCCCCTCCAAATGAAATTGTCCTTTTAAATCAATGTAACTGACCAACCTGCGCTGTGTTGACTTCCACCAAAGTCTCCTTGTTTACCGTCTCTATCATCTTGTGATCTTTGAAGCCCGCCTGCTGCAACGAGGCTTTGCACTCTGCAATATTACAACCGCCTTGAATTGGTTCAACATAGAATTGTCTCTGAGAAGATTGTGTTCAGTTGTCATCGAAACCTCTAGGGCTCATCCCAAAGTCGCGTTACCACACCGAGTGGCCTACAACCTTTCGCGGAAAAGCTCACAGTGTACCACATGAAGACTCGACAGAAACGCAAGCCTGTATCCCAGCTGACACATGGGAACTTCAAGAAACCGGCCAACGGCGTTGACGAGTCTAAGTCTTGGCCTTCAGCTGAGAGAAATCCCGACTCGGGGGGTGTAAGCCAGCAATTGGAAAAGACATGTGAGGATATGGACACCATTCACTGCAAGGGCTCTAGCGATGAACAAGACGACGAAGTTGACCGGTCCAAAATGCATGGCATGTGCGATAAGCTGTCTTCTTCTGGCGGCGAGAAGGGCAGAGGCGTGACCCAGTGGGAGCTGAGCCAAGTCTGGGAGAGCATACAAGAAATTTCCGACAGCATCCCAGGACCTCAAGATGTACATGACTGGATGAGTAAGGACCTAGGACTTGTGCGCTCGAGACACAGCAATTTGAACGACGAATTTCAGCAGCAAAACAAGACCTTGCGCGACGAGTTGGAAGATGTTCGAAACTTGGCAAAGACGGACCACGAGGACCTGAGTGCGGTGAAGGTGGTTGTAGCCAAGTCCGAGTCCTGCATCGGCACTTTGTCCACAAGCATGTTGGCGTTACAAGTGGAATCGAACTTTTCCAAGCAAAAGTTTGACGAACTCGAAAAGCAGACACAACTTAGACTGGACGCCGTACGCACGGAGGGACAAAACAACGGTAATGTCTGGATGGACATCTTACGCAAAGAGATGGTACAGATGATGAATGGCGAGGTGAATGGTTTACGAGAAGAGATGGCGAGACAGATGAACTCGCAAATGGAGTCCCTACGGGAGGAAATGGCCAAAGAAAAGGAATACCAAATGGATGCCCTCCGCGAAGAAATGGCGAGAGAAAGGGATAGCCAGGCGAACCTTTTACGCGAAGAAGTGGCACGAAGTATGACTACTCAGATAAGCGCACTCCGCGAGGAGAACATATTCTTGCGAAAGGAAATAGAGACGATCAAAACGTTACGAGGGGAGGACGTCAAGATACTCTATGGACAAGTCGCAGCATGTCTCGAGGGTAACAAGAAACTCAGCAATGACAACGAATCAATTCGAAAGGACTTTGAAACAATTCAAAAGGAATTTGGGGAGCAAAAAAATTACATCAAAGACGTTGCGAACTGGGTAGGTCCTGTTTCTGGGAATGTTCAAAATCTCTATGAAAGCTTCGGGACAAATAACAAAGCTATTGCAAACGACATTGGATGTGTGCGCAAGGAGTTGCATACGCTGAATGGAAAGTTTGACGCCAATAGCAAAGCCATGGCGCAGACTTTTCGAGGCTTGAGTGTCTTGTTTGGCGGCGGAGAGAATCCTCAGGACGCTTCGGGCGGACTTCTCGAAAGCAATGGGGCACCGCCGCCGCAACTCCAGCAGCACTACCAGCAGCAATACCAGCAGCAATATCAAGAGCCACACCAGGAGCAATATCAGGATCAACATCAGCAACAATCCCAGGAGCAACAGCAACCCCAACAGCAGCAACCTCAGCAGCAGCAACCCCAGCAGCAGCAGCAGCACCACAGCCCAGATAACAGAATTTTCATATTAGATTAATAGCAACCTATCTCTGACCAATGTGCCTAGTCCAACAAACAAGGATGCTTCTGCGTATCTACCTATGAGTCTATTTGCTCTCGTCGGCTGTTGTGCGACGCCAAAGAATTGCTGCCATGAGTCTACCTAGGTAATTTGACTGCGCTAAAGGAACGTTGAATTAGACCCTTTTATTGAGTAATGAATGAAAAGTATTGCAGCAACAGCCAGTTATGCTGTATCTCGCATGTAACCAAGAAAGCTGAGCTCCTAGCAATGGCGTTAGTCGTAGATGATGCTTGCGGCAGCATTCGGGGGTTTGACAAATTGAGACATTTTATGAATTGGCAATCTTCATTCACCGAACCTGCCGATTAGACAACCCCCACCCTGGGTTTCTTAACGCAAGATCACAGTACTTGCATTGAATCTTGTCCACTGAGTAAACTCAATCGCAGGACTTATCAGCTGGGCGATACTTGCAGTGGAAGCCCGCCACGCCAGGGTAACCTAAGATGTGGTAGGGACCCAGCCGTCTAAAGTCCACTGGAGAGCATTGTGGATTTAGATGGAGCTGGCAGACACACTATGTCGTAGAGTAATCCAGCACCGCATCGTTTCGCCTGGCCAATTAGGAACACAGTTAGTGATTCCTAACGTCGATCTCAAGCTCGTTACAACACCAATCTATTGTATGCCTAGCATATTTCTGACTCTTGATGAGATCCACGTTAAAAGGCAAAAGCTGCACTTTCCTTCCCAGCCACTTTACGTAGACTGCGAAACTTCAGTCGCAACACAGCCCGACGCCAGACGCACGGATTAGTGCTTTACTCCCTCACTCCGGACTTTTGACGTATTCGATAAGACAATCCCTGTCTCAAGTTAAACAGAATCGATCTAGAATCTGAGTTTAAATAGGGCCCAAGCCGGGAAAATATCATCCGGTATTTTCACAAGCCATTTAGACACCCTTTCCTTTCACAGGGCTCTTGGCACGGTCAACACGCACCTCACCGCCGTACTAGGCACAAGCAGAGAACAACACTGGCGTGGGGTGCTTAGCGGCCCCTTCAGCGTTTACGGTTAAAATTTCAGGGTCGAGGGGTTTAAAATGTTCATCTCGAAAGAGTGAACAACGCACACCCTCAACATTAAGAGCCTGCTGGACTCACCTTATTCGGATGACCATATTGATGGAGAACCTCAGTTCATGCCATCGTCTACACCTAATGCCAGTTCAGTGGGTCTTGCACGTTGCATTACTCAATCTATTATGGATGCATGAGATCTTAGCCACAACCTTGCTTTCCACTTTACATCACATTGATTACGTTCACTTTGGTGTCTCATGGTCGATTCCAAGTACACACTTCTAAACCTGTTAATGTCCTTGTCCTTTCAATGTTCATTCATGTCTCTCGTCAAAACTTTTCGGGTTGTGACGAACGACTTTTTACTGTCTTGAGGTAAACTAGAATCAGGCACAAACCTGATGATATTCAACTTGCGGACCCTTCGGAGAACAAAAGGGCATAGCCGCAATTTAAGGTTTCGGCGACAATTGCTACAGTAGACTATCTGGAGCAAGGCAACTAATTAAAATGTATGTGGTCCAAGCGAAGAAGAATCTAGCGAGGGCGCCGAAAAACTTTAATATACAGATTGTGGAATAAAAGTAGCTCACCTCAATATATCCTAGTGAGCTTATATTAATTGGAGACAGCTCAATTAATAGAATCACTGAGATATGATCCGGTCCGTCCGTCTCTTTAGTATAAATAACAGTTGATCAAATCAAATATGAATACGATAATCATCCGACATCATCTCCTTCAAAATCATTCATTAAGCCCCTTAAAAAGAACAAAAATCGAAAACAGTCATTATGGTTTCCGTCAAAGCCCTTGTTCTGACCGTTATGTAAGCAATGACCAACTCTCCCGTTCTCCAGTGGAATACACCCTTCTCGACGCACTTCCATGAGTTATATCAACTGACTTTCGTCCAAGGGTCTCGGCTGTCACCGCTCAGTCGTCGTTCTCTTGCTGGTGTGGACCCAACCAGGGCACTACACGTGATGCTTGCAACAAAATGGCGGACAGTGGACGCATGGAAGGTGGCCGAGTAGGTACACCCCAAAACCAGAATTCGTGCACGTAACTAACACGTCAATTTTAAAGTGCACCGTTTCTGAATCTCGTGCTAAGGACTACTTCATCAACACTGCTTGCACCTACGGTCCCGGTAACGAGTGGTGTGATGTGAAGCAATAGGCTCGCTCTAGTGCTGTGGATATTAGCGTACAAAGTTTGCTTTTGAAGGTACATTTTTGCCTGCAGAATACATTTTACGGATTATTCAGCTTTATCAGAGGAGTAGGGGTGTTAACAACGGAATATATCACATTTTCTGGTAACCCTTTACCAATCCTTAACCTTGACTTGACCCATTTGGCACACTGGCCCAAATGTCTACATCCGATAACCCTCAACAAGAAAATTACACTACCATCTCTAAGCGTCTGCGACGCGCCTTATGGTGCTCCTGGAGTAGGCCATGAGTGTTTCGGACTTTTAATTGTTGGTCAACGAGTTGCATAGTTGCCTGGTCTCTGGGATTGCTGCATTGTCTAGTACTTGGTTGGATAGATCGACGTTCAGAACTCCTGTCCTGCCGCAGCACTGGTTACACAGTCCATAGCGCTCGTATTATATTGCTTGTTTTTTTCCTTTCTGCTTCGCTGTACAGATTCGACTTGATGAATCCGAATATCTAGTATTTATTAGGCTTCCAATATGATGGTGGTTTGGTTGGGAAGAGCAAATGCATCTCAAAAGCCTAAGAAATCATCTTCAAGTTAATTAATGTGTCGTGTCAAATGGCCTTCTAGCCATCTCTTCAATTGATGAAGTACGAATGCGGTGGCCATTGTGACGCCGCAGGGGTGGCCCTTTGATCGACCTTCCTGAAAGGACAATAAATGCCGGGATTAGTGCTCCCTGTGAATAGTATGGGCGCTGGAGCTTGTGGTCCGCTGAAGAGAATTTTTCATAGGTAATATTACTACTGACAAAGCTTCGCAATCCGTTTGTCGTTAGAATGTGGGCTAATAGCTTTCTTTCCTTCGTACCCTTTATATCACAGTATTCAGCCATCTAATTTACATGATCTTAGCCATCTAAGACTTAGTTCATGTATAGATGCCAAGAGAAGTCTTTGAGGATCAGTTGTAATGTCTAAAGAGGTCTTCGATTGTCTTACGGAGCTGGTCCTAAACCGTTGAAGGGTTTGTTTATATTTCGTTCGCAATGAAGTAATGTATGTGGTATCTCTCCAGGGCAAGTATTGTCACAAACCGCCTCAGAAATGAACTTTTAAATCTTTGCACATAAACGAAGCAGTGTTATCATCGCTTTCATACCCGGACTCGGTGCATCACAGAGAACCCCCGGCTGGCTGAAATAGGCCTCATACCTCTGGGCCAAATGTGCAACAGCAACGTGTCGTGGTATCATGATAAGCGTCGCAGATGAAAGTACAAAACACAAAATAAGCACATATAAAGATTGATTTTCTCTATTCTAGAATCATTGACAAGCGTATGGTCAAAGAGTATCCCATCGAGGCCTGGTTGGCCCCTTGACTAAGCATTAAGACATAAAAGCCCGCTTCAAGCCTTAGATTAAGGGGATAGATTCGAATGTATCAACACCACCACCCCTAGCCTCGAGATATCCACCCATCACTTCGTGCCAACCCTCCTAATCTGACAGTGGCTGGCCAAAGCTTTTTTGGCCATACAAAAAGTTCAATCGAAAGGTCCTTACTGTGTCAGTAAGTCCTGACTATGATGTAAGTAGCGGCTGTTTTCAGAGCTATAAGAACGCAGCTAGGAAAACATAGGGATTGATAGCGTGCAGTCGTGTATCTTTGATGTGGGGGGGAAATATGGGTGTAATAATCGGATATTATGTACCTTTAGCCAACCAGGCCTTGATGGGATAAGTTCTTGTGACTTGACAGGGTGCAAAAACCCATCATGCCGTCAGCAATAACGCAATCTGAAAAAGGGGTTCGTTCATCAAGCCGTGAATTACACAACGTCGAGCTAATGTGTCCAGGGGAAGCGAATCAACGAAGGGAGATATCTTTGCTGATGGATGCGATCTTGAATGTTAAACTGCTCCTATAATTTGGATATTGTCTAGCAGATTTGTGTAAATGCCACGCATGAAATAAACGAAGGTTCATCATGCTGATCTGGTCCCCAAAATCTTAAAGCCTTACAAAACGCCGTACTCCATGCATAGACTGATATGCTCCAAGCCCAAAATTCGTCGTCTCGTTAAGAATATATCATAGAGAGTTCACAAAGTTGAATCCTACAATACCCTCAGCCACAGCGCTGTCCATCCCTGCACCAGACAATATTGATACTCGGCGGCCGATAATTCCATCGTCGCCCACTTGTAATGAGATTGGTTTCTGAAGTGCTAGCTCCAAGATCGATCCGTCATCGAGAACCGTCGCGTCAGACAAAGCGAAACGATGGAAAAGGCCGCAATCTTCGCGTGTTCTGGTGAGGTCTCCAGAGTTGCTATGAAAGACGACTGTCAGCCTTTGGGGTTTCTTTCCATCTTCATTCTCAACTAGCCAGTCCAGATGTAGCTCGCCGAGAAGAAACCTACTGGATTATGACAACCATGTCAACTAGTGACTGTGCGTCGAATGTGTTTCCACTTGATAGTCTGACGTGCGTCGCAAAAGGGCTGCTAGGCTTCCCCGGCGTGTGGAAAGAGAGGTCGCCTCGGAGTCTGATCGCAGTTGTTGGAGAGCTAGACTGGTTGAGAACAGCCAGAGCGCCGCCTCGGGGCTTGGTGCAAGTATCTGGACCACACATTTTGGAGAGAAATCAAGGCTGAGGTATCTTAACGTCGAGAAGAGAAGAATGGCTCAGAATTCCGGATAAGAAGCAAAAGGTCTACCAAATTCTTCAAGATATGATGCCTTTGCCAGTATTTTAACAACATTAAAGAATAGCTCAAACTCCCTCAAGGTCCTCATGTCTCTGGTATCCCTGTCATCCCAAAACGTGCGCCAACGGGGGCGGCCCGGAGCATCTCCACACGTCAATCAAGAAAAAGCCAGCCAATCACATCTGTCTCTCGACTCCAGGTTGAGTAACCCCGGTGAGCAAGTTAGAGCAAAATTGATCGAGTTATGCCCGCGTAGGTAATATCGTACCTTGAAAAGACCAAATATGAACCAAAACTATTGTGAACATCAAGAATTGCATCCCAAGTCGCATCATGGCTCATATCGTGTTTCAAGTGAACGTGTGGCTCCACGATCCATCATGAAAATCATTGATTGTGATCTTTCTGCTGGCTATGACTTGACCCAGGTCACCTCGCGGGTGGAAACCATCAAGGTGTCCAGCACATCATCGGACTGGATGGAGGCCAGTCCCCCATGACTGCCGAGATGACGAAATCTGCTCACTGCCCCTCATTGAAACTGGGAGCTGTCTTACTCTTTTCACCTGGATCCAGCCTTTTACCCCTCCATCGTCTTCTTTCCCATCTTCAACTCACCTCTCTGCGTTGCCTCTCCCTAACAAAAACAGCTCCTAGCCACCGAAAAACACACAAAGAAACAAGAAGTCGCAATGGCTAACTCGCAATACACGCTGCCCAAGCTTCCCTACGCTTACGATGTAGGTAGTACTACCCCTAGGAAGACACAGTGGACGCTAAAACCCCTCACCTAGGCGTTGGAGCCTCACATCTCGGCCCAGATCATGGAGCTTCACCACAGCAAACATCATCAAACCTACGTCACCAACCTGAACAAGGCTATCGAGACATACAATGCCAACCCCTTGCAGAACCGCATTGCCGTTCTTGCGGCCCTCAACTTTAACGGCGGCGGTCACATCAACCACTCCTTGTTCTGGGAGAACCTCTCCCCTGCCTCCAGCCCAGATGCCTCCCCTGATTCTGCTCCCCAGCTCATCGCTGAGATCACGCGCGTCTGGGGCGGTTTGGACAAGTTCAAGCAAGCATTCAACGCTGCATTGCTAGGTATTACCGGTAGCGGCTGGGGCTGGTTGATCAAGGACGACACTACTGGCTTGAGCATCATTACGACTAAAGACCAGGATCCCGTGACCAAGGGCGTGCCCATCTTTGGCGTTGACATGTGGGAACATGCATACTACCTTCAGGTATGCAACCGCTGCTGTTTTTTTTTTTTTTTTTGATGAACTATATCACTGACAAAGAGGGGATGCACAGTACTTGAACGGAAAGGCAGCGTATGTGGAAAATATTTGGAACGTCATCAACTGGAAGACTGCCGAGTCAAGATTCTCTGGCTCTCGGGACGATGCTTTCAAGGCTCTGAAGGCGGTTCTCTAGAAGGAAGAGCCGTTTGTGTATAAGCATCAAATTCATGAAACCAATAAAACTTGACCTGGCATAACAAGACCGATGAAACCAGAAACAAGTCGACCCAGAGAAGAAGGTTTGGAGATTATTCACATCAGCTCGCCGAGAACAATCAAAGTGGCCGGGTGTTAAAGTGTACAGCCAACCCTGCAAGATGGGACAACAATGTGGCTCTGCAATACCCAACGCGGTTGTGTGACTAGCCTGCAGTAAGCCGTGACAAGCTTCCTTTCATGACCGTAGTCCATATCTGTGTCTCAGTCTTGCCCGTATACCATGTTGGATGTCAGTATTCATTGACTGAACACTACCTCGAACACACTGCATCAGTGAGGGTGTGGCCGAGTAACCAAGGACGTTCCTCTTCGTGTCCAGTGGTGCAGCCACGTTTCGCTCGAACATTGTGGCCATGAGGCAGCGCGATACGATCACATGGGAAGATGCGTCCAAAGTTCAGTCAGAATTTTTCTCTTGTTAAAAAAAACCCGATGATGCCCTAATTCCCGGGATTAAGGCGTAATACCCGAGTATCAAAAGGTTCATTCGCTAGGACAAGAAACACAAATGGCGCAAACGTTTCTTGGCCCGAACATAAAGCTGAAACCACTTGTTTGCCGATTGTCATGGGCGAAATGATATACCCCTGAAAAGACTCAGCGGTCGTTGCATGCAAACAAGACCAGCATGCTCTTACTGCAGGTTGTCAATCTTGCGTGAGCTGCAGCCAATCTACCAGTATCCCTCTGACAATACTGACTGTGTTACAATGTATGTTCACCCCTTAATAAATGGCATAATAAACTCATCCTTTACTTTACCTTGGTGACAGCACAGTTCTTCGAGTATTGATCTGAAGCCCCATGTTTGGACTCCCGACGGCATGCAGCCAGGCCCATGCAGGCATACACGCTGTGAAATGGTATGATTGTATTTACACAATATTTATCAGTCCCACAGGGGACAGCATGTTCCTGATATCTACGCGATATACTGGGTATGGCAGCTGTTGCTAGTAGGATGGTGAATCCAACTCTTCGGTATGGTGTACACCTTTACACGACAGCCAGAGGTCGCTTTTAGTGCCGCTGGAATATTTTGGATGATCTACTTTTCAAAAAACCTCTTTGGCTTCTAGTGTCAGATTTGATCGTATACAATCAATCATGTGTAACATCGGGTGATGTTTCCTCGGACTGCCAAAACCGGAACACTGCAGCTACTCCCGAATCCGCTGTCATTTTGAACCCGCTTCTTGCGTTTGTCCAAGTTTTCGGGGGATCTCGCCGCCACCACTAGGACAAGGGTGTATGTAAGATGAACCCAAGTAGCTTTGCCATTTTCTTTGAAAGCTGCATGGCCCTGCAAACAAGATGTTCTTAGAAGGTCGCCGAAGGCCAGAGTAGCGTGCCTGGTTGAGCTTCGCACTCAACCAATTGGAGAGTTCGACTGCCAGTTGGAAATCTTGCTGCTAACCAGTAGATTTCCCTGCTAATGAAATTACATACGCGAAGAGCAAGACTTTATCAAACGGCAGCAGGTTTGTCTCTGTCGTGTATGTTTGGAAACAAAATTATTCCAAACAGCGAGCGCCATGGCCGATTTCTTTGAATTGATTACCGCTGCTTAAAAATCTTACCCTTCTTTCTGATTCGTGGACGTCGTCCTGGTACCCTGACATAAAAAAGGAAACAGTCGATTTGGCCATGGAATACAACGCCAAGACACTCAATTCAAGTGATGTGGCGTGAGCACACAACGGCCGGCGGCATGAGGCCCCTTCTCAAAATCTAGATGGGACATGACTTGCGAGATGAGGGTGCCTGCGGATGGACCCGTTGACGCGGGAAAGGCTGGCATTAAGAGCTATGGCCTGTGCAGTTCTGACGGACGCACTGCCTTTGTCGACCGTTTAAAGATATAAAGGCTTGATGGAAGCAGAGGTGATTTGTTTCTCTCGGCCAGTCAACATCAGCAGACGCAGCATCACACTCGTTTGAAACTCTATTACTTTCGCTCGTCATGTTATCGTCGGCCTTTGTCTTTGTCCTACTAGGCCTCGGGTAAGCTTCGATACTTGTATTTGGCTTTCAAAACACTGATTTGGTGGTAGCCATGTGGCCTCCGCTATCCCACAAGCCAATTATTTGATCCCCCGTCCTCCAGCAACCGAAACTGTGACTTCATTGATCGAAGTAACCAACGAAGTTACTGTCACAGTTTGCGGTTCTCAATGCGCCACCACGATAACCGTGACTGAGAGTGCGCCGCACTCGCACGCTTGCGGTCCACCCAGCTCCAGCTCCAAGCCCACGACATTGACCTCGGCGACTTTGCCATGGATCAGTATTCCACCTCGGTCCTCTTCTTCGACAAATTATGTCATCTCGAATTCCGATAGATCATATTCGTCTACCCTCAAGGGTACCGGCTCTTCTTCAGCGTCTGTTACCAAGACTACCGTCGTCGGTACAACCGTGGTCTCCCAGCTGCCCAGTGCCGGGACGCTGACTTCTACATCCACTTGGAGAGCTAATAACACATTGTTGGTCCCTTCTTCCTTTCAGATTAGAAAGGCTCTCTAATAGGACTGTCACAGAACCAAGTCCCTTTCACTCAGTCTCACCTACATCACGGGGACCGGCACTATTGGTACCATCAGCAGGCTGTACCCTTCTTCTAGCGTTTGGAGCAATACCACACGCAGTTTTTCCAAAACTCGAACCGGGGCTACCACCACCAATGTGGTCTTGCCGACCGCCACCGTCTCGACACTCTCATCCATCTCATCTGTTGCTGAGACGACCTCTGCTCCTTGCACCACTTACGGCTGTCCCTCTTACACAACCCTCACATACACCACAGTCATCAACACCACCGTTTCGGACCAACTACCTGGCGCCAGCACTCTCTTGACAGGCGGTACGCGTTCCGCCTCCCGTACCACCCTTAGGTCTACGATCGTAGTCACGGTGACTCGCAGCGTTCCTTCGAGTACTGGTACTGCCTATAGCTCATCAAGCTTTGGCACATTTGTTTCCAGTAGATACTCTTCCAAACTAACTCGCACCAGTTCGATCAGGCTGTCTGCCACTCTGAGTTACGGCACCACAACTACTGCGTCTTCCGCCCGAACGTATACCACTTCCCGGGCCAGCATGGAATCCACTTCTGATTCCACCGCAATTAGTACTCCAGAATCCTCCGCCAGAGCCATTCCTTGCACATCCCATGCCGAAAGCACCTCTTCCGCCGTCTCTTCCCTGAGAACCACCGTTCAAAGCGCCCTGCCATCTACTGTTACTTCTTCAAGCTCCATTTCTGGGAGTTACGAGTACACCGTTTCATCCTCAAAAGCAACCATCCAAAGCGCGAAGCCATCGGTCGTGACTGTCAGTACTGCTATCACAGGAGGCTACGATGACTTCCCGACGCCCTCTCCAAAAACAACTGTCAATAGCGCCAAACCATCCCTTGTGACCAGCATCCCAGGTGGCTATGAATATCCGTCAGCCTCCGGCGATTTGAGCTCGACTAAGCATGACCACTCTACCCGCACGCCCGGAACCACAGTAGAGAGTGCTTTGCCCTCTCTGGTTACACCCTCATCGGCCCGGTTGTCAAGCAGCCCCACCACATTCGTAACCCAAACAAACGGAGAGTCTCTGACCAGCTCAGTCTCAATCCCAGGAGGTTATGAACTCAATCACTAGACTCAGGCAGTTTACTGCTGGAAGGACATGGAGAAGTTTCAGCTTTTGCCGGATCAACTTACTAGGGCACCAGATAGAAGAGGCAATGGCAACAGTCGACATTTGGTAGCATGGATGTGGCGGGAGGCGAGAGTATAAAGCAGATGATTCACTTCTTGACATTCTTTGACATCTTTTTGTTTATTTAGGTGATTGATAATAGAGTTCAGTTGGGCCTAGCGCAAATGAAACGGTTTTTGCCATAGTAGGCTTGAGCATATTTAATGAGTTGTACCGTCAAGCCTTACTATCGATTGCAGCCCTGGCAGTGCCCACGAAGTCATCAACGATGCAACTAATATCCTCCTAGGACATGTTAATAGGCGGGCAATCTTTATATTTGACCCTTTCTCAAGAAAGGGTATTTCTCGGCATCATCTCATGTGGTTGGAACAACGCCGAGAGGATGCGAGCGCGTCACTTGCGGAATCATGTCTCACCGGCATACCATAGCTGCGCATGTATGAACGCTCTTTTACGGTCGCTATCTTCAGAAAATTCTCTTAAGGTGCAGATTGACGAAGTTGGAATGCAAATTTGTGACGGTGAAAGGCTGCAACTGGTCTTTCTGGTGTACTGAGTGACCCGACGCTCTGGTATCGACATCATTACCATGTGTTGTATTTACGAAATCACAGGATGTGGAGGTTTCAATATGCTCGAAACTTTAAGCCCCATCTGACGCGCCGGCGACTAGATGACTGCACGTGGGCTGATGCTCACACAGTGCTGGAAGAGACAACTGACTGAAGCGCTCAACAACTTTGGGACGAAGAAATTGAAGTTTGCCTTCCAACAACGTGCTTGAGACTTTCCAAATAGCACAGATTGTAGACCCTATTTCAACGGAAAATGACGGTCTAGAAATTTTGCAGGTGTCTCTCCTTTCAGACCTCCATCAATGAGCATGTTGTGGCTCCAAGATGATTTCTTCTAGAGGCAAGCCTTTATAATGCATATCTCGCTGGACAGCGGCGTCAGGGCTTTGAGACATTTTTCCATGGCTTTGAAGAAATCATGTCAGGAGGAAACTTGGAACGAGTGTTCAGGTCTTGGCTATGAAGCTATCATTAACTAAGGGCTTGGCTTTGAACAATGCGCCGATCACTCAATCTTCTGGAGTCGGCAGCCAATGCTGCGGTGTTGTGAGAAGCCATTTTGAGAAGAAGACATTTTGAGCTAGCCAACGCCGTCTAGTCATGGATTGGTCGGAAAGGGCATGCTAGTTTTGTGCTTCCTAGAGATCCAGGCGAAACGATGGTAGCTTTGCGGGGGCTTGAGCTAAGACTATGTAAGGGGAATCACAATAGCATAAAGCTGTGACTAGACTGGATACGGCAGGGTGTATGTGACGGCTAGTCTCAGGCTTGTCGCCGCCATTAAATACTGGTAATCATTGCAGTTTTCACAAAAAAAGAAAAAAGAAATCGATTGCCCTTAAAACTGTTATATGGCTACTCTTCCATCAATATCCAATGTGCTCAAGGCTTCTTTATAGTTCAATCTGAGTCAAATGCTTGCAATTGGCATTACAATCTCAAGACTCATTGATAAACACTACTGCATCGCTTTCAGTCCTCGCAGGCAGTCACCTGTTAGAAAATTTCCAAGCGTCGAATATTTGAGCCAGACAAATGCCCTATAGTACGCTGTCCCGTTTGTCCAATACATCCTACTGTTTCGTAGGCATTCCAGCAACGGATGCGGATAAGTTGTGAAGGAACAGTAAACGTTCAAACACGTTGACTTTCCAAATATCTGACCCCAACATTAGAATGAGCTGTTCTTTTTGGCTAGCATTTGCAAGCGCCCCGAGATTTGGGGTTGGAATGTGTCTTCATATCAAACACCGGCAACAGCTAAATGCCACACCATATTGATTGGTAGCAGTTATTTATCGAGACAACTATACTGTTTTAGTTTAGCTTCGCCTACGAACGAATGAGGTCGTGTTTGACTCACGAACTTCCCTCATCAAGGCGGGATCCAATTCAAGGTGTTTTTCACAGCATGCAACCGCCTCACAGGTTTCTAGTCTTGCGTCTGAAAAGTGTGGTGTTACATCCCCGAGGGGGTGTTACACGTCAACAAATGGCTGAATCAAGCCAGCACATTGCCGCCGAAGTCAAATCTCCGTTAGGCCAAAGAAGTAGGCCTACACCAGCAGCTATTACATGATCGTGCTGGCAAAAGCTGAAATGAAAGGTCCAGCTGCCAAGAGGCCACTCACAATGCGAAGACTCGGAAATGAATCCTTGCGGTGCGGCTGAACCACTGCCAACGTTCTTGGCTTGACTCTAGCCATCGCCAAAGGCTTAGTTCAAGCCACCTTTGAGCTTGAGGGCTGGCTCTAGTGCACTCCACTATGGAGAATTTGGCGATGGTGTCTGGATGCGTCCATTTAGTCTCCTGCGGTCGGCTATTGTGGCGTGCCCTGGGCATACTCCCCATTAACATATTCACAAGTGGCTTGGGAGGCCTGTTATGCTGTTAAGCTGCTGATGAGACCTGTGCGCTTAATGTACATACATATATAGAACAGGTCCTTCTATCTCATCCTCTGACGGTTGGCGATATAATTTGTTGAACACGAAGAATCCTGCTGTCGGGTACGATCTTTGTCACTATGAAGCCGTCACAGCTTCTTGTCTTGCTCTCCGTTTGTGCTGGAGGTTTGGCACAAAGTAACACCCCCGCAAACCCCAATCCCCCAGCTTCTTCGGAAGTAAAGCAACCGGCACCGGCAACATCTGCTGTTGTCGAGGTCCCAGCAGTCTCTTCTGCAGCAAAGCCGCCACCATCTGACAACAACCCAAGTAAGTCTTTATATGTTCTCACAGTCATGTTGTAGAAAGTGTGAAGACCAAGGCCTAACCTCGCTCTTCTAGGCGTAGTAGTCCAACCTTCCGCCAGCGCAGCCCGGCCGAACACGCAAGAAACACCACCCGCCGTAAGTCAACCCGCAGACAAGCCCGCAAGTCAGCCAGCAAGTCAACCCCCAAAGAACGCTCCTGCGAGCTCGGCGAAACCCGCCGGAGGGCCAGACGCAGCTACTGAGAACCGCAAAAACCCGGCGACAGCTGCACCGCCACCCCCCGCCCCGTCGAGTGATAACGACCCCAAAGTCAACTCGCCCGGCACATCGAACCCCAATAGGGCAAATTCTGACAAACCACAGGGATCTCAAGCACTTACAGGCTCAATTCAAGTTGTGACAGGTACCGATGGCCGCGTTGTTGTCCCCGCGGCTACAGAGACTGCAGCACGCTCAGGTGCACCTCCACCCCCGGCAGGCAACGGTACCGATACCCGGTCAAGAGCGTATGTTTTAACTAGCTGTTCTTATGCATGTATATGCTAACCCATGTAGATCTGCTGCCGGCACCGCTGCAGATATTGCAACTGCAACGCCTTCCTCGCCCGCCCTCGCAACGACGATAGCTTTCGCCGCAGCTCCTTCTGATGCTTTTGCCAGCGTCAACAAAACTGCCGTGGAGAAGATCCCTGAATCAAAGGAGCCACCACCACCTGATGTGCCCTCTATCAACCAGTTCCGCGCAGAGTTGAACGCCAATATCCCCGAGAAGGCCCTGACGGAAAAGAACGCAAAGTCATTGGCCATCTTAGAAACGGCGTATTTTGAGTACTTTGTCAACCAGGATCCCGCGCCGGTAGATGAGGGAAAACTCTCGATCTCGACGAGCATATCTAGTTGTGAGGCCAAGTTTGCCCGTAGGATGGTTAAGAAGAGAAGCCTTGTTGATCAGGTGCTGGGATGGGTACCTCTAGTTTCGAGGGACCTCCGTGGTTTTGGTAACTGCAAGGCGGTCAACTCGTTGGAAGTGGGAGTCTATTTTCACTACATGAGAGCTACAGCAACTGCCGAGAGACCCAATGAGCTGGAGGCGAGAGTGAAGGCTCAGGTGAGACTGCTTACAGTTATCCAATACGCCAGGTAATCTGACACTGTTTTAGGTTGACGCCCTCAATGAGGCACTCAGTGGGATACGGATCAACTTCCGGTATATGGGGCTCAACTGGTGGGAGCCAAAGGCAAACGAGGATTGGACCACCATCGCGAGGAGAGATACCAAGCTTCAAGAATGGCAGACACGCACGCGAGCACCCGGGAAGCTCACGCTTACCGTGTGGGTTGTCAATGGGCTTGAGGGAAACAACAAGGAAGATTTGAACAGCGTAGGTCGCACCATTGTTGCTTCAGACCGTCAGGAATTAGTCGACTGACCCGAGAAACAGTATGCGACATTTCCCAACGAAGAACTAGACGCGCATGACGGCATCGTTATCGAGGCAGCACATGTCCAGGGCGGTGAATCAACAACACTCATTCACGACGTTGGTCATTGGTTTGGCCTAGGACACACCTTTGGCAAAGTCGGCGACCAATGCAACTTCCAAGATGGCCTAACTAACGGAACACAAACGTCGGGTAATGAGAACGTGATTTATGAGTGCTCTCAGGTGCCATGCACAGGTGGAGCTGCCATTGAAATCAACAACTACATGAGCGTGAGTGTTTATTCTGCCGTTCCTCCAGCATCACTTGTATGAATAAACAGGCTGACACTATCAACAGTATTCCAAGTGCCGTGGCAAGGTCCCTCGAGATGGTTTCACAACTGACCAGAAGGCGCGCATTTTCGCCAATGCTCTTCAGTTCCGTCGAGGGTATGAGACAGGCGAGTGCATGCCAGATGGCAAGGCGGCTGTACGGAAGCGGTCTAGCATGCAGGATCTGCTTGACGGCAAGTGCCCCGACTATGAGAAGCAAGCCAGCATCCTGGTGAACACGCCTCACAAGAGCATGGCACCTAGGATGCCCAGCCGGCAAACTAGTGGGTGGCTTGGTGTTGCTGCTATATGGGCGGCGGTCGCACTCTTTGTCTAAGCGATTATGGTAATGTTATGCATGGACCGGAATTTTGAACTAAACTTATGAGACACGACCACACTACCCACAACCAGTGGTTAAGAACATAGCATTCTCTGTTCTAGCAGTCGGCGTTGATTTGACGAAGGTTCGAGGGCACATTGACAGAGAGGACAAGTTGTAGTAAGATCAAAAGACGTATTAATATTATATACCAGGCTGATTGTATTGAAACTACGCACACCCGATCCAGTATGTCCATAAACCATGTAGAACAAGGGCACCACGCCCAGCATCCCAAGTCTGGCCAATTACTCATACAGCATCATTCCCATCAACCATTTCGTCACACCTTTTCACGTCAGGAGTCGGGGTATCAAGGCAAGCCACATTCGTGACCAACCCAGAAGATCCACCCGCTCGCTGGATCTCAGGTTATCATAGTTCCGTCGCTTAGAGGGCGAGGGCACCGAGGACGAGCATGGCAAGGCCACCGAGGGGGGCGAGGCCAGCAGCGCCGGCCTGGACGGGGGTGGTGGTAGCACTGCCAGCACCAGTGGTGGTGGAGTTGCCAGCGTGGGCCTTGGTGGTGGTGGCAGCAGCCTTGGTGGTGGTGACGGTGACCTGGGTGGCAGAGGCGGCGGAAGAAGCAGCAGAAGAAGCGGCAGAGGAGGCGGCAGCGGAGGAGGAGGCAGCAGCGGCGGAGGAAGAGGCGGCGGCGGCAGAAGAAGAGGCGGCAGCGGAGGAAGAAGCGGCGGCCGAGCTGGAAGCACCACCACCGGCGCCAGCGGCAGCGCAGAGCTTCTCGGTAGCGGGAAGAACCTCACCTAAAAGGAGTGTTAGCTACTTGAAGAAACCTGACCAAGAGGGAAGATGTTGACATACCGACAGCCTTCTCGATACCGCAGGCGGCGACGACGCAGGGGGTGGCGGCAGTGGTGATGGCGTCCTTGTTGGCCTTGATGCAAGTGCAGGAGTAGTCACCGTCAGTGCACTTGGTGGCAGAGGCGGTGGCCTGCTTCAAGCAGTCGCGAGCGCACTCGGGGATGATGGAGGCATCCTGGGCGACGACAAGGGCGGCAAGAGCAGCGATGGCGAAAGTGTACTTCATTTTGGCGGTTTTGGGGGGGTTTTTGGTGATGGTATTACGGGTGTAAGTTGACAATGGTAGTTATACAATGAACAGCGAGTGTCGATTGATAGAGACAAGCGAATGTGGTTGAGGGATGAGAGCAGAAACGATAACTGGAGCTGAGGGATGTAGGGCTTTATGTAGGCAAACAGTTCAAAGGCAGTTACACTCTCGAATTTGCTGGGAAGATGGAACTTTCGGGTTGGAGTGGGAAGAGAAAGGACAATCCCGTAGGTTTGAGTGAACCTGGTTGGTCAACTCAAACTCGGTTCACTCAAACTCAACTGGGATAGATGCAGTCAACGAGGTAGAGCCACCGGAGATTGGGTCTACCTGAACAGGGTGGTCGAGGTATAGCAAAATCTGGGGGAGTGCGGCGGCGTGTAGCTGGGATCCTTACACCAACAACAGCGACATTGCTGGGCTGGACGCAATGCGCATGCAGAAGCTGCGTTGTAACGATATGATGAAAATCGATCGAGGACAACGGCTAAGACCTCGTTAGCTTCCTGCGAATCCCCGGCCTGCTGCTCACGCCTGACTACAAAAGGAGGCGAGGGTTGCAGAATGGCAAGGAACTGGACGGGTTTGACTGCTGGATTGGACAAATTGCCCCGGTTGGACGGGGATCATCTAGAGGCCGGGGTGAGCGGTTTTGGGCCGCCTGCCGCCGCGGCGCGTCCATAGGATGCGAAAAGACTATGGTGTGTGGGATGGAGGGTGTGGCATATGCAAGTTATTCTCTCTTATTTAGTATACATATCGTTGGGCATGTGAAGAAGATCGATTCCCAAAAAAGGAGTGGCATGATGAATATTGACCAGGCTCTGCACTGTTGGAAGAGCTGGTTTTCTGTATTGGACGGGAGCAATTTCGGGCACCACTCATTGAGTTGGTGGCCGATCCTGGTCACCCTCCGTGCTACACTATAATTTTCGCAGAATTTTGCCGGCGAACAAAACATCTTGTCATAGTGATAACCCGGGTGCTAATACTCCCTTTTCCCTGTCCCTAAGTCTTCGTCTGGGGGGTGGTTCCTCCACATGGTAGAAATCTGGGGCAACCAGGGGCAAGTTCTTGGGACACAAAGGGTTCGATGTCTGATCCTTGGCTGGAAGCAGAAAACTTTCAATGCCAAACTGAACTGTTCTGTCGGACGAACGTATGGCTGAAATCCATGACGGCCTGTATGCAAACCAAACTTTTTTGGGGCTGGGAATTCAGAAGTCAATTGCCTGGCTTTGAGTGGGAAAGGCTGAGCCACACTCCAACAGGAGGTGAACCTTTTGGCTCCAACAAGCTGCGTCAATGCATCCGAATTCAGGAACCAGGGCAGAGGCGTTGCCGAGACTAGGCCTCCTCGTATTACGAGAGGCAAACTCACTAGAGCAGCCCCGGATGACACATTAGAAGGCAAATAAAAACAAAAAAGCAGGAAGACAAGGGAGAAACTGAGGTGGGCAGACGCAGGAACACAGCGGCCACCAGCCAACGATCACCCCCTCCATCAGTCAGTTTGGGTGCCATCCGTTTGTTATTCTCGGGGTTGATTGGACAGGGAAGCTTACTCCTGGGGTCCGTCACCGACCTGGAGAAGGGGACTGCTGGCCGGCCGTGGAAGATGCGCCAATTTCCCCCGCACGAAGCCATTCCTCAATGGGAGAGAATACCAGGATGCCCCTGGCCAGAACAGGCCTACCGAGGCGAGTCTGCTGCAGGAAAAGAGCAAAACGGAAAGAAGAAAAAAAGCATCTGATTTTGGACCTTGGAATTCGTTGATGTTGACGAATCATGGATGGATGGCGGACCGCCAAAGCCATCCCATCGTCCATGAAGGAGTATTCGAGAACCATCCTTCATTTCGTCCGTGGAAAAGTCAAGCTACAGCGGAGACTGGCAGAAAAAGGCCGCCCAAAGTTAGCCGCCCATGATTTAACTCTAAACTAGAGCCAATGGGTCTCGACGACCATGTCCAAGCAGGGCCCTCAATGGTCGGAAAGGGCCAGTCCGGTCCTTTTGCTGGGGCATTGCTGGAACATTGCAGGGATCTATTGGTGAAGTGGCTCGACGAATCGGCCGAGCCAGCCGGCTTTTTTCTCTCCTCATGCCATCTCGTTTCCTGTACGGCCAGTCAGTCGTACAGGTCGTAAGGTATCGCCACCACCCTTTTTACGGGCCAAAGGTTCTGTTAGATCGCTTGGCCATACGCCACAAGCTTCGTCGAGGACCTCTATCAGATCGTGATGGAGGGACCTAAGGATCCGACCATCGGCGAAGGCTTGCGTTTCCGTCTGACAGTCAGATCCGATGGCAAGGTGGGAAAAAGTTGTGGTTCATCTCGCCTCGCGGCACTGACGGCAAAGAGGCCTGTGGTGAGATTATGACCCCACCGGTATGTGGAGAGGTCGCCAGGATCATATATTCAATAGATTCCGGAACCGAACAAACAATATCCGGCGTGGATGGTTGATAGTCTCTTCTGAGCGATTTAGGAAGCTGAAGTTCTGCGCCTGGCAATGTTGCAATGCAGAGAATAGAGTGTCAGACAACAAGCGAACAAGTCTGGTAGGTGAAGAAATTTCGGCAGAGAGTATCTCTGACGCACCGAGTGACACTACCACTTACTGTCAGGTCTCCCGGCGGTATACTTGGAGATGGCGGTTCCAGTTGCCGTTGAGCTGCAACCCGGCCAGTCTTACGTCGTATCGAACTGTTCGGTGGCGTTGTAGGCGATCTGTTTGACATCGAAAAGGATCAACTCCTTCAAGGCCAGTGTCGTCGAACCCGAGGTTGCTTGTGATATGTAACCCTCAAGCACTGGCTGCCTTGATTTCTCGAGGGGGAGTGTGACGTCGCCTGTTTTGGTGTTCGCGTCTGTGTCGCCTTGTTGTGCCGCCTTGCTGTGCCTTGCTTTGCTGGTTCGGTGTGCTATTGGTCCTTTCTTGATCCCCCGCGATTCCGTTGCCTTCTTCTTTGCGCGTTTTTCAATCCTTCACACGATCCCTTCCTTGATTCATTCCAAGCGCTGCTTGCTATCCCCTTGTTGTTCCATGATGCGATGAATATCGAGAGCTGGATATGAGTTCGACGGCCTTCGTAATGAATTACCATATCCCATAGGTCTGCTATCGCAATCAAACACGTCGACTTGAATCACTAAGGCTCCTAGCAGCCTTCAGCGATGTACCTGGCGCGTATAAATGGTGAAGTGGCACAACTTAATGAGCTTTGTTGTGCTTTGGTTGGATCTGTAATGAGGAAGTCGCATTCTGATCGGCTAGCATCTCAGCATCTTCTCTAACTCGTGAAGCGCGATACACGATGTCGACTTTTACGATCCCATCAATTACTGTCAAACGGCGTATGCAAATGAATCAACTTGACCTAAAAGGAAAGGTGGTAAGTCAAGATAAGGTTCTTTTGGAATATTTTGGATGATGTTGGCTTTAAATACAAAGCGCAGCCCATCAAATGTCGCGTCCAAGCACGTCATGTAATGGGTTGATGATATCAAAGCCAAGAAGCAAAACCTCCGGCCCACAGCCGCAAAGGCAACAATAAAACCCCCAGAAGTTGAACCTTGTATATTGAAGAATGTGAACATATTCATTATCTACCACCAATTACATGCTGTTGTGAGCTTGCAAAGCCGCTGGTTGCGACGTTCTTCAGCGGCGTTAGCAAGGCTAGGTTATCGCTTGATCTGAAGCCCAGTCACGGGCGAGAACTACTTAAAGGTGCATGGTAAAAGGTTCTTCTTACATGCATGTATCTACTGAGCAAGAAATTGACCATGGCCGATTAGTTAAGCCGCTCCATCAGCCCATGACAGCAGCGCTTGGGAAGTCGCAATGCTTTGAAACGACTCAGCTATGCTGTATGTGCTCGCGAGACAAACACATGCCTTCAAGGTATGAAATTGTATGGCTCTATAAATGGATTAATGCATTAATTACACTGGCTAATGGTATATCTTTGGTTACATGAAGTAGTGAGGTACCATCCAGTTGCCGGTTGACACTATCCCAAGGAACCGCACAGGTCTTTGCGCAAGTCTTCAGCTAGAAGTAACCCAGATTCGCATTGAATATGCCCTCTAAGGTTTCATTGCGATGCTCATGGACTATGAACCGTCTTGGAGATCTTCAACCAACCTAGCTGTACCGTTAATTCGGCATGTATATTTCGTTCACTACAACAAGCCTACAGGTCCTTTCTAATCTTCTTCAATATTAAGATGTTCAGAAAAGCGAAATAAAGGCCAATGCTCTGTGGACACGTAAAATGGATGTTTATAGACGTTTAGGGAGCTCTCGGGGTATCCAGTTTGATAGACAGGGAAACCGCATTTCAATCTGCAAACAAGAGGAAGAGTGCGTCTACTTTGGCTACCACGCAACGAGTCTAGATCGTTCTGGTCTATAAAGATTTGACCACAGAAAATCCTGCCTGTCAGGCTAGCTGTGAATGAGGAGTTCCTTCTTCCCACGACTGCAGTTTAGTATTCCACATCATTTACTCAAGAACCCAATATTCAGATACATTTCAATATGGCTAATAGACTTCCTCGGCGGGTTCAGTCGTTATAATTTTTCACCACTCCTGAAACTAAAATGAGCTTAGAAATCTACCTCGCAATAGAAACAGTGGTTTTCAGCGTGTCAAACTGTAAAAGGGCTCCGAGAGTAGTATGTCTCGACAAGTAGATTTACTCCAGCCCGGCGGGTATGCCTATCTAGTCGATATCTCTCTTGCGTTCTCTTCAACAGAACAAATAAATAATTAATATGTGACTGGCAATTAACTAAGAGTTTTCAAGTTTTTTTTTTTTTTTTCTCTCATAAAACCTTGCTTGAGGTTCAGACCAAGTTTAGTGATGACTATGAAAAAAGACTCTTGCTCTCTCATGCGGTTGAACGCCTGATATTACGCCTACAAGGATTTACAACGACAAAAGGATTAGCATCGGCTATTAATTGATGTAATTAGAGTCAACAGTACGTACGTTTTATGCGACTCTGTAATCCCATGTTATTTTATCAATTTATCAAGCTGGCGTGGAATTAAATCATTGACCGATCTCGTATCGCCAACGTGGAGAGTACCACTGAGATTCGGGGTTAACTTCGTGACCTGTCGAATTCCCAGCATGCATACACGTGATGCATTCCTGAACATGTCGGTTAAAATTCTATCAAGCTAGGATGCTAAGAGATGGAGCGGTTTACACCACTTTCGCGAAATTCGAGAAACCATTGAGTAAGGAAACATTCCAAGGGCCAGTAACAAAACGCATGTATGGATAGATCATTGTAACTTGATAAAAGAATAAAAAAAGATTGACAACTGTGAGATTCGAACTCACGCCTCTTTCGAGACCAGAATACACCCCAGTTCGGGGAAGATGCGAAGGTGGGAACCTCTTATCTTGAGTCTGGCGCCTTAGACCGCTCGGCCAAGTTGCCTACATGCTTCGATGCTGTATGTTGCAAGAACATGAAGCTACCAGTCACACTTTGGCAGTCACAGAGATGACCTAGATTTTCACATCAAATTTATTGGAATCCTTTTTTGTTTGCAGGTGGAAGAACTTGTCCGGGGCAAACCGTGGCCCACTATAAGTGGCATAGCGCTACACAAAGAGATAACCATTGCAACAATCACGATATGATAAAAGCCGAACTGCTTAGTCGCAAAATGGACGCAAATCCAGTTGTTACCTTACAAGAAATCAGAGTCCCCGTTTCGACTTCTCACAAATCTAACCCCTTGTTTTGAAGGTTCTAGGGGCGTCGTTTGTTCGAGAGTGACTCGCCATGTCCCACTACCATCGTCCGGCTGATATGTCCTCCTTCGAATCACATCGTCCCCAAAAATAATTTGCTTGTTGCGCAAAATCTCCCTGCAGACCTCTTCATGGTCTTCACTAGTCTCTGCCCTTAAAACTTGAGTCGACCTCAAAGTCGCCTCGAAGACCCGGGAATCATATATTGCATCCCGTCGAGGATAATCACGAAACAGCTGATGCGCCTCTTCTCGAGTCTCAGCATCAACACAAAATACTCCAGCAACCACCAGCGGTAATGTCGGACCGCTATCCATTGTGAAAACCTCTTTTGCCGATTGTGGACTATCGTCCTGTCCCTTTAGAACTATCCTGCAGAGGGACACAATCGCTTTGAAAGTAGGAGTTGACGATGCCAATACTTCAAGATCGCTGTAGTACAAGGTTTTCAAGAGCAATTCAAGCGACAGATAATGAATCCGGAGGCTCACCATCTGCAGGTAAGCCTTCTGATTGGACGTCTTTTCGCGAAGGGCACCCTTTGTCAAGGGTCTGAACCGCTCACGCCATCTTTCCATTACACCAAGGTATTTCTGGGCATCTTCAGTGGATATTTTCGTCATGGGCTCGGGGTTATTATGTTGAAGGCCCTCAAATGCCCACCCGGATTTAATCTTGGACTGATATATGACGTGGTGCTGTACGATTTCCCACCACTTCTCAGCTTCCCCAAGGTCGGAAAAGGACGGAGGCAACTCGTCTATGGCGTAGCGAGTCCTCCAGCCTCGACAACACCATGGCACGTATGACTCAGTTTCCTGAGGGTGAAGGCCATTAAGACTCCATGACAAAAGTGTGAAACGCCGGAAGCTTGAGTGAACCTCTTGAATCAATTTGGGAGGGCAATTGCCAGACACGCCCAGCCGAGTAATTTGGTCAAGCATGTTGCACCCGTGGTTTATGTGCGCCAAAGCCGTCTTGCGGTTGCCCTGCAAGGCCTCGAAAGTGACAAACAGAAGGCAGGATAGCAAAGCGCGTGGTATGCTTTTTCTCGAGGGCTCGCTGTTCCGGACGATACTTATCGCTTTTCCATAGTGCTTCAGCGCCTCTTCCTTGAAAGGGCCAGTGCCTGTTGTTCGTTGAAGGCGTGTGTGAGTGTTCATGGTCGCCGCGCCAATCGCAAAAGCTGCGTGGCGAATCGCGGGTTCATCACGCGCGATTTGAGGCAACAATTGTGTCATTAGATCCGACGGGAAAAGGGAAAACTCTTTGGTGAAGGTCATCCAGTAATCGAAATGATCCTTTTCCAGCTGGTTGGTGAAGATATTAGCCTCGTAGTTTGGCTTGATGAGCAATGAGCGGGATTCCCCAGCAAGTTTCGATGCCCCGGCCGCAGGCTTTTGAATGTATCCTTCGCAAGTCCGTTTGGACTTGGTGCAGTTCAGACATGTTGGTTTGGCTTCATCGCAGCGTATACGTCGCTTCCTACAAATCCGTCAGTCGTTCCGTGGCTGATGCAGAATCCCTCATGCGACACATCTAAGGAGGGCTGCAGCTACTCACTTGCAGGTAACACAACCAGACCGAGATTTCCCCGTCTTGTTCCGGTGTGTACGGGGTCTTCCATCAACGGCGAACGTCACTAGACCAGTCGCTATTGCTGCTGACTTTGAAGCGCCTTTTGCAGGAGACGTCTCCCCCATTTCTCGACGAGTTCACGCTTTTCTGTGTGGATATGACAGTAGATGCTCGCTTGCTGTTGCGTGGAATCATCGGCAAAGCCAGGGACGGCAGGGCTGACATTTAAAACGGGCCTCGCCTGGAGCATCTCCTCCTCCATGTCAAAAAGGAGGGTTAGACACCACCCCAGCGCGCTAACAGGCTTGGTGTGAGGGGCGGGTGGTCCGCTGCAGGGTGTTTCTCGTTAGCCTAGTTGAAGATGACAGGTAAACCTGTTGTTGCGCGTTTAAATCTATGGCTTTCCAATGGCTGGAGAGCCGATCGTTTGTTCCATGTGATTTGTAATGGAAGATACCAGTATTTGAATTTGATCCTTCGGAATGAATTCCAATTTATTGTGATCTGACGGCCATGACAAGACGCCTTAACAACCCAGGCAATGAATGCATCGTGAGGGGATGACGCGAGTGACGCGCAACAAGCCACTCAGCTTACTAGAGCTTGGGGTGTTAAAGCGGGAGAACTAACGTGTGAATGTTGATTCATTAATGCAATGGTTCTAGTCAGTATTGAAAATTATGGTTTTATACACACTCTTCATTGCCTCAACTCCGACGAACAAGTATCTCTGTTCGTGTGAATCCCCACGTTCAAATCGAATCGGTCTTGGCGATAAGGCCAATCAAGTAAGCAAGAATGGGGAAGGTCATCGCAGAAGGATTAGCCGCAGACCTTTCATCCCACTCTCGGTCAAACCGGCCAGACGCCTACTGCGCTAGTGCTTATCTTACTTGGATTCACGAAGAAGAAGCTAGAAGAAATACAGCATTAGAGCAATACCATGGAACCTGCGATGCCCTCATTTAGCTTGGGTTGTTGGGCAGTCAATGTACAGGAAGAAAAACAACATCTTGAGTTCTAAGCCCAGTGAGCGATACACCCACATACAATATAATACCCGTTGTCTCTGACGTGATTGTATCCTATTTGTCGCACTTTGCATATACAAGCATTGGAAGATGAATGAGTTAGGATCCAAGCCAATGCCAGATTCGTGGTAAAATATCAAAACTGTTGCGTAGTCATCTGTTATTATGCTAAGGTAGTAATGTGGTATAACACGCCAACCCCCTCTCACTAATGATTCAATACATTCCCACACCAGCCCAGAGAAGCTCATGCCAGTCTCCAGGGTCCAGGTTTTCGATACTAAATTCCAATGCGCTTCCACCGACAGAGTTTTCAAACGGGACGTGAATGTCTCCTGATGCAGCATATGATGCCTGGCGGTTTTCTGGTCCTGCTCCAGGCGTGGTTGTGTCTGCCACTCGAAATGACGAAAGGTGGGCTGACACTTCTCCCAGGCGAGAGTTAGGAGGGCTACAACCGTTTTGTTCCGTCAATGGTCCAGATGATACATATTGGCCCGAACTATCAAGCTTGAGCTGTTGCGCTCGATGTCTGTGAACGCTATCAAGAAGGATGCGTAATGGCTGCCAAAAGGGATCAACCTGAACAGCTTCAGCAACACCTCTGAGATTATCATTCACAAGCTCCCATGCACTTTCTGCTGAGTCATCCCATGGAAGTGAGCAGATGCGGCTAAGGATTATTGCGTATGGTTGCCACGGTACGTGTCCTTGTAAAATCCAGGCAAATCTCCGGCCGGCCTCTGATTGTTGGACCAAAGCCGCATCTTGAAGAACAGATATTGCTAAGGCGAACGAAGCAGTATCCGGAAAGTTATCCTGTGACGCTTGCCTGCGTTGATGCTTGATAACTAGCTGGAAAGTGTTGAACCTGAGCGTGAATATGATGTTGAGAACGCGACTTATAGACTCATCAGGGTGCATGTTAAGGCGCTCTTTCGCTGCCTTCTGTACCTTTTGAAGATCATCAAGCATCGTCGCGATACCCTTGTCTGGATCCAGCTCATTTGAGCAAATTTTGGATGAAATAGACTTCACTCTTTGCATCACTCTCCATATGTCCCTTCGAATAAGACTGAGCGACGTATCGGTATAGCCCTCTCTCGGAGCTGGGGGTGCTAGCATTCCAGGATCAAGATCATCATCATTGACATTGGTTGGTGCCATGGTATCGAAGTCCATATGTGAAAGGCCTACCCCAGGCACCTGGCTTTCACCTAGTCGTTCATCGAAGCAACATATATGCCACCACAGCCGACGGCGGTTTTCTACTTCAAACGGTGTTACATTGGGGAAATGGGAACCATCGCGGTGCAAGCCGATCGAGACAGCGATGCGGATAAGTAGCCCAGCGAGGGACCACACGTATCTCGATGACTTATCCCGCCAGAAATGGAAAATGTACAGGGTCAGTGCTTGCACAACGACAATACTAGTGGTGTTGATGAAATCTGCCTGAGCCAGAGCCTGCTCCGTTCCGAAGCGCAGCTGGGCGAGGAATTGGTGCTTGTCCTTGCCGAAGTTGATTTTTACCTGCCAGTTCACGTTAGGTTGATTCCTCATGGATTCTTAAGGGCCAGAATGTCTAACCTCTTCTGTGGTGAGAGTGTCGATGGCTATAGTCGATATGGCAAAGAAGAGCGATCTCATCGACATATCTAGATTTTGGAGTCGGCATTTGCAGTCTTGAAGCGCTTTAAGAAGAGTAGGCGTATGCAATATGTGTATAACTGGTGATACATTTTCAACAAAGGTTTGCCAGATGAAGAGCATCTGCGATGGCAAAGGTTGCAATTTCTCTAGATTGTCGTCCGTCTGACCTTGAGACCTTCTGCCGAACACGAAGTCTAGGCCCTCAGAACGGACGTCTTGATGAGACGGAAGAAAGCTGGGAGCGTAATAGTTTCCGAAATCCGACTTATCGTCTTCTAGTTCGGCGAATGTTTCTCGTACAATCTTGATCTGAAAAATTGAGACAATGTGAGCACACTTGAGAGCAGGGAGGTATTGGTGTTTTGTCATTGCGTACTTCTTGACGTAGTTTTGCCCAAAACCGGTTGCCAACATAAATTCCACCTTCAGTCCCAGAGACGATAATTGGAGATTCAGATTCGGAATGGCCATCGAGACTACTAATGTCGCGGTCTTGATGCCACTCCATCAACGAGGGGGTTATATTTTTATCGAAACTGCTGTTAACATGCTGGCTGGTAGTGTTTTGGGTCCCGTCCAGTGTACTCGGAGAAGGCTGGATATTTTCCTGGAATGTCTGGTCTCCCCACTCCATGTGTAAAGTATCGACAGCATTTTCCAAACGACTGAGCCTGTTAAGGAGATCAGTTTGTGGCGACTTATTCAGCGGCCGCCTCGACTCGGGATTTCGGCGCTGGAATGTTCGGCCGGAGGTAGGGAAGACGCAGTTTCGTTGGCCCTTGACACAATTGGAGCACGGCTGCTGGTGATCGCACCGTACTTTCCGGCGCTTACAGCTCAAGCAGTTCCAAAGATGCTGCTGTTGGGATAATGGTGGGATCGTGTCCGACATATTGTATATGAATACAATCTACTAGGAAGACGCATAGGGCGACAGTTAAAAGCATCCATATCATTAGAAATCAGGAACATGTGGGATCAAGATTGGTAGACTTGTGGCTTATGTAAGGCGCAACTTGCCCAGGGACGCGGCTTTTGTTTATTTGCCATCGGATATTAGGGGGTAGTTGATTCTAAGCAATGGAAACAAGACTAATCCTTTACATGCGTAGGTAGAACATACTAGCTTCACGGCCATAGTGAAATATCTAAGTAATGCTGTTGTGGAAACTTATCAGATATCCCAGTGAGTTTGCCGTGTGAGACGGCGTTGGGTTGAGGGTAATAATACACACAAGAAATAATAAGAAAAAAAAATAAGAAAAGATTATCTGAAACCCCATCAACTTTGGAAAAGCTCAGGGAGAACACCGGGAGGGCGTTTTGATGTATGAACAGATGATAACACAACCGACAGAATGACCTTGTGCCAGCTGCTTGGAATAAAAGTCGTATGTTGTGAGCCGGCAGAGGGGAGCCTCATATATCAATTTTGCGGCTTTTTCGAATTTTGTCGCCGTAAAGGTAAAGAATCCAAGGAACTGGGATGAAGGCGATTGCCAGGAAAGCCAAGAGACTATTTCCCCATCCGTATCCCAGGTTTTCATACATGGTAGGTCCTGCTAGCGGAAGGAGAGCGCCAACCAAGCTTCGAAAGACGGTGTTTGCAGCCACGGCAGAAGCTCCGGCCTCTGCTCCAAAGATCTCGAGAAGGTAAATCATTTGTGGCATCTATGGTCAGATTAGCTATGGCCTGCCAAGATGTTATAGAATACACGATGATAGGGCTTACCATGATTGATACGAACCCAAACCCAACAGGCAAATTGCCCAAGATGGGCACAATCCAATGAGTTCGCGCCTCCACACTCCAACCGTACCAGAACAGGCCTATGGGAAGGACTGGCGCTACATATGCCATGAAAGCTAAGCGATCCTCTGGCCGCGTGGAGCCCCTTTTTCTGGTGTGTGACTCCACGATTTTCTGGCCAAGGACAGTCTGGGTGAATAAGCCCACGAAAACGCCTATACCAAGACCGAGATAAGTCAAGCCAGTGATGCCAGTCGAAAAGCCGTACTGTTTCTTGAACACAGTCGAGAAAGTAGTAAACAAGAGAAACATTAGCCCAAAGGCGAACGCGGCGTAAAGCGAGAGGAACAGAACAATAGGCGAGAAGATAAGAAGCCTCATCGGTCTGGTCATGTCGTGGAACAGCCGGCTAATTACAGCCTCTCCAGGTGGCATGATTGCAGCATTTCCACTTAGACCTTTCTTGCGCCTTTCAGCTCGATGACGCAGAATCACGGGTGCGTACGTCTCACGTAGCCAGAAAAAACACATGAAAGCAGCGACCCCGGACTAAACCAGGCAGTTAGAGGTTGCGCCATAGCCAAAAGTTTATAACGGCGAAAAGACTTACTGCAATTAAAAGAACCCGAAAGGCCCAACGCCACCCAATATTTTCGCTGATAAAACCTCCTGCTATGGGCCCAATCACAGGCCCAAGCATTGGTCCCAAAATAAACAAGCCCATCCATTTCACGCGATCTTTGGGAGGAGTGATATCAGCCAATGATCCTAGCCCAATTGCGAGCGGTGCGGCGCCGGAACATCCACAGAGTAGCCGGAAAGCGATAAAGGATCCGATGTCCGTAGCGAAAGCACTACCAAAAAGGAAGGCAATGAAACCAACACCAGAGGCAATATACACAGGCAGTCGACCATATAACTCCGAGAGCGGCGCAAGCAGTAGTGGACCTAAGGCAAACCCAAGCACAAAAATAGAGACCGCTAAACTGACAACCGTGCTGTCGGTGATGTGAAATTCGCTTGCCAATTGTGTTGCGGCCGGGGCAAACATTGTGGACGCAAGGTTACTATTGCAAGCAGTCAGTGACTTGAAAAAGTATTGAATTATGACGTTGATAATATTTAGTATCTGGTAGAGGCCTGTTCCACGTACGTTATGAGAGTATAAAACGCAATGGTGATGATATGCATGCGGCGTTTGGATGCCGGCCAGTTTAGAGGATTTCCAGGGTCACCTGGCCCATCCCATGCAAGCCCAATAGGAGGGACTTCCTCGAATGTGATGTCTTCCATCCTGCTATCGCTTTCCGTCTCATCGGAAGTTAAGCCTGAAATGGATCCATTCTGCTCCTTGGGCGGCATGCTGGGATAGGCTACTTCGGCATCGTGATGGTCGAGTCCGCGTGTGCTGTCAGCGTTTCGATGGACTGAATGGGAAATCATGATTGTTCAAGGCAAATAGGGTAGTCCTGTGTAACGGAAGCATTGTTACTCTCTTCGTTCATGGCTATACTTGTTATATACGGAAGGGAGGAAAGTGGACTTTAATTTGTGAGATTTGGGGCCGACGGTCGAAAAGTGCCGTTTCCCGATATTCATGCGGACTATTGAGGGTTTCAAACCGAATATCTTCGGTCCATGTCTAACTTGCGCAGAATCACGTTCAATGAGGAGTGGGTCATCGGTCTATCGGCCCTCGGGGCACGGGGTCACCGGCCTTCGGTCGTTGCTGGTTGATGCCGAGTGCGGCCGTTACCACCCTAAAGTCAACATAGTACTGGCCACAATTGGTCGAAGCCTATGAGAACCAGGCCGAGGCAACGTTTCCCTGCCGGATGCAATGCTCTAAAACAGATGAGTTTCTCGAAATTTCAAGTTGCAATTTGACATGCGTACCGTGTTCTACATTTTGCAACAGCCTTTTCTACCTTTTTCTATGTAGAACGAGGGAATCAGTCATGCGATTGTACTATGTTATATGGGAAAGGATAAATAAAAAATGTGTCAATCGTTTTGCATAACCTTTAAGGATAAAGGAGTACTTTATCATCTCGTCCGGCCACAACTCGTCGTCATTGCGAGGCATGAAAAACACATGACTGACTGCACAAGATTTAAGTATAAATGCTTCTTACTAGCTATAAATTTCTCAGAGAAGTTATCTAATGATATGACATCTACGTTTTGAAAACCTTGCTTAGTAGACGTAAAAGACGGTAGTCTCATCGTTGCTGGATCTCAACTTCCTGTTTCGCTGCTTCATGATCACCTTCGCAATCCAGGCTAGGCCGGCAGTTGCGATACTAAAGGCGGCGCTAGCTGCCATGGCTGGGACGTATCTAGGCTCATCTGCTTTGTTCCAGAGGTAAGGAGTCCAAATGAAGCTGATGTTCATGATCATGGTAACCATAGAAATGGCCACTGCCTTCTTTTCCTTAGTCTGACCGCAGACACTGCCGCACCAGCCGAGAATCAAGGAGTTTACACCATAGGTACCTAAAATATGTTAGTAAAACAACAGGGTACAGGTCATTTATATGAAACATACCAATCGTAAATATACACATGGCTACGTAGCGTCCTGCCATGTTCATTGTGGCCGGTGCAATAGCGAAGCCAACGACGGCAACCGCCTTGGAAATAGTGATGTGCCATGTGCGCTCGTTAAACTTGCCGGATGACCAGGAAACGGCAATGGTGACAGCACCGGCGATGAGGTAAGGAGGGCAGGTAAGCACGAGAGTCAGAGTGGTGTTGAGACCGAGGGTCTTGATTACACTAGGGAACTGGTTTCGTTAGCCTTAAGTTTTGGGTTTGTTACCGTATGGAGATCTTACGAAGTTCTTGAAGCCGTTTGCTGCCAAATGCATGTGCGCCATTGCGCAGAAGATCCAGACCATGGGGTCTTTGGCGGCTTGCTGTAGACCCTTCCAGGTGCTGGTCTCGCCCTTGTTGCCGACGGTGTCAAGCTCCATGCGGTTGTAAGCGAGGTCACGCTCCTCTTGTGTCAACCACTTTGTGTTTTGAGGGAAGTCAGGAAGAATGAAGTATCCAACAATGGCGATCAAGAAGGTAACGACACCCTGAAGGATGAAGAGCCACTTCCAGCCAGCAAGGCCTGCAGCACCGTCCATGCCGTGAAAGATACCGGCTGCAATAAGGCCTGCAAAGGCAGTGGCAAGGATGTTTCCGGTGTACAAAATGGCGATACGGGTTGCAACCTCCTTACGCGTGTAGAAGAGAGAAAGCAGGTAGACTGCGCCGGGGTAGTAGGGAGCTTCAGTGAGTCCAAGGAAGAAACGCGTCAGAAGGAGGCCGGTGAAGTCCTTGGATACAGCAGTCAGAGCACTGACAATAGCCCAGAGCATCATCATGATTCCCTGGTGTGTAGATGTTAGCAAGTTTCTCCGGGCTTTTTTCCAGCGGATTCCCTTACCATGTACCGACTGGGCCTTGTGCGAGTGAGAAACATGTTCGATGGGATTTGACCTCTGAGAGTTTGTAAGCATGACATTGACATTAAGGGGTGCGGAGATAAGATCTTCTTACAGAATATAACCGACGAAGAGAATAGAGACACAGGTCTGATATTCTGGAAATGTTCAGCAACAGAATTTGAACGTGTTAGAGATACACTGTGAACATACGGGTTCCGGTTAGATTCAAGTCCGCTTCAAGGTCGTTCAGACGTGCCAGCGCGATGGCGTTACGGTCAAGGTACTGCAGAACTGGAGGTGAGTAAAAGCTTTCGTTAGGGACATGAGCCTTTGCCTACGTTAAGCCAGTACATCGACCAGAGCATCGGCTTTATCAAAGTTAGCTTGCGAATTGAATTAAAAGTAAGTCAGCTACTAACCATGATCCATCTGTCCAGCTTTTTCACAAGAGCGATCTCCTTAGGGTCTGTTTTCTCATGGGCACCGGAGTAGTCGATCTTGCCATTAGTCCTGGGAATAGGTTTCTCAGGGTTCTCGTCCTCGAAGAACTGAGGCTCGACGTCCTTAGTTTTGGTATCGTCGGTGGTGACATGGCTGTTGGTGTTTGTAGGAGCCATTATGGCGGATGGGGCTTTGGACTTCACGGAAGCCTCTAACACAAGGATGATATCAAAGATTGCGAAAAGACAACGACCACTGGTGTTTGCTAAGCCTGGAGCACCGTGAAGAATAGCTTCAACCCAATTCTCAGCCGCTGGGGATGGGGGTGCTTATGTACTTTATCTGTGGTGGGGATGCCCAGACTTCGAGCTCGCACAAGACGAGTTTGTAGAACATGGGCACAAGGAGCGTAAGCTCCTATCCACGTCGCCTTTTCATAGCGTGCCTGGGATCGAATGGGAACATGGGATTTAGGATAATGGGACACCCATACCAGTTTACGCCAAACATTACATTTCTTCCTTTGTTTTGCCAAGACATGCCCGACATGTCCCGACAATCCAAGACTCCATTGGGTGCCCAGACGGATGGTGATCGCATCCCTGGAGCTTATGAGCGGGCGACTGGGTTGGTGTATGTCGGCTAGTTGCTATTAACACCATCGGCAACATGTCTTGTCTTACTGGCTTGTGCTGCAAAATCCCGCCGCCATGTGAATACCAAGCGTGGATAAAGCGACATTGCATCTCTTGCCCTAGCTTCTTGGCAAATGCTGATGTCGATCCAAGACGAGCCTGTACCCATTCATGTCATACTGTGTAGTAATGTAGACTGCCGGACGAGGGTGAGAGAAAAGTCCCCGGAAACTTCATGATGGTTGTCTTGGCTCTGTGGCCTCCTGACTCGCCCCAGGCCAACGCTGGAACGCCCTCTGGTCGTTCGTCTGGTGATTGAACGTGGACGGAAAAGGTAAAATGCCCGTTCATATGGTTCTTTGGGGGGCCCCATAGGCTCCAGGCCGCCCGCGGATGTGGTACGTGTTGTGGGAGAGCAGTCTTCCCCATCCGGGGTAAAGGGAGCTTGGGCGGTAGGGAGAGCTGAGCGTCTCCATGTCGTTGAGGGGTCCCGCTCTGTCCCCGCGAGCTTTTGTTCGCGTTCCCTCTGGTTATCTCGCTGTGTGCATGGTTTTACGTGGGGGGAATGGAGTGGCGGACATGGGGAGGCAGTCGAAGGACAATACGGGCTTGGTATGGTCTAGATTTTTGAACACCAATACCGACTTCGCCAAGAGAAAAGTGCATGCGGGTTGCAAAAAAACTGGCGTCGCGCCAAGTTGCGCCAACCGATGCCAACCTTGTTTCAAGCTTAGCCAACATACTGGAGCGCTCATTAGCTTTTCTTGGGTTCCCTTGATGTAGGAGACACAGTTGGTGGCCCTGGGGGACGAGGTACGTCCTACCAGGCTTGTTTAAGCCCTCATTCTTGGCTCACGCCAGGTCGACGTTGTCGTTGGATCGGCACTCGGGAGACAAGAAAGCTTCCTTGATAATGTGGCGCGCTAGAATACATCTTTCGCGCTAGAACTTTGCTTGAACTCCTTGAAGAAACCGCGAAAACTTCTAGTCGACAAATTAAAGTTACAGCTGGAGCCACGGCTAGGTATAGAAGTTCAGAAAAGGAAGCTCGCTTTTCTTAGTCACAGGGTCCGAGAGCCCTTGCGTCGACTAGAGCTGAACAAGGAACATATTTATGGGGTATGGGGTAGTCAGGCTATGCATCCTGCTAATAATGCTATGAGAATGTATGTGTGTGTGTGTGTCTGCAGCAGTTGTTTTTTTCGGAAGATCCCCGTAGTACAGATGGACCCAACCACCACAGGGTTTGAGAACAACAAAGAACCAATCGTGTGGGCTACAATACTGGTGGCATTATGGTAATGATGATGTGGGACTGCAGATGACCAGCCGAGAAGGGCAGTCTAACCTGTTCATCTTGCGTACCACTGTTCGCGTCATCAACCGAGAGGGGGGTTGACCGCACTGGCCCCAATCTCATCTCTCCTGAGTGGGCCTGCGTAGCAACACAAACCGGTGGTCACAGTGGTGTGGATGCATTGTTAGACCTGCCAACGACAGACTGATGGCAAAGGAGATGAGGTTTCCCCAGATCTCAAACCCCACGAGAGTTCTGCTGGACCCAGCTGCAATCAGACCGCACTTTGGGGGCCTCTCTTGCTGCTGCAGTAGTATGCAGTCATCCGTAAATACACACGTGCATATATATGGTAACCCGGACCAAAGGTGCTATCACGACCTTCGTTCTACGGGCCATCGGAGACCACCTTATGAGACACATTAACGGCTTCCCATCGCTAGTCCTCTCTATTCGCTCACTTGTCGGCAGCCGCCTTCAAAGCGCTATGCTGGATCGTCCGTGGCCAAGAGTTTTTGGTGCAAAACTCAAGACGCCCAGTGGAAAGCCAAGAAAAGCATGCGTCGAAAGGTAAAGCTGGGCGTGCATGGCTGACGCTTGTTCTCGGCGACTTGGCGAGAGGGGAAGGGTGAGGGGGATCTTATATGTGTGGTAAACCGTGACAGAAGCATCTTCTCCCATCCGTTAGTTAACAAATCAAGGTGTGTGAGCCTGGATGACAGTTGGGTAGCCCCCTGCTTCTTCCCCAACTTTACCCCAAAGCCCAGCCTCCGGGAACGCCCACAGCGCCCAGATTGGGTATAGTTGACCTTGGAGTTTGCTTCTTGGAACTCGGTGACGCCGGAGTGAATGCCGTCAGTGGCGGCGGGATGAAGGCCGTTGATAACAACACACAAGGTAAGGCCTGATATCTACCAGCTGTCATTTTAGTATCAAATGAAAAGATCTAGCATTTCCCATGATTCAGATGTATTTGCCTTAGATTTTACTCCCCATGGGGTAGTCGCGTGGCCCAGTGTGGAGGAAAAATTCAAATCATTGCGCTTTTTACTTTTTTCGCCTCTGCAGCCACCTCTGATTAAAAAGGACCCCAATGTCACGTAGTGGATTGGCAAATCGTATGTCCGGATGCTGACTAGCTGCAGCTTCACACAGCAGACGCTTCCCTTGGTCCAATGAAACAAGGGACAATCATGTCCGTGCCGCCTGTCCTGGCCACCCTGTGGTATCATAGGCGTCGTCTTCCACCAGCCAGTCGACATGTACGGCGCTTGCCGAACCCTAGCTGCTTTTCCTTTTCCCTTTGGAGTCTTACTGCATGGACGGAACCCCGGACTGCTGCTGCATCATACCGCCAGCTCAAAATCAACGCGGACTTCCGACATCATTTCAGTGTCTTGAACAAACCTGTCCTCGTGATGTTGGCCTGACATGGTCCTTATTTCTTGTGGCTGCAGAAAATGAATAGATCATTGGATCCTTCATGATCGAGATGGACTGGGGGCTGTTCGATGGCGTCAGCCGTTACGAAAAGTGCACATTCACGCCTTATAACCCCGCAGTCTGGAAAGGTAGGCATACAAAAAACTCCATGGATTCATATTGTGAGAGAAAAAAGAGCAAGTATGATGAATCTTCCTATATCCCAGCTTGAGACTGTCCTTGGTGAGTTTGATATCTGACAGTTCAAAAACCTGTCAGCAAACCCCCCACACAACCAGCTGGCATCTGACCTTTCCACTGTTCCATATCCAAGGTAAGAACTCCCATGTCAGCATAAATCTGCGCATCCAGTCATAGAAAACGTCCGTGTCTGAGCGTTCATCAACCCTTGTGGGGGCTGTCAGGTAATGTTGCATCCGTGGCCCTCAGTCAAGTATTGGCAAACCAGTAATGGAAACGAGAATAGGCCATAATTGGCCAGCATGTTTCTTAAGCCACCTGAAGACTGGGCAGAAATGAAACGACCCTCGATTCCACAGTCTTCTTGTGCAATACAGTAATCATTCTTGGGTAGCATGCAGAAGCATGAAACGTAACGTCCTACATTTGAAGGGGCAATGGTCTCTTTATAGCTTTCACACTGCCTGTTTTACCCTTTAATACAGTCGCCGACACAGAGCCTCGGATCATAGCCCGTCACCATGGAAGGATTCTGAAAACAGTTTATGTAGCTTCCTTTAACACGACGCTGCGCCTCCAGCCCTGGTCATAGGAGAGCAGTGTCTAAGCATAAATCCAGATAAGCATAATGTGTCACCTTACTATCCTTTCAACTTTGATAGAGGCAGTTCTTTTTGTTGCTAATTAAAATGCTCAACTACCAATAGTCAAGGCCGTGTGTGACACTTCTTACCACAGAGCAATGATATTTTCGCCCAGAGTATTGCAATCCCTCGATGAAGTAATCAATGGTCCTGAACCCAGTGATAATACTTACATGGCGCCCCCATAAAACTTGACAAACAGTTTTGGCATGGGTGATCTTTTACGTTGTCCATTACGCCCGGAAAACATGCTCTAATACTGGCACCAATGTTGATGATGGGACCATTCCTGCAGGCCAAGTCTACACACGGTCCGCCAAGCACGTATCAACAAGGGGATTGGAGTTCGGGGCCTGATTTGTATCCCTTGTTCCGGCTTGTCCCGCTGGGAGGGTCCTTTATTGATGTTCTCCGAATTCAAACCTCGGAACATGGGTTTCTGTCACAAACGTCGACATGCACAGGTCAAAGAGTGTTCTGTCCTTGCTGTCATTTTCTTGTCATCAAGTTGCAAGCATATCCACTTAGTCCTCTTGGTTGATACTTTCAATACAGCCGAGCGAGCATTATTTCTTGCCTAAAGGATGCGAGGGAGCTCGTATTAAAGGCAGTGATCGTCACTTTGACGTTGGTAATTAAATGTCAAGCAGAAGATGGCTAATTTTCAGAGTTTCAATTTCATATCCCATGAGTGCGCAGGGCATCATTGCGGCTACCATAAATCGGCCTTAGCAGTGGTAAAACACCCAACAAGAGTAACTGCTTTGTTGAAGACGGCTACAGTTATTTAACAGCGCCAGTCTCTTGCCCCAATGGACGAGCTCAGAGTAGCATGTGAATTCAACCCTTCAAAAATGCACATCTAGACATAAAGACTTAGATTTATCAGACGTTCTGGTCTACCCGCTTTGTACATTGCAATCTTCGTAGGTTACAGTATCGTTGGACAGATGACATTGTACATATCACGTTCTATAAGTAAAAGCCTCAAGATTGGATGAATATGGCAAGAAATTAAATGATTGGTTTTTCTAGCCTAGCGCTGCCTTTCGAATTGTCATCTTAGCCAAGGTACCTAGGTAACAAGTAACGTCGCACACCCACTTCTCGCACACCCCCACATTTCGCACACCCATAAATTGGGTCATCATGAGGTATTCATCAACTTCATAACTATAAGTCTGATTCGTCTCCTGCAACTGTGATACTATCGCCAGTTTTAATAGGTAATTCAGGCTCGCTAGATTCATCTGAGCTATCCTCAATTTCGCCAGCCTCAATTTGGGCTTTGTGAATTGCCTCAATGTTGGCAAACTTCGAATTTGGGCTCATTTGGACCTTACGCCGCTTCCGTACCATTCCAGCCTCAACTTCTGCTTCCAACATTGCAATCTTCTTCTCTGCTGTAGCCAATTGATAGTCCTTTTCATCAAATCCCTTTTGAACCTTCCGAAACAACAGTCGCTGCGTTTGCTGATCTTTATCCAACTTGCTGAATAAGCTAAGTTGATCATATAGATCAACTGTCTTCTTGGGCGTTGACCAGGCTACTATGGATGTAGCAGATGCCCAGTTTTCGTCTTTTCCACCATCAGAGGCCCTCATAGGCGTAGAATAGCCTGGCTTTGAGGGCTTGGAAGCATTCTCAAGCAGTAGAGGGCTCATGAGCGGTCGAGCTATCGAAATGGGCCATAGTCCTGTTGCTTTCCAGCCGCTTCTGATATTCTTGCTTGAAAATGCCATCTGGCGTGCTTTTCCATAGCAGGTAAGAAAGTTCCGTTTGCCTACAACTGTAGAATCGTTGTGTTGAATGAGGTATCCAAGCTCTTTTCGATAGGTCGCCTTGAGAGGCCCAAAGACTGCTTGGTCTAGAGGTTGGAGAACGTGGGATGTATGTGGCGGTAGGAAAAGGAGATATATCTTGTGTTTATAACAGAGATACATAAATTCTGTTGTTTCATGACTGCCATGACCGTCTAGGATCAATAGTCTCTGCTCAGAGGGATGATCAGGCTTAGTCAGAGGGATAAAGATGTTCTCAAGCCATTCCACAGCTGTAGAGTCTGAAGTCCAGCCATTCTCAGTTGCTGTGAACTTCCAACCACTGTAAATATCACGTTTATGGATATCAAGAGGAAACCATTGTTGTTGAACCGATTTCCCTCGATAAATAACAAGTGGAGGAAGCGCCTGACCAGTTGCAGAGACACACTCAAGCATAGTTGTCCAAGCCCGAGACCCAGGCTGTTTTTTTCGCATTGATGAGCTTTCTGATGATCCCAGTACTAAGCCATTTGATCCTCTGCCTTCTAGGATACCAGTTTCATCCATGTTATAGCGATGATGTGGTTTGATCGCCTTGATCTCTGGAAGGGCGAGTTGTTGAAACCATTGCCTGATTACATTAGTTGAGGCCCCATTGACACGCTTAGAATCGATGGCTCTAGCTCTATGAACCTTGATTGATGGATTTCTCTTAATAAAGAACTGAATCCAGTTTCTCCCAAGTGGCTGGGTAGTGCCTCTGATGTCTAGGATTCGCTGGGCAAATTCCTTGAGTTGTTGATGTGTTGGCGGCAGCCCTAACGCCGCCTGGATACGCACCCATTCAGCTAAGTGACTTTCCTGTGCTGGAGATAGCTTCTGGAAGCTAGAGAAAGCTACATTTCTTGCCTGTGAACCCTTTAATCGAGACTGGAGGGTTGATGGTGGAATTCCAGCATCATGAGCTGCCTTTCGGACACTCTGCCCACTTGCAACTGCATTGAGAGCTTGATTGACTTCTGTTTCCGTATACTGGCCCATTAAGCGTATAAGAGTAACTATTCAAAGAATTATAATAATCGCTGTAAAAGTGGTGAAGATATTAAAGAATGTTGAAGAGGGTAAAATTCTACATGAGTGTTACGGCCAGCTATCTGACAGTAGGGTTCTGCTAACAGAAGGTGCAGTAAGAGACTAACACTGGTTCGTAGAGGTCGTTCTGGTAGATCGTAGGGTTAGGGTAAGGTGATCAGTCTTACACTATGGTAACGAGGTTCTTAGTATTCACAATACTGAGAGGTAAGCTGAAAGTCATTCGAGGATGAATCACAAGTTGATTGCTGAAGAACTATCTAGAGGGCTTGAGCAGGTACTCAAGTCCTGGTCTATATAGGAGTCTATCTACACGTATTGTCTGTAGTCGTTGGAGATCATATTGATCGAACATGATCCGTTGGCCCCCAACTCTTCTTGGATCATTCTGACCTAGAATGATTCATCACGTGACTTGTTCCGTTCTATAGTTCTTCCGTTCCGAGAGGTTACCTTTTGTTCCCGTGGCCCTGCATACGAAGTCCTGTCATAACCGCCCAACCGAGTGGGTCCTGTTAGGTGTATCTAACGGGTCGTAACAATGAGCGATTTATGGGTGTGCGAAATGTGGGGGTGTGCGAGAAGTGGGTGTGCGACGTTATGAAATAAGTAAGCACAAAACGGCGTTGAAAATGATCTCTTCGCTTCCCGTGATGTACCTCGCTGATGCTAATAGTCGTTTTACCATCTGTGTCGCCACAGGTTATAGAACCTAGCTTCGCTCTTCATCATATGATGCCTCACAATTTGGAAGTCAACCCCAGAGCTCCCCACGCACCAATGACTAGCCCGGATGTGGCCCTGAAAATTGCTGCGCTCGGCACTCCTTCTTGCCAGCAAACGAAGCCATCAACAAGACCGACACAGACTAGCAATGCCATGATAATGTCTACTGCGAAGAAATCTCCTCTGAGGTAAAAAAGAAGCTGCGCCATTCCCAAGGTTGATAGCCGAGCTCCACTGAGAAGGAAACACGCGTGGGCTATGGGCGACTGTGCAAATCTTTCGGGCAGCCCAAACGAATGAATAGCTCCTTCTGGATCGAATACAGACACGAGACTACCCAAGGTGTGAGCGACCGCGACGAAGATAGGGAATAGGTGGGCGAGGCGGAACCGCTGAGATACGTTGGCCAGTGACATGGCTGTGCTGTTTTGAAGGGTTGAAGTCGGTAATCAATGTGCGGCCTGAGGGTTTTCTGGTAAAGAACAGGAACTCGATTTGATATTTAAGATGAAGAAGCCAGAGCGGTGGTTGCATGGGCATCACCAAGCCAGCACTGTTATCTCACTTTCGCTCAACGCGGTTGAAAACAAGCCCTAGTCGATGTCAGCACTAAGACTTGGTTAGGTAGCCACGGCAACAGCAGCAGTGGATAAGATTGGCCAATCTTATTGCTAATCATATCATCGGTCAATTCTTTGGCCTACCTGATACTAACGCCTGATGGGGGTTTCAAACACAAGTAAGTTTTCGGCCAGGTTGCTCGATGCATCTTCCGCTTGCCATCTACCATCACATCGAGGCTTTAGCTTTCAGAGTATCTGAATTGGAAGCTCCAACTGCTTTCTCATTTGCCAATATGAGCTGGAATTTGATACCTGTATGTCAAATTCCGATGTCCTTAACTGTTGCAGGAACGACTATAACTCTGAACTTTTACATACACTAGGTAGATGGTGCTTATTACGACGAAGACTGGACACTTTATTTCAACATGTCTCCCCAGCGTAGCCTTGTTTGTTGGTTTGATAGTTTGTTGCCTGTCTAATTGTAGAATTCTGGATCTTAATCTACATACTTATTCACAGTCTAGCGCTTCTTTTCCACAAAATTTATCAGAGTTCTTTTCTATATACAGTATTGGATCAACTATCGGACTTATAAGTTCGGAAATTCACTCTTTGCTCCTGCAGTGGCTGAACTGGCCTAAAAGTCGAATGCTATTACCCACACTAGTATTCCCACCTCCACTGGTATTAGCCTTGGATAAACTTAGAAGTATAGCAGTTTGGTGTCATCTAGTCTATCTTGAATCTACGTGTCAATTCTATGTCTGTTCTTCTATGAGATAGGGCCGAGTAGAGGTCTTAAATGAAGGCCATCTCCTCGTCAATTGGGATAGTCCTATCCCTTAATGGTTGAACCTAACTGTCCTGCCATTGAGCTTGATGCGTCCCAGACACACATGCCAGGGGTTAATGCACCAGCGAACAAGATGAAAAGTCTTGCTGAAAGCATCAACTTTGGGAATTCTGTTTCGCACATTTTCCTCAAAAACAGGACATTTAGTATTTGTGGTTCTGATATGTCTATTGCTTTTGCCCTGTCCGACGCTCCTTTCACATCGCAATGTTAGTGTCCATTCCGCCATTTCACCAAGTAAGAGAAATATAATGCATGGTATCAATTGTTAACAGTGTCAAGCCTATATTTGACCGCTTTGTTGAAGGCAGCCGTTAGCCGATAGAAGATTTACGACCCAGTATCTCACAAATGGGTGATTTCATTGATGTGCTTAGCCGTCAAGTCACTTCTTGACGGATATATGCCTTGGTAGGTCTTGAAACTCTAGCCAGTTGGTCGCATAGCTTACATCTCTCAATTTCCAGAATGAAGGAAAATTCTCTGAAACCCTTTTGGTCGTGAAAATAACGTCCAATGAGCCACGTGCGCTTGGGATGATCAGCTTTATCCACTTGAGTAAGTCAGAGCTTAAGCCGAGCAATTGGGCTCTCATAGGGTAGAATCCTCCACTGGAGGCAGCGACATATATCTGCTCTGGAGTGATTGTTGTGTCTTGTAGAGGGGTAATTTGGGAGTCTGATCTCAGTGCCTGTTCCAATGTTTCCGGTTACAAGGCCTGAATGCTGCGCGTGACCGAAAGTGTGGTTTTTTTCTTTTTCTCTTTTGGCACTTCTTGGTGATTATCCGATGCAATGTTCGCGTGCAAGATGATTCAAGTTATTGATGGCTTAGCCCCCCTTAATAAGCCAAACATGCACAAGAAGCTGGGTCAGGATATGGAAAGAGACAGTTTACAGCATGTTCAGCCGCGCAGAAATCTGCTGATATAGATTGTTCGGCTCGTCATGAGTGCAGCCATATCTGCGCAAAAATCTCTACTGACAATTTCTATAACATGAGGAATGATAAGCGTGATCCGCCGCACGGCTCTGCCAGTGAACTCCTGTAGAACACTTTGAGATTCCCGATGTTGTGACTTCAGTAAGCTCACATCGGAGCCGAACTGGCCATGTTTTGAATGTTTTCAGAATCAAGCGCTGAGAGGAAGATGTAGTCAGCAGTTATCCGAGTAGTTGTGTCTTCCAATTGTCATTTTATTGTGCGTCGTGGATCACAAACAACCAATGCTTGCATTCTTATCTTGGCTTTCTTGAAAACCAATCAGGTGAAAATATCTTAATCGTCGCTTAAGTTGATTCTACATCCATGGATGTTAGTGTTTGTAGCATCAAAGATGCTTAATGGGAATCGTATCATTTCATAGCTATCGACAAAATTCTGCTGGCTAAATAAGAATTGGCGCGTTTGGCACACCTGCTCTGGAGTCTGGACTTCGTCTAAGTTGCGAGATCATGGGCCTCTCTTTCATTCAGCGACCATTTTCGTCATGATCACCAGAGAGCCCCAGCGTGTTCCTGACTCTGCTGTAGAGTCTGGCCCCAAGTCGTTCGTAATAATTTGTGGTGCTTCCAAGGCTGGAAAACTCGCCGTTATCAAGTTTCAAGTGACCATTTTGGTACACTGGCTGATCAGGTTTATTTCCTAGGACTGGAGTTGTGGAAGCGTGCCATGTTGATAGTTTTGCGACCTCAAGCTTTTGGAGAAAAGCCCGAGCTGATCGGACTCTATCAAAAGATCTTAATCAGTAGGGATATATAGCTGGCAGTATTCCCTTGCAACAAGAGAAATCTTTCGCACAATTCCCGCAGAATTCCCGGAGCTCGGAATGAATACGGGGCCGGTAACCAGGTTTTGAACCATGGAAACCCCGTAGTTCCCCCGGTTCAGGCCCCGTCGGGAGGTCAAAGCACCCGGCGCTTTGACATCTGGTTGAACAACCCATCTCATTTGTTTCCCACACGTGTAGTTGAGGAGCCGAGAGCCGCGGATCCCTCGTTGGCAGGATGAGCCATGTTCAGTGTCGATCTTTCACCCACATGGCCGCACAATGCTGGTGCGCATCCCTTCAGGATCCGGTGAGATACGGAGCTTCAAAACTTGACCCTTCCCATAAATACCATCTTTGGCAAATGTGGACAGTGGCTCGTTGGATCCTTGGTAATTTGTATCAAAGAGTTCCTTATTAGCATCGAAGAGAAGCATTGGATGTTTGGCTCGGGCCCAAGTCTCATGTATGCCTGTAAAGATATGAGCGACTGTATAGGAAGAAGGCTTGAGATCACACTCGTTGCTGAGTAATCTACTGGTGGTAGCACGCTGGCTCGCAACCATTGAGGCTGAGTTTTCTATCAGCAGAAATGTCGAGAGTAAAAGGATCATAAATGGAGACAAGCATTGCCCCTGTATTCCACGCCGTACGTGGTTGAACTCTGGTCATAATTCGGTTCCCCCGGCTAAGATCGTGCTACGACTGTCCAGTTTACATGAATCGCAGGCGGGGTTTTGCCTCGCTGCACTTTCCAGAATCGGAAGTCGGAATATTCGCAATCAGGAGATTCGGAAGGCAACATTTCAAGCTTATTTCCGGCCCGCCGGTCGATTGCGCGGAGACCATTACTAGATGGGAATCAGCTTACCCACACACACACAGCAGGCACACAAACTCACAATCGCGCGGTGCTGGCACGAAAGCCCCTCTGTTCCTGCAGACAGGGCTCTTCCTGCAAGGCACTTGGCCACCCTGCATTTAGGATCACAAAAAGAAAAACTTGGGTGTCTCGGAATTCCCGTTGAGTTCGATTCTGCAGCAGCAGGCTGTGACCTTGATTGTCACCACGATCACTCCGAGACGTATCAGGAACGATAAAGAGAACATGTGCTTCTTGCTTCATGTTAACGAAATAATATACTAAGGGCTATTTTAATATACCATCGCCAAGCATGGTTGCAATATTGGTCTGTTGGCGAGTCAGTGCACGACCTTGGTTCCCTTCAGGGCCAACGCTCACATCCGATGGGTTTCCCACACTGGAATAGGCGATGCAGCTGGGACCAGGGGTTCGTTTCGGGAAAATGGGGTGTTAGCCCCAAAGGGTATCTTTCAGTCGCAACGAGTCATCTTGCCTCGCATTAGGACGGCTGGCTAGCCTCCATTCTGGATGACAAGCAGGATATTCACCAACATCTTGGCCACCAACTCCACCAGGGTACGCGATATCCCTGTGGGCCGTTTCAAGACAGGCTCGGCTGGTACCTCAAAAACGTGGCGTCTGCCATCTGAGGGAGCTCGAAGAGCAGACCTTGTCCACTCGTTCTAGTCCTTGCTGTTCGTCATGTCTGTTTGAACCTCATGAAGCTGCAAAAAAGGCAGTCGTGATGGTGTTCCAACTCCCCTCGGCTGTCGATCCAGACGCCGTGGGAGTGTTATTCTATTCATTTCTTTGTCTGTTTGCCAACATCTTGTTGGTATGGCTAACCTGGACTCACAATGATAGGACAAGTTGTAAGTCATTTCCTATTTATTTCAGCTCGGCCAAGTCCCTTTGGAAACAGTAGCCCGTTATCTAATCATGAGACTTTGCTAACCACCCTGCTCATAGATATCGCTTGTATCTCCTACACTACTCTCATAGTTACCATAACGAGCATTTGTCAGCAGTTCTACGACTATGCATACTGGGTGGACATCATGACAGACCAGTTTTACTATGCCAGACAGAATGCCGAGAATGCAGAGGTTCAATATCATAAGGGCTCACAGGGTGTTAAACTCATCCTAAGCTACATTCGTGAGCATTTGCCGGTTTCGCAGGGTGCACCTCAAAATACTGATAGGTATAATGATAGGAATATTTGGTTTTACTATTGAATCAACATTTGTGTTTTTCTTGTAGGTACTGTTAATTGTTTAAGTCAACCATCCAGTTTGTTCACCCATTTTAGTGCTTTGTCTCTAGCTGCCAGTGTATATGGCTGGTTTGCAACGACCCCCCGAACAACTCGTACAATTTCCATCATTGGCAGAATTCTGCCTTTTGTACTTGGTGCCATCACAGTCGGCCTGCTGCAGGCACCATTTGTACAAGAGTCCTTTTTAGTGTATATGCTTGTTGCTAATACACAATGTGAGTGTAGTCGAGATTCAGTCAAGAAAATGTAGAGATTAACTTGTGACACAGTTGTGCTAAGTCTTTTGGGCAGTGCTATACTACTGCTCATGATTTTGTTTAAATACGTCCACTCACGGCGAAATCTACAAACATGGAACGTACTTTATGGGAATGTCGGCTCTTTGCCCAGTAGCAACGCCCCCAGCAGCAAGTCTCGGTCTGTTTGGCTCGGCAGCAGCTCGAGCCGCGGTGGTGGACGAAGCCGAGCAAACAGCAGCGCTGGCGGTAGCAACACATACGACAGCTGGCTGGTCATCCGACTTTCCATAGCATTTGTGGTTCTATGGTAAGTCTTTGTCCACACTTCTGCCCCATGCATGCAACACTTCAGCACAAGATGTTGACAGGAAGTTAGTGTTTTTGAGTACACCAATACCGTACCGCGCCTTGCCGCAAAAAATCATACTATCAATACTGCAGATGATTTGATGCCAGATCTCAGTGTAAAGCGAGCACTCTCTAGTGTTCGTGGCTATGTTTCTGGCGTCACTCCTAGTTTGGTCGCATTTCTGGTTTTCGGAACTACGAAAGCGTTTCAAACCAAAATGTATATGACATTTGTGCCCAAATGGCTACGTCGAAAGAGTAGGCCAAAGAGAAACCTGTCATTCTCGTTCGGCGACTCGGGACCGCCGCCACTAAAACTGCAACCCACCACAGATCAAACACCACAAGTCGATGAATGGCCACTGACTGATATGACTCCAAAACCGTCTTATGCCGGCAACTACAGCCCCCGATACCCGAATAATGGGAGCATGAGCCCTAGACTGCCACATGGCATGCACTCGAATTCAGCGTCCCGTATAGGATCACCGAAGCTCACGCCAACTCATAATCCAACTTTCAGGCAGCCAAGTCCAAACACAGCGTCATTTTCGAGCCCGACCAGGCCAGTCACGGGCGTGAGTGTTGGCAGCCCGAGTTTGCATTCGAAATTTTCGACATACGGACGGCCTGAGACGAGAGATGGAACATTTTACAATACCCCTTGAGGTTAGAGCAGTATTTCGATACACCATGTATCAGTAGCGAGGTCTAATGAACAAATTTCAATATACAAAACAATTTTAAGACTATGACAAGAACATCTGTGACCCAGCTGGTGATGGCAAAGAATGATACCACGGATGTGGGGTAGGACACTGGCTGGACACCACATACCACAGTCCAACGATGTCTTTGATCTAACCGGTATCTTCTTATTAACCGATTTGTGCTGAATCACTGGCTGGTAATTTGATGGCAAAATGTATTGGTCACATTTGACTGTGGATCAAAATGTACACAAAGCAATGTCCAGCTCGTAAGACTACGCTTCCCGGCTTTTTTATATGCCAATGTTCCTGTCTATTCTAAGAAGATAATCTTTAATGTTCAAACATTGCAGCAAAGATGAGAACTTTTGTTAGCAGGTTTGGCGCGAACTTATGGTACGAAAACCACACCTCCGTTGTCTCTACGGTTCTTAGATAACCACTGAAGAAGACAGCGAGAAGTACAATAAACTTGGGATATAAGATCTCCCTTTTTTCAGGCACTGATTATATGAGACGGTGTTGCATGTCAAACTTGGTGTATGTTGCAGTGGAATTCACTGCTAAGCGTGATATCTATTCATGGTTTACTATGGAACAGGCTGATCGACCCAGACTTGGATTCCAGCTTTAACAAGCTCCAGAACGATTTCCCAATGTGTCTTGCACGTAGACCCCTCGTATTCGGCAGAGAACCCCTCATCTTGGAGACGTTCCATCTTGTCTAGCCTAATTTTGCCGTCCAGTATGAACGGGCACGTATCATGTCCACAGGTCCACATGGGCTCTAATCGCAGCCGCTCGAAATTGGGAAATGATCCTTCAAGATACTTTGACGCAAGCCATTGAAAATCTTCTTGGAGATGATCAAAATCGCCGTCTATACGGAGATGATTTAGCGACTGAGGAATTGTCTGTAAGATGGTCCCCGGCACACATTCGAGGCCGTTGAGTGTTAATCCTTCCAAGGTTTGAAAAGCTTTTAGAGAGATGAGCCCATCAGCCTCGGGGTCGTCTCCGTAGGAAATGAAACTGAGTAATTTCATGCTTTCTGCGTGCTTTTCGAGAGCCACTATCACCGGAGCAGGGCTCTCGTCGCCACATTCGAATTCAAGATGCTCCAGGCGCTTGCATGATTCGATAATTCGAATGATTTTTTTCGTGCCAAATTGATCATCATCGAGATTAAGGCTGGTTATATTGCTCCAGTCAATATCACCTTCATTCATTCCAAGCAGGTTATTCGCGTGGAAGACTTTGAGATGAGGTGCTAGATTTATGAGACGGCACAAGTCGTACATTGGTTCTGGACGAAAGTCTCCTGGTCTGACCGAAGAGCGAAACTCTTTAAAAGACCTTAACCGATGAGATGCACGCACCGGAATGCTCTGGTAAAATGACGCTGGGTACCCTTTGACATCCACAGTCTGGACATCGCTCGCTTTGAGGAGAACTAGACCTGCCAGGATGCTCGTACTCTCCTCATACACATCCCAGTTTTCAGGCAAACTTAGTCCGAGGCTTTTGGCTAGGCCGTTGATAAACTCCGTGTCATCGTAGGAATAGACAAATGCATCTTTATCTAGAGTGTTCCAGTTGATGTATATTTTTCGAACACAACTTGCTGAGTATGGATTTGCTTCAAAATACCGCAGAAGAGCTATGAGTGCTGGACCGGTTGTTCTCTCTAAGCTTATGTCTCTGTAGAGGAAAGGTACGACGGCCTGGTGAAGCTGGCGACATGTTTGTGACAGGGATTTCAGCGTGGGAATACTGTTCGTGTACACCTCAAACAACGGCATTAACTGAAAACATTCAGGTTCTGTATGCCTATAAACCTCCGATAGAATGCAACGAAGCAGCTCGCGGGGTAGAGACAGTAGTGTCGTCATTTTGGCCTTGTTTGCAGGCATTTGTGGCGGTTTGGGAGGAAAACGAGGTGGGATTTGGCGATAGCGATTCCTGAAAAAGAGTATTATGTCAAAAAGCCAAAAAGAACATTCCAATTGCGCCTCGATCCAGTGTGATGAAGAGACTGTAGTTGCGAATACCCATAGAATAATGTGAAATCTCTCGTGATTATTCGGTTTTTTTCCTACTCCGTTTTCCGCGACCATTCCACAGAGACCACCCCGAAAAATCGTTATATCTTCCTTGGGCATTTGGCCCCACTAATTGCTACTTGACACAGAGAATGGCAGTGGCGCCATTAATTGCATTTATCTCCTTATTGAATTAAACACCCTAAAACTGCTACCCCGCTACATAGTACTGTAAAGTAGTTAGGTACTAAAAGATTGACACCCGGTTGGGTGGAACTTGGTGCCTTAATAACAAATACCACTCTCAAGCTTACAATGTAAGTCCAAATCTAGCTAAATAATGATGTGAGGTCTCCAATTCCAGTATTTATAGTACAATATTGTGCCTGTGAATTTTCATTCGCCTTCCCCTAACCCTGAAGAAAACAGTGTACCAGCAATTCAACACATGTGCATAACAAACAAGTAGCGGGCAATATGGATTTCTCTCAATAATGATGTAGATTACTGCGACCAAGCGAATGCTATTTAAGTAGAATTCTCAGTCATTATAGTTGCAACGCTCAAGTACTGTTACACTTTCCCCCCGTTACTATCTTTTTGATCCTTTTCGTTGCGATTGGTCTAGGAAGAGAACGGATCATCGGCGAAGCTTGAAGAAAGTCAACAAATAGGTAGGCGAAAGATTACTAGGACTACTCACAAGGTGTTTCCCAGACCATCGTCACAGACGAGGCGGCCTTGAACAGGGCTGCATTGGGCGCCGTCCAACACAAATCTACCACCACTATTGTCCTTGGCTGGGACGGATTGAGGTACAGGAGCAGCTTGTGACAGGCTCATGACGCTGAAAAGAGCAACAACGATCGTCTGGAATCTCATGTTGGTTGCAGTTTTGGTTTGCTGGAGAGAGTTGAAGGTCGAGGTTTAAGAGCTCGGGAGATGCGTGATGTCAATTCTGGCCTGCCAAAAAAAAAAAAAAAATACAAAAAGTGATACACTAGAAATAAACAGCCTGCTGATGATGAAGATGGTAAGTTACAATCTGAAGGAGAAGAATAAGAATATTTAACATGTCCAGCGATATCAAGCTTAATAAGGCTGCATCCCAGCTTTTTGCAGGCGATGAGACGAATCAGGGGGCAATTGAGACGAACGCCCCGGTTTTGATCATAGGCGACCCTGTCTCTGTCTCAAAATCGCCCAATCACTGTCACATCCCACGCCAACTCAAACAGGAGGTAGGCCAGGATTGTAGGTGTGTCTGCGTACACTTGCAAAATCAGGGGTGTAAACGTTCCATCCTCTGCTGGTTTTTGAAAAGAACTAGATGCATTTTGTAAAATTGAGATAGCTATCAACCGCCCCAAGCCAAACTGGGCGATGAGTTGGTGTGGGAATCTAGAACAACAAGGAGAACGTGTATTTCTCAGTATGAATAGCTAGACTTGGAATAGTGAGAGGCAAGGGGTTACGCAAGTCTGGGGGCCTACCTACTCCTCCGCACCATTGATCTGAGCAGAATTTACATGCATCCCCTAGTGCAGCTTCTATGCACCAACCCCGCAAACAGGAAGCTTACTTAGTTCAAGAGCTTGCGTGTTGATGATTTGCTGATAGGGCATTTTGCTGACCAGCACAAGGTGGAGATCCTGCCTGTAGAAGTACAACACCCTTCACCGGCTGAATAGTACTAGTAGACGAAGGATTCATAAGCACCAATGGGAGCGCAGCAACGCCACGTATCAAATACCTTATTCAGACAAGTTCTGACGTTGGATCTTGAAAAGGGCGTACGAGAAATATCCACGGCTATTGGCTGCTGCCTAGCAGCTCTTGGTGATAAATAAAATCAATGGTAGCCATGAAACTGGCCAAGCGACTGGTAATGTTCTAAATGAAGCGAATAAAAGCTTGATACCAGGCGACAAGATGGCATCAAATGGATCGCATACACTAGTTGGCAACCGTGTGGGCATCATCGGCACGGGAATGATCGGGCTGGTTGCTCTCAAAAACCTCAAGGAACAGGGCCTGGAAGTCACGGCGATCGAGAGAAACGAATTCATCGGTGGGACTTGGCATGCCACCCCACGAAAAGGCGAGACTACTGCGCTTCCTTGGACTTCGTTCAACACCTCGAAACATTCGGTACGCGACGACAATAATGCGCATCATAGACAGTCATAGCTTACCAGATTATAGGGCCATTATACTGATTTCCCTTTCCCCAAAGGTGAGCCAAGCCTGAAGCATAGGCACAGTGACCGTCCATGGTTCTGACTAACTTTTATTATTTACAGATGCCCCTACACATCCCGGTGCCAAAGATGTTGAGCAATACCTTGAAGCCTATGCCGAACACTTCGACCTTTTGCAACACATACAGTTCTCGAAGAAGGTGACGAAGGTCGAGCGTGATGAAGTAACTGGGAAATGGACAGTGTTTACACGCAGCACCAAATCTGATCCCAACATTTCACCGGAAGAGACGCAGGCATTCGATCGATTGGTTATAGCCACGGGAATGCTCAATGTGCCAGTCGATGTGAAGATCAAAGGCATCGAGAGGTTCGAGGGAGAGGCTATGCACTCCCGCGACTTTAAGGAGCCTAACCGTTACGAGGGCAAGAATGTGCTCGTCGTAGGCATTGGGGCCACAGGAGCTGACACTCAGTCATTCCTAAAAAGGACCAAAGCTCGTTCAATTTATCTCAGCCATCGTGGCCAGTACTTCTTGGTAAGCTGAAAAGTTCATTTCGGAATACCTTGTTCAGTAGGCTTACGAGGACCGGAATTAGTTGCCACGGATGGTCGAAGGTAAAGCTTTTGACCACAGCATGACGCATCGCGCCTTATCAATTCTTCGATAACTGGGAAACTGGTGGCCTAGAGGTTGTGCCATGATATTACGAAATGCTTTGATCAGCGCACGCAAGAAGGCATGGCCGTGGCTGGATGAACACCCTTCCTTCATGCCTCCTCGAATCTTGGATGGCGTCGAACATCGCGTCCCTCTCTTCTCAGACGACTTGGCAGATAATCTCAGAGAAGGCACCACCAAAGCCGTTGCTGGAATCAGCGAGATCGTAGGACCCAAGTCGGTCAAGTTGGCAGATGATACTGTTCTCGAAGACATTGACGCCATCATCGTCTGCTCTGGGTACCACTACGACTTTTCCCTGATCAAGGGAGACGGGAACCCCACCGATCCGGACAAGGCGCCGGACCATTATGAGCGCATCAACGCGGCCAAGTACAAAGACCCTCATGACAGCTTTCCACGTCTCTATCGCGGGTTTATCTCCGAGCAATACCCCGAATCCCTCGCCGTCTTGGGCCACTTCTTGGTCATGGGACCGCCGTTCTTGATATACGATCTCACAACCATGGCTCTAGCCAGTCTCTGGAGTGGCGCTGCCCCCACCCCCACCAAGTCTGAGATGGCGCAAGACATTGACACTCATTACGCCAACGTTGTGGAGACACTCGGGCGCGGGCCGATGCCGCACATAGGGATCCGGATGTTCGGCAGCGCTACATACGACTGGCTCAACGAGACTGCCGGGACCGGGGTAACAGATCGTCTTGCATCTTTTGGTCGCGAAGCTTGGAGTTTCTGGTGGTCCGATCGGAAGTTTTATAATTTGCTTATGGACGGAGTGTCCTCACCACCAATGTACCGGCTTTTTGACACGGGGCGGGGCCGTAAGCCTTGGCCCGGGGCACGGGAGAGCATCTTGGCGAACAATGAGGATGTAAAGCAGATGGAGGAAAAGTGGAAGAAGGAGCACGCGCCGAAGACGAAGTGATTATTTTGAATCATATGCTGAATGTAGATGCGATCCTGAAATAAGCAAAGGTAGGATTTCCAGCAATATGGTAGCTTCTCTAGCGTCAATATTACCTTGTTATATTCGGTAATGCATTAACGAGCCCGTATACCTTACGAGCATTGAAATTGTGAGATACTACACAGCTTTCGGGCAAATCATCCTGTAAACCCATGTACAGATCGTATTCATATTCGACGTGAGTGGTCAGTTCAATCGATGACCGCCCATTTGGTTACCTGGATAAGATTATCCCCACCTTCTCCGCGGCACGACATCATGGAGGTCAATAACGCCATCGGTGGTAACGATTCGTAATCGCCGTAATCGCTCCCAGACACTTTCCAATGGCCATACATAAAAGAGGCATCGTAGATCTATCGGCTGCAGCTAGTCGCAAAAGAGGTAATATCCCTGAATTGGAATAATATTGCATCCCGTCCAGCCAAACCTAAACAAGGATCCAGCTACTGGGAGCACCATGGCCACCGTTACCGTTGCCCGACCCGTCCAACCGGACATTCAATACGCCCCGGATCGTCAAAAGTGGCAGAGCCGGGTTGCACGCCGGGTTCAGGAGGGCAATTTTCCCAAGACACTGCCTGCTGGCCTCCCGGCGCAGTTCAAGAGTGACCTGGTGTGGGAGGGTTCGACGCTGGCTAACACGTACGACTGGACTTATGTGCTCACCACAGAGCAGCTCGACGAACTTGATGCAGCCCTGGCACATTTCAAATGTGGGCAATTTTCTTTTCATTTTGTCTTTACACAGCTTCGACAAAGATTAATTGGCTGATGATGACCCAGCGCTAGGATTGCCCCTCGGTCACATTAACCAGGAGACGTTCCCGCTGCCAAAGTTACACCCCGAGCTGCGCAAGCTCTCATATGAACTGCACAATGGCCATGGATTCTTCGTCATTCGTGGCTTGCGCGTAGATGAGCATACGAGAGAAGAAAACATCATCATCTACGCCGGTCTTTCTTCACACGTCGCCCCTCAGCGCGGTCGCCAGGATAGACAATACGATGGCAAGGCGGCTGATGTTGTTCTCACTCACATCAAGGACTTGACTTTGACAAAGGAGAAAGGCCAGATCGGAAGTCCTGCCTACACTGCGGACAAGCAAGTCTTCCATACTGATGCTGGCGACATCGTGTCTCTTTTCGCACTCTCTACTGCCGCTGAGGGGGGCACCAGTAAGCTTGCTAGCATTGCCCGAGTGTATAATGAAATCGCCAAGACACGACCTGATCTCATCCATACTCTGACCGAGGACTGGCAATTTGAGGTGTAAGTTTTTTGTTCCCCTACAGCCTGATATATGTGTTCAATACCCTGGTTCATCAGAGCCTCCCGGGATTGTGGCAATTTGAGCTGACGTGATGTGTCTGGTAAGCTTCGGCAAGCCTGAAAAGTCTTTCACCTCCCGTCCCCTGGTTCACTACCAGCCTGCCACGGCAACGACTCCGGAGCGCCTAGCTGTCCAGTACGCTCGTAGGTACTTTGTCGGCTATGGTGCGCTTCCTCGAAGCGAAGAAATCCCTCCCATTAGCGAGGCACAAGCTGAGGCTCTTGATACGCTCCACTTCCTTGGAGAAAAGTTCGCGGTCTCCTTGGACTTTCAGAAAGGCGACATCCAGTATGCCAATAACATGGGTATCTTCCACGCAAGAGATGGTTTCACCGACACTCAGGAGCAACAGTAAGTATTGATCGCCAAAAAGGCATCCCAGAACTAAAGAAAAAATGGTTGACATGTACGATTTCCTCTTCACAGACGCCACTTGTTAAGACAGTGGCTACGCGACCCAGAGTATGCGTGGGAGACGCCTGGACCCTTGAAGGAACGATGGTCCCAATTGTACGATAATGTCACACCAGAGGCTCAGGTGTTTCCACTTGAGCCGTTCATCCGTAGCGAAGGAAACAAGAGCAAGGGGCGAGAATGATGAGGTAGAATGAAGGATTTGCGCGTAATCGACACCAAGACTCTGGGCAGGCGCCAAATTGGCAACTCGCTACGGGAAAAGATTTCGTGGCTGTTTCCTTGTTCAATATCGATCCGCCGTTCTGGGCCGAGAGGCAAACGCTGTCTGGCTGGATCAACGTGAATGCCTGCATCGAGGGCTCGGTCCCAAGGGAGACCGCAGCCCGAGTAGTCCGTCTCGGTACAAATCCCAAGCCACGCCAAGACGCCAGAACACGAGCTGGGCTCTTGGTCGAAAGAGGCACAGAAGGCAACAAGTGACATGAGTGTCTTGAGTTTCTACCGCCGTGGTCCTATCGGATGGGGGCGATAGCAAGGTCTAGGATAAGGTTACACTCAAAAAATAGCTTATTACATACCCCGGCCACTGGCCCAACGCACAAAACATGCGCCCGTGTATTTAGTGTCCGCTGCAACGGTCGTCATGATAGGCCGGCATTGCGTGCTTCTTGGCTCTGACTGACATAGGAAGGTCAGAGACCATCACCCTGCCACATTGGCCAGCCCTTATGAACTTGGACGAAGAGAAGGAAGAATTGTGCCACCTTTGCCCCATCCTCGCGAGTATCTAGAATTCTGTTGGAACTTGGCATGAACAAGCCGTTTATGAGCTACCTGAGGCTGGGATGGTCGAAAGCTGGGACGATGGGAGCCCGTGTTGTGTTTAAAGGCAGTCCGACGGCCTGCGAAAGAACTTCTTGTATCTCCTTTGTGGTCTTTCTTCTCCATCTCCCCCCCGCAACACGCCATTCTTTGACCCTTGAAAGCGTTACTACAGCTTTGGGTGTGGTTGGCCCCCAATCCAGCTTCGTCCCACCCACCCACACGCTTGTTTTGTTAACAAGCTCCCCAGTTTACTGGAGTCGACCAAGATAGAATTGCGGATCGGCATTAATAGCCATGGTCTTTTCTAAGTTTAAGTCCCGGCTTGGGGCTGGAGACACCAGCGTACACGTACACGGCACTGCGGCCGATGTCGAGGCGTCTGATTCTGAGCACTCAATCATCCGCGATGGAGACCTGGCCTATACACTGGCTAAGGGAGGCAACGGGTCTAAGCCGGCATACCAGGAAGCTGTTGGAGCGCCAGTAGAAAGGCATTCGCCTCTGGGATACCACGTTGGATGGATTACGGTCATCTTCCTCAACGTCAACCAGATGATTGGAACTGGTATCTTCTCAACACGTAAGAAGTCCTGATCTTGACTCATGATTTTAGTCACTAACAAATTTGATACAGCCGCGTCTGTCCTCAACGGTACTGGTTCAGTCGGTCTTGCACTTGTCTACTGGACCATTGGTTTCTTGATGGCCCTTGCTGGGCTGAGCATCTATCTGGAACTGGCCAGTTACTTCCCCAACCGCAGCGGATCTGAGGTCGTCTACCTTGAGCAAGCCTACCCGCGACCGAAGCACTTTTTCCCAATCGCCTTTGCAGTGCAGTCCGTTTTGCTGTCTTTTAGCAGTAGTAACGCAATCGGTTTGTCTTTTGTGAATACTCTTCATCGGTATCTTACTAAGACGATACAGTTCTGTCCCGATATCTGTGGAGAATTGCTGGGAAAACCCCATCACCTTGGGAGCTCAAGGGTGTTGCCATCGCTGCGTACACATTCGCCGTCATTTGCGTAGTAGCTCACAACAAGTACTCTCTTTGGGCTACCAACATCATTGGCGCCATTAAGATCATCACCCTCATCTTCATTTCAATCACCGGCTTTGTTGTTCTCGGTGGCAACGTTGGGCACATCCCCGACCCCGGCGTCAACTTTCGCAACGCGTTCGAGGGAACCACAGACAACGGCAATGACCTCGCCACCGCATTGATTAACATTATCTTCTCGTACACGGGCTACTCTAATGCGTTCAACGTTGTTAATGAGATCAAAAACCCGATTCCGGTGCTCAAGCGCCATGCAACAATCTCGGTCGTCGTTGTGGCCTTGCTTTACATGTTCTGCAACATTGCTTACTTCGCAGCTGGTAAGCCCTCAAAGCCATCTTCATATATCACTGTATTCAGGTTCTAACGATGAAACATAGTACCCAAGGGCGAGTTCAAGGGTGCCAAGGAGATTGCTGCTGCTGTATTCTTCACAAAAGTCTTTGGCAGTGGGCCCGCTGAACAGGCCCTCAACTTTCTCGTCCTATTGAGTGCCTTTGGAAACCTTCTCGCTGTGCTAATTGGCTCCTCTCGTGTCATCCGCGAGATTGGACGGTACGTCCGACATGTTGTTGCTCAAGGCTTCCGATAGCTAATCGTTTGATGAACAGACAAGGTGTTTTGCCATGGACCGAGTTCTGGGTAAACACCAAGCCTTTTGGCACTCCTATCGGCCCTTACTTCCTCAAGTGGATCATGACATTCATCATGATTGCTGCTCCCCCTGCAGGAGATGCCTTCCAATTCGGTAAGACTTTGTTTATCACCCTTGGCAAATATCCATAACTAACACGATTGCAGTCATCAGTTTGAAGACGTACCCCGACGGTCTCTTCCATTTTGCAATGGCCGTTGGAGTTTACCTCATTCGAATCCGTCGAAAGCGTGCAGGCCTTGGACGAACCGAGTTCAAGTCATGGGACGTCACCGTCATCTTCTTCATCCTCCTCCAGGTTTACATCCTCGCGATGCCCTGGTGGCCCCCGAAGAACGGCCCATACTCCGGCAGCGTCAGTTTCTGGTATGCTACGTATTGCGTTGTTGGTATCGCCATGTAAGTCAAATGCTCTTCCACAACCGCCCAAATGCGTACTGATACCCGTACAGTATGATTGTATGCTTCCTTTACTATGCCCTGTGGATGTGGGTGCTACCCAAGTGGCGCGGATATAGAATCCGTCCTGAAATTCTTGACGTAAGCGACAACGGCGCCAACACTCACCGTCTAGTACGAGTCCCCCTCGCAGAGTTGGCGGAATGGGATGCGGTCCACGATGATGCTGGTAACTTGCGTCGCAGAAACGTTGATGGATCACAAAGCTCTTCCAAGGGAGATGGCGAGGGTGTTGTAATTGGCGACCAGGGTACGACTCTCAAGTATTAGTTCTGAGTGCGAAGACGCCAATTCATACCAACCCAACCCTGCACTTCTTTTCGGTCCAGTAGCGAACCTAGGCTAGATACCCATATACCACAATGATACCAACTTGTTTCGCTAATGTCAATAATCTGTCCGTACCAAGCCGCGCATGAGGTAATCAACGGTGATGTGTGAATAAGAAACGTTCAAGTCTGACTGGGCTTCTCATTTTGGTTGAAGAGCTTGGAAGCGCGTCGGAGTCGCCATGGAGTTCCATTAACTGAGGACAGCATGTCCGTCGGTAGAATACACAGTTAACATTGCTTTTAGTTCAACAAAGAGCCGCCCAATGCGCACATCCCTGGCGGCCAGCACACCACTATGGTGTTCTGCCATCATTAATTACTTATTAGTTTGACGGCGACATCACGCCTTGTGATCAAAAGACTCATTGAAAGCTGTTAAGAGACAGGCGTTGGATGACATGTTTTCGGTCCAGCGGGATTGAGCGACGTCAGGCACAACCACTCGACCTAAGTTTGCCGAAAATGCATGTGCTATTTTAAACTATCCATGATGAAGCGTCAGGCATCGTTTCGACGGTGAGAAGAAATGATCAAGGACCAAATTCTCGAGGGCTGTAGAGCTGCTGTCTGAGTGATCAGGCATTGGCCCTGTACAATATCTCCACGGAAGATTCAGTTCTATACTAAGAAACAAATCAAGAATTATTTTACTGAAAAAATAGCATGGCGTTTTCTCACCAAAGGCACTGGAAGAAAAACAAATCATGATAGTTGCATCGCCGCTCAATGATATATGCGGTACCTTTAAGTATGTACTTCGGCTCATCGGAAGGTTCTAGCCAATAGGGAATAAGGACGGAAATTTTAGTCACCAAATCCTCGCCTACCAATAGTTAAAGTCTCCGGAGTCTCTGAACGTAAACTTTCCGATTCCATCATCAACGGTCGACATTTCTCTCCGCATCCACCTGCGGAAAGTAACCACACTCACAGTATCAAAGCCAATTCCAGGTACTAAAATGGCTCCACGAGGTTCTTCAAACGATGCAGGAAAGCGAGCTGTCCGCGTGTCTTGCGAATCGTGCAGTACGTCCTTTTTTGGCCCCTTCAACTGTTTTTGTTTCCGTTTTAACCCAATAAAACAGGAGCAAGAAAAGTCCGATGCCCAGGAGAAAACCCAAACTGCTCAAAGTGCCGGTCATCTGGACGAGAATGTTCCTATTCCCCCCAGAAGCCTATGGGTAGACCAAAGGCTAGGAGCCAAGCTCGACGCCAGGAGTTGCTGCTCCCGCGCCATTCTCCTATACCCCAGTTGTTACCCGCCAGAGTATCCGGGAGGTCAACAACCACATCGGATGCCGCAACAGAAACCTCACATGCCCTCGGCAGTGAGCTAACTTTCGACAGCCCTGTGGACCTTGGGCGGGACCTTGAACACGAGATACCTCAATGCCATGTTGATCTCGGCCACGTCACTCGGTAAGAGGAGTTCTACCCGCCATCGATTGTTAGATGAAGTCGGTTGTAGTTCGGACTAACACTTATGACTCTTTGACACAGTAGCAGAACAGAAATAGTTCCAGAAAGCCAGTCAGCGTTCCCCTCGCTTATGACTGCCACTCAGCCGGCTTCGGGTGGCTGCGCATGTCTCTCTGTTTTGTACCTTTTACTCGAAAATCTGCGCATTAAGGATAACCTCACAGCACCAAATGATTTTGGCCTCCTAAGAAATACAATAGAGTCGGCATCTGAGGTTCTTACTTGTGAACGTTGTCCCCTTCGGTATTTCTCAATCGTTCAAAATGCCGCCATGCTAGGAATTCTGTGCCTCTGTGTTGCAGAGTCTTACCACAGACTAATGCGGTCAATTGACGAGGAAGAGAACCGATCACTAAAGGCTGGCGAGAAGAAGCAGATCAGCATCCACAATGGTGGAACACAAGCTAGCCAGCCTCCCCTTACGGAGACATCGCCTCTTTTCTCCGTAAGTGTATCGCCGGCACAGTGGGGGAGTATGATGCGTGATTTGGTTAGGACAGAGGTCTTCGGCACAGAAGGTCACAGGGATAAGTGCCTCAAAGGATTTATAACCCGCTTGGAACAAAGGCAGAGGCGATGGCATCACACGCCACCTGCACCGGATTGCCCGCCTAGTTATCGGTCTCTCTGTGGCCCATCAGATCGGGAACCGACTTGCCTAAAGCTGATTGATAACTCGAAGAGGCTAATTGATCTTCTTGAGCTTTAGTTGGATCCGAAAGAGTACAGAGATGGGGTTTTCTTTTTCGTCCAGGACACATAGGAAAAGCGAAGTGTTCCTATGGAAACGAGAATGAAATGGTAGAGAAGTTTATCAATATCTAGGCAGACAAAATCAAAGTGGTCTATCGGAAGAAGGTAATTTGTCATTCTTGAGCCTCACTTCCAATCTTTTTGCTACACGGTTACAATGGCAGTGGCTTTAAAAGTTTATTGACTACTTTATTTTTGTATTAATGCCCCACTCACCCAGAACTCATAAACATCTGGGAGCTCAAAAGATTGTGTATCTATCCATGAACAGCGACATTGTTGCTGAAGCTGTCCTCAGCCAGAATGCTTCACAGTGCCGTCAGAGTTGTACTTCCGGGGCGGATATTCGTACGTGTAAGAACCATCGTTCGTGTTCCTTTTGTAACCTTTGTTATCGATATACGTCGAGCTCTTGGCTTGTCCCCAAGTAAAGTTGTCGCTCTTCGTGTAACCGCCACTGCATTGACCTCCGCTACTTTGCTGGCCGCCGTTGGAGCCACCACTGGAGCCACCACCGCTGGAGTTGCCACTACCGGAGGATGACATGATTGTTTGTAAGTTTGAAGGTATGAGGGATGGATTTTAGAGGGTTGGTAGCAGTCGAGTTGCGAGAGTGTGTGTATTGTTTGATGCTGAGTCGTATTTGGGTTGTCATCAAGAGTCATTCAGGGAGATGCATTTATACAGATTGGTCAATTTAGTGTATCCAGTGAAATGATATATACTGCGACTGTGAATATTTCTGAGATGTGGCTGTCGAGAGATGAAGATGCATTCACTTGATAACCGTCTAAATTCAAGTCCATGGCATCCCATCTAATACAGTGAATGGCGCTCTTAGCCTATGGTGCTCCAGCCAACGACTGCCAAAAGCTCCGTTCACTTTTCCAGAGCAGCTTTCTAAGCTTCAAGCTTTACCGCAATGCTGATGGCCTTACCAAGGCTTTTGTACTTTTCCGCTGCAGCCAAGACCTCGGGTTTCGAAAATGCCTCTTGAGCTTGCTAATGGAACGTTTAGCATCAAACCGTATATCGTGAATGATATCGTAGGAAACAGTACCTCTTTGCTATCCCAGCCAATAACTCCAAGACCGGTGAGAGGACCGTCGTCGGCGCTCCGTCCGCCAAATGACTCTTGACCCAGAGCAGCGACAAGGTCAAGCCATGCCTGCTTCGCCTCCTCGTGCTTGCTCTCGTCCGCCAACTCGAGGAACGAGAATTGCGTCAAAGCCTTGGGCTTAGAGGCAGGAAAGTCTCCTGTTTGGAACTTCCTGATGATAGGAGGACCGGCCGACTTTTCTTGGGCTTTCTTGAAATGCTCTTTGGCCCAGTCAGACTCGCCGAATGCCTTTTCATCTTCGGCAGAGGCAAATGCTATAAACAACAGATAAGTAAATGCGTCCGAGGTCATCATGGAAGCCGCTTACCAATGCTTTGGAAGAACTTGAACTCGGTTACGGGTGTGGCGTCTTCGGCAACAACTTCACCTCCAGACACAGCAAGAACTCCCGGTTGCTTTGCAATTTCCGCCTTGATTGAAGGCCATACTCCAAGAAACTCGTCCTTGCTGGCGGGGGGGATGTTGGGCGTGACTGCGACGATGAAAGGCATCTTGACGACGTATGGGTTTGGTTGATGGTTTGTTGCTGAGTAATGGAGGCTTGGAATGAGTTGTTTCTGTTCAAGTCATCTTTGGAGGTAGAATGGGTCTTCTTATATGTCTTTCAGTTCTGGCTTCTGTGGATGCATCCAAATTGTCCAAACTTGCTCTTAGCCGACACGGACTTCATTCGAAGCCCGAGGGAGAGCAACAACATGGCTCCAGGGGCCATACGGTAGGCTACTCGGATGTTGCAAGGAATACATCGCCCATGACAAAATTGAAAACACAACTGGCCATGCTACAGCCATATTGGTATGGGTTAGAGCATCCACAATCCACACGACTAGCCTCTAAGCGCCATACTATTGATTCATGGCTTTGTCTTTCAGGGTCCATCATCCGACATAGTTGTATATGCACAGCGAACAACCGCGCGTAAAGCGTGTCGCGAACTGCCTCACCGCATTGTTTTGAAACCCGTGCCAATCTAGGAGCCGGGGCTGGAGTTGTCAATGTGGTCGATGTGGGGGTTGATTGGCGCGGAACCGGGAAATGGTCCGTCCAGTTGAGGTTTGTGTTCCTGGCCCACCTCGGTATTTTGTCTCATCGATCGTCCATGCCGCCTCCACCGCACCGAAAGTGTAAATTCCCGAGATCAATGTGGCCGAAGCGCTTCAGTGAGGGGTTCCGGAGGCTTCAAGTTGGCCGGCCCGAGAGTTCGGCATTGCGATGAGGTGGTTAAGACTAGCGTCGTGCGTGTCAATGTGGCTTAGTCAGTGGATACAATACTTTATTCGTCCCTGTCGAAGAGACCGATGGGAACGTTTCGAAGCGTGTATCCTGGAGGGTTTTGATGTTGTTTGTCTTATATAAGCGGCGAAGAAGCACAAACTCCACCCACAGAGGCTTTCACATTCATATAGAATCATGCGTTTGAAGATGTCAAGACAAGGAGCTAAATCAGTTGCAATAAAAAACATGAGTCCAATCCATTGCCAGTTTCTAATTTGCACACTCGGTATCAAGTCAAGTTGGAAATGATGTTTGCCAGTTCTTTAGGCATGCTCAGTGAAGGGAAATGCCCCGCCTGCAAACTCTCCTCGTGGACCTCAAAGCCTCGTTCTCTCACTTTAGTCACGAGACTTCTCTGCACAACGCTGGGAAGCAGAGCATCGTTCTCACAGTAAATGTACAGTGTTTCAATATCTCGGTAGGCGGGAGACTGGGTTGGATACTGCGAAGAAGCAATAGGAAATGGTCTCAATAACTTCAACCATCTCTGATGCTCTTTTCTGGGGAGGTCAGAGTAGAGAAGAGCGCCGATATCGTGCCCTTCAGTGAAGACTTTTAGAGTTCCCTGGTAGAATCAGACACTCTATCTGGTTGTCACAATGCCTTCATGCGTACCTCATGACGCTGCCATGGAGTAGCCTCAGGAGGGGCAGCACCATCAAGAGATTCGTTCTGCACCAAGATGAAAGCCGTGCAGTAGACAAGCCATCGGACGCCTCCAGACTTGCCTTCGGCAGCCCGTGTTCTGATACCGAGCCCCGTAAAGGCATTAGTGACTACGGTCCCGCCGTATGAGTGTCCAAAAGCAATGATTTCCTTGCCCTGGTCCACTAGGTTCTGGGCGATCTCTCTTATGCAGCTGGCGTCGGCTTCAGGCGGGTTCTCGGGCGGGACAACGTCCCCGGATGGTAAGCTCGGGGCAACACAAGGATATCCTTGTTCTTCTAGAACGTCAAGGAATTCCTGGTAATGGGCAGGAGAATGCCATGCACCATGAACGAGAATGACAGTAGGCTTAGACATGGTGATTGACGAGAATGTAAGAAAAATGCAAGCACAAGACCATAATGGAGCGAGATTCTGAGCAAGATAATTTGTGCAATGAGCTGTGCTCCTCATCGTCCGATCAGGTGATTGCAAAATAGACTCCGAACCCAACGGACCTAATTTTCACAAACATAACAGCGCCTATGGGACGGAAAGTTTGTCAAACTCTTTGCAACGAGTTACGCACCGTATCCGGAATAGCCATCGGCAAAGGGTAGGGGAATGCAAAAAAGATGACCCAGGTAGAATGGATAGACATTAGGATTACTATATATTCTCAATTCGCCATCAGACATTACCCCCGTATCTCTCCCACATTACACGCTTCAACATCAAACAAGCGCAACGGCAGCCGCTACTCCGAGCGCGGCCGCAAGACCAGCGCGAGCCGTCGGCCCCGCCCCCGCTGGGATGTCCGTTCTGGCCGCCGCCGGCCCGCTCGCGCTCGCGCTCACACTCCCACTCGCACTTCCGCTTGCAGCTTCACTCGCACTTCCTATAAGAATCGTCGTGGAGGTAGACAAGGTTAAAGTCGGGAGACCGGTGAAAACCCTCACGGATTGCGACTGAACAGTCCCAGTTGTGCTGTCACCGTCTTTGGTACCCGCCGAGCTCGATTGCAAAACGCTCGCCGTTGTTGTCCTCGTCACCGTCTCCACCGTGCTCGTCCTCGTCGGTGTAACCGTCACGACTGTGCTCGCAGGTACTGCCGCGGGGTCGGTGGGCAGGAACTTGGGTGTGACGGTCTCGGTGCCGGAATAGATCGGGCAGCCCGGCACGTTGCGGGGTGGTGCTCGGCCGCCGCCGCAGTCCACGCCCTGGCAGATCTCGAGGGTGTCCGGGACGTACCAGATGATGGTCTCGTAGGTGTTGCCGTAGCCGATCTCGGTGCGGACGGTGACGGTGGAGGTGAAGGAAGTGCAGCCTTCATGGTCCGTTTTGGCGAGGGCCAGGCCTGCGCTTACAATAAGTGGGATGAGGTAGCGCGCCATTGTGATGTTTCTTGGTATATGGTTTGTCGAATGGTTTTTTTGGTTCGGAAACGAGAGAAGCGACTTTGGCAAGCGAATGTGAGGTATCTCGAAACCCGAGCTTGGAAATTAAGAGCGATGATCTGTGGATGATGACGAGAGGAAAGGTCCAGCAGACAAGACAGGAGGCTGCAGGCCCATCTTTAATGCATCCCTGGACGAGGCCAAAGTCATCGTTGCAGTCAGCCGATGGCTGCAACGATGACCACTACGGTGAGTTCCTGGCAGCAGCAATCTTACCGTGCCCCTGGAAAAAAGACGTGATGATCCCTAATCGGGACACGTCGTGCCGCATAGGCGCATCGTCTGTGTGACATCGCTTGCTTTAGCATCGCCGTAGGGCGAAAATAAACGAAGAAAGGATGGGGACTTTGGTTCGCTTCGGATGACTGGTTGCGATTTTAAAATGAGCAAACTCGAGGGGGGGCGGAGTCTAGAACGGGGGCATGTCTCTAGGGAAAAAAAAAAAAAGGGCAGACAAAATGGACCCTGGATTTTGCCCGGTTAAAGAGGATAAAGGCCAGCCTGCTTCAAGGAGCGCATTTTTGGTTGTATTCAATGGTGAAAATACGGATTCATGTTTGGGTTGTTTGGCGTGGTTAAAAGAGCCCGACATCCCACCGACATGCTATTTTGAGAAACACGAACGAGGCATCGGCTACACGAGGAAATGCCTACAAACTCGACTCCGCCTCGCTCATCCATTCCTTTTTCCATAGCCAGAACCATCCCGGCATCCCCCACGGCGAAGGATCGAGTGTGCCTGCGATGCCAAGCGGTGTGAACCATCCGCGAAAGTTGTACTCGATTCCGTCGGGGTGAATCTTCCTCAGCACAATGCTCTGCGATTCTTTATGGAATTCGCCGTCAAAAGTGAATGTGCCAGCTGGCTCCTTGCATCCGTCTGCCCTTACCAAGAGCACATTGTCGTCGACTGTCTGTTTTGGGGACTTTTTGTCGCCCAATTTGAAGTGGATGTTCTCAATGGGCCCGGTTTCCAAAAAAGTTGTCTCGCTGCGCGCAGTATCCCAGGTAAAATATCCATACCACTCACCCTCCTCCAACTTGTCCGCGAGATGACGCACGTACGCGCGGTTCCAACGGTGCCAGGCATCAGACGAGGAGAAGGCAGAGATTCGACGCTGGACCGTATCGGGTAGCGCAGGATTCGGCAGCGCGAGGACAACCTCGCCTGTGCCGTGCCATGTTGCGAATGGAAGCTTCCTGGGTGATGGCAGATAGGTGCTTACCGGTCGGCCGGGGATACTACTGCGCAAAAGATGAGCGAGGACGGCCTGCGCCAGCATGGCGATGGTCTGACGGCCCTCCCAGGACTGCTTGAACTTGAAGAAGGCCGTGTCCTCCTTGTCCCAGGTGGCCATCATGGAGAGGTGGTATGTCATGACGCCCATGTTGTTCAGGACCTGCGTTTGCATGAGGCCCAGCGCGAGGCAGAATGCCTGTTGCCGCACGAGCAGGTCCATACCCGTCTCGCTGTAGACGTGTATAGACCAGTTGTGAGGCTCGGTGAGGGCGATGAGCAGGCCGGGGATAGCAGCCGCGACACCGAGATCGATGGCAGGGATGTCTGTCTCCTCGTTAGCAAAGATGATCAGTGAGGGCGACCAGAACGAGACTATGACTTTACATCCGAGAACAGCGAAAGTGGAAAATGTCCCGACCAAGCTCCGCGTCTTTTGCAAAAACTCGGCGGTGGGGAATTTGAGTCCGCCGGCCGGCTGGAAGGACACGGCTCGGTACGGCAGCATTAGCTCGTCTAGCTCATCGGAGAGGTCCGGGAGTCTCGGGGCAACGACGGCTAGATGGGACCAGATCGTCCTTGCTTCCGGCCTCGGTTGGTTGGGTGCCTTGGCCGGATAGATTGTAGTTATTGCAGCGTTGATCAATGGAGCGAGCGCAAAATGGTCTCGCACCGCTTCAGTCTCAGGATTCGGCGCCTTTTTATCTGTAAATTTCCTCCAGACCTAGAAACTGACAGATCAACACTTACATGACGGCAAAATTGAGCTTGAAAGACGTAAGGATTGCTGCATGATGTGTTGAGCGCTTGAGAGACACTGGTGAGATTGTGAATATCTTTGACCTCGCAATAAGAGGCAATGCGGTGAATGATCTCGGTCGGTAAACTTTCCAGCGACATAGCTTCAGTATCTACCAAACTTAGATTCTCCATTTGAGGTTCAACTGATTTGAGGCTGTCCATGTTGATGTAGATATACTCTTCCGACTTTTGAGCCGAGTGATGCCTAGAGAGACTGACGCCTTGGCCAGCGGGGCGACGTCAGCTTTCAACTGATGTGCACCGCCGCTTGTGCGGAGGCGGTGTCAGCCGGGCTGGCTGGCAAGGAAACGTATTTAGTGTCTCAAACAGGCTGCAATCAAATGAGTGACCGTGTGTAATATTGAGAATCGCACGCATAGCTTCAAGTTCTGACGATGAATCGGGAGCGATCGTCGCATTAATATATAAAAATCTAGTGAAATTACAATTCATCATAATGAAGTCGTCGCGCCGGCCGTAAAAGAATGAGAGGCCGAATCACAATAGGCGACAACTCCCTTCATTTCAGAGTCAAACCCAATACTCCAAATCATCTCAGATGCATATGTGAGATACCCACAACCAGGCTTTCGTGGCTGAATCTACTGAGCCTTCTTCAACTGGGCCATCTTCTTCTCGCGCCTGCGCTGGTGAGCCTCGGCACCGGCCTCCGTGTCCATGAGAGTGTCCCACCACGTGAAGCTCGAGGAATAGTTGCCGATGAATTTCTCGTGATGAATATCGTGATGCGCAGCACCAGCCCAGAAGGGCAAGAAGTGTCGCAGGGACCAGGGGAAATCGTAACCGGAGTGCGAGTCGATGGCCTGGAACAAGCGGAGGACGATCCAGAGGTACATTGTGAACAGGTGCAGGTCCTTGGTGATGAGAACCCAGACGACGGGTGAGCCGACGGTTCCCAGGCCGAGGAACATGACCTCAATCGGGGAGGCGTACTCGGCCGTCATGCCGAAAGGCGCAGAGTAGTAGTGGTGCATCTTGTGAACGGACTTGTACAGGGGAGGCCAATGGGCTCCGCGGTGGACCCAGTAGTGCCAGGTGTCTTCGAGGACGAAAAAGATGGCGATCTGGTAGGCCATCTTCCACCAGGGGGGGAAGGGCACGCCATAGTCGAGGCCGCACCAGGTGGCGATGGGGTGGAAGAGCCAGATTTGGGGGAGTTCGACGGTGAAGTGACTGAGAAGGACAAGGGCCGCGCATTCGAGCTGTTCTCTCCAGGTAGGGATTTTTTGCTGAAAAATGATATTAGTCGCTGTTTGTCATTGTTTTTTTCTTTTTATCAAAGCCCGGCCGGGGTCTGATGAGAGGCAATTCGGGTGGAGCTTTGTTGCTATGCTCATGCTCACGGAGCCCGAACCGAGAGTCAAGAAGGGGTGCTCACCTGTTGAATCTTCCATCTGCGGAAATAAGGGATGGCGTCGATGATGATCCACGGCAGACTGCGACCAAAGTAGACGACTTCGTGCATGACAAAGGTCATGATGCCGGTAGCTAGAATGTCGTTTTGCATCCAAAGATACCACGCCGCCCAGAGGCGCTCGATGATGTTGAGCTGGACATTGTACTTGTTGACGTCGTCGAGCACGCCGAGGTAGCTCTGGTGAGATTCGGTCCCATTGGGGAAGACGACGGTCGAGTTCCTGTTGGTGGGTTGTGTAAGCTAGGTTGGCCCTCCTTGTGATTCGACAATTGGCGACGTAGTATATAAGACGACATCAGTGATTTCAACTTACCAGGACGACATGGTATCGAACGCACCCCAGTTCAAAAGGAAAGGAAACGGGGGGAAAAAAAAGGACGGAATGTAACTATCAAGATGCAATGGCTGCGACCAAAGTCTCAAAAGTTTCTACAAAGAACGGCAAAGGGGGCAAAAGAAGAATATAAACCATCGGCCGTCGCGTAGTGGAGAAATCTTAGAGCTCGTTGGCGGGCTTTGGAAAGATTCCCCTTTCAAAGGAGAATGAAGCGGCGCAATATGTGCAGGGGTTTGCAGACGCCGATGGCACGATAAAAATTCATCGGCATCCGCTCAAGTGTGGTACGACTGCTTGCATGTTTCCCACGAATCCAGGCCCCTGGGAGGTAATACCACCAAACCGAATACGAATGACGGCCGTTGGGATTCAGTATTTTGTTTTGTTTCCATTGGCTTAAAGCGGACTTGATCAGATTAGCGAATCTCAAGTGAGGAACTGATCGACTTGTTTCCCATGGCCAACAGCGTAGAGACAGGCAGAGGCCGGAGCCGTTCAGCTGAAGACGAGCCCAAAAAGGCTCCATTTCCAAGACCGCCTCACCCCGGGCGACCCACTTCCCGATGGTCTGTTTGTGGTGTGATTTTGCTCGCCGCCTCCTGGGCTCCGAGATTACCGGCTTTCAGGGGGGGGGGGGGGGGGGCATGTGTGTAGATGTCTTGGGTAGGCAATTTCAGTCGATACAAGCTGAAATGGTTCTTCAACAGTCTGGTCGTTGATGATGGAATTTGAGGTCCACAATGTCATGATTGGGTTTGCCTTTCGAATGGGAGCTTGCAGCGAGGTCATTGCCTCATGACTTCTGTTGATTCTTTACGGCATCGCCACTGTAAGTCTTTCAATGATGGTTGAAGTTAAGGCTTGAGCTCAGCAGGGTCGAACTCTTCCCCGCCCCATGATGTGATGCGTCCGCGTCGGATGTAAATCATCCGGGGAAATCATCCACACCGGCCGGTCGTTCTGCATTTTTCGGCACCAGAATGGGCCACTTCGGAGAGGGACTTGTTCTACAAGTGACCGTCATGCCCCATGCGGTGAGAGACACGCGGCAGTCACTCCATCTTGCACGAAACCACGCCGAATATGTGCAAAACGGATATTAGTGGAGCATATCGGCGCTGAGAAAGGTTTCCCGGAGCGGATGGACGTACGAGACGGACTTGCGGTGTGGATAGGAGCTGCGAGTGTGAAGATTGGGACTCGAGCGCCCATGGCATTGCATATGCCATGCCAACCTTGACCGTTGTAGTCGTTGTGCCAGGCTCAGAATCTAATCGTAGACAGATCAGAAGTAGAAGGTGGATCATGTGAGAACTGGTGGATGTAAGAGCTTGACAAGGCATTAATTATTCATCGCCTGTCGCTGGTAATGCATCATGCGCGGTCTTGATTTATCAACGAGAAAGCTGAGCTGCGATTAATCAAGAAAAATTGATAGGGAGTTTAAGATATAAACGTCTTCTGATTAGCTGGTATTTGAAGGCTTCGCCAGTCCACTTGGCTGACGAAGGCAAATCCATGTAGGGTGACCTGTAGCATAGCGTCTATGCATCGCAAGGTGTGACAGAAGATGATAGATATTCTTTAAACAAACAATTTCATGTTTTAATTAACTGACAATGATGTTGCCACTCTGTAAGAGCCGAGGTTGACGTCCGAGCGAGTGAGGCCGAGATTTAAAAGTCGTGATGGAAATTTTGGTGTTTTGCCGAGGAAAAAAAAGAAAAAAAGAAACAGGATGACTAATAAGCCAGAAATGTGGCTTAGCAAACGGCTGCCAAGCCACATTCAACGAGGCTGTGCTCACCCCCAACACCAATGACATCGTGCCCAGGGCGCTTACCCACCTCCGTCCAGGGCTTCAGGCGCTCAAGCAGGTTCAATGCCCTGTCCAGACCCCCAAAATAGGCCGAAGCGGACCACACGCGACCCCAACCACCTCCAGTCAGTCCCCATCACGTCGAGTCCGCGCCCAGTCAACATGAGGAATGGCCGTAGAAGCTGCTGCAGGTCACACGAGAGGCCTGTCAGTAGCCTGGCCCTGATTCACGCCCTTGACGTGTCGTGAGTCTACGAGGAGCCTTGCATCATCGGCCTCTATCTGTCGTTACCGCTGTTCTTTATTTGAACCGGTGTTCTGCTTCTTTGGTTGGTGTCTTTACCGTAATTCGGTTGGCCAGAGAAAAAGACACCAAGAAAAAAGCAAAAACACCATAAGACAGTTATCACGAGTCCGGATCAGAGACAATGGGCTACGTCCCCAATACCCCCGAAGACCGCCTCGAGCGGTCCGATTCCAAGAATCCAAAGACGACCTGCAAAGGTCTCACGACCTCCGGAAATCTTTGTCGAAATCCCATTACTCCCGTCCGAGGAAAGCTACTCTCCCCTACCGAAAAGGAAGAGTCGCTTTACTGTCATCATCATAAGGACCAGGCCGCAAGCCGATCAACCCAGTCGAGCCCCGGGCCTAGGTTATCGGGTCGGCCCATACTCGAAGAGCGTACCAGTATCGATACCCTCGCAGACCGCCTTGGCCTTGTCGATGTCGGATCGAACCCAACGAAGAAGCATAAGCGGCCTCGACCTGGTGTGAAGCCAGAGTCTGGCAACTATGAGAAGCCGCAAAGTGCGGCACGCCCCAAGCCGAAGAAGGGCAAGGAGCTCTCTTGCTGTTTCTGCTTCACAATTCCTCTCGAAGAAGTTCAAGAGGAACAGACACCACCTCGTCCCCAGCCCCGACCGGTCCAGCATGGTGGCTCTGCTGCAATGCCCTCGCGGCCGTCGAACACTCACCTCTCTCCGCCGAGTAACTCCCGACCTCGACCGAGCACATCGAGCCACTCCCGAAAGAGTTCGAACCCTGCCTCGCCGCAACCGTTGTCTCAGTCGCAGACGGCGCAATACCTCTCCCTCATCCCACCCACGACCGACCCGCAGACTGCCTCGGCGCTGATGGCGGAGCTTGCGCGTCCGTACGGCAGCTCCGAGGAGCCGGGATACATCTACATGTTCTGGATCATGCCTACTTCAAAAAAGGCAGGGGCACCGGTGAACGACGCCCGTTCGCTGCTCACTCCGCCCTCGCCTGCTCGCGGCGGGGGACGCCAGCGACGGACGAGCGACGTGGTGTCCTCTGTTGCAAACGCCAGCAAGGGCTCAGCGGACAACAAGATGCTTATAAAGATTGGGCGCGCGGCGAATGTGCAGCGGCGCATGCAGCAATGGTCACGGCAATGCTCGTATGACGTCGAAGTCCTGCGTTATTACCCATACATACCGGGCGCCAGCCAGGCTTCGGGAGAACAGCCGCGAATGACACCCCATGTGCATCGCGTCGAGAGGCTGATTCATATTGAGTTATCGGGAATGGGACTGCACGCTGGACCGATTTCGTGCGACGGGTGCAACCAAGTCCACAAGGAGTGGTTTGAAGTGCAGACCTCCAAGAAGGGTATCGGGGCTGTGGATGAGGTTATTCGCAGATGGACCGACTTTGACGAGACGCAAGTAGCGTGATTGTCGTTGGGGTTGCAGACGGAAAGGATTCGCAGTACGATGATATCGAAGTATATTCCAGCATATTCCAGCGATGTATTTTAGTCCTCCCACACACACGGCATAGCGGATGGCGCATTCGGGGCCGGTTCTTGCATTACCACTCGACCATCCCGACATAAGCATACCCTTTTTTTTTTAAAGCCATCAGTATCTAGAAGCAAGCACTATCATCTAGACGGTGGAGTTGTTACGGCTCCCTGCATTTTCAGCCATCGACCAAAAGCCGACCCGCCAGCTCGGGACGGTAAAAAGCTCTCATCAAATCGGATGGGGTTAGATTTTACCTTGTTTGTTTCTTCCCGTGCTGATGCAATTGTGAAAACCGATGGCGCAATTTGGCCGCCGGCCCATGCTTCCAGGGCTCAAACATGAATGACAGCCTGACCCTAACCTTAGCTGAAGACTGACTGTCAGGGTCAAGTTTGCTCAAGTTTTGCTGCTCCTACGTAAGAGAGTGTGTGGAAAGCCTCCCACGTTTATCCCTTTTTCCGTGTGTCATCCTGTCTTGTCAGTGGTCGAAAACCGCACGAGAGTTACCTCACAACTTTACTTAAAAAATAAAACCGCGTCTCTTGATACTCTCGGGGGTTCGTCTTCCCGCTTCTTCTTTGGCGAGTTTGTTTTCCGACCCCCTGGGTTGCCGCTCGCTCCAACGCTTGTCCAATGCTTGTTCAGTTCGGGGTAATGAGCTTGTGGCCCTCTCTCTCCCCTCTCTCTCTCTCCACTAGCCCTGCATTCTGCATGCTGTATCCTGGCTTGGTGTCATCCGAGGGGGGCCAAGCGGCACTGGGGCCACCGTTGGTGGTGTCTGGCATCCCCAGTTTCACGCCCAAAGTCTCTTCGCCTGATGTACTCCGTACTGTACATACTAGTAGTAGTAAAGAGTAGTAGTAGTAATAGTAGTAGTGCCGCCAAAAGCAGATCTGACTCGGGGCCAGATGAATGGACAACAAAAGGAAACCAAGATATGATGTGTTAGAGGGGCCCATGAGGGAGGGTAATAGTGATGGGGTATATTTCTTTGACGGCCAAGCTAATAGTTCACTTGCTTTCCATGTGGCAACCTTTGCCCTGCCAAGTCATGTCTCCCATGCCGAGAAGTGCCTCATCTCTTGGCCATCTCTTGACTCTGTTGCTTGGCACTGGCACAAAGCATCCGGGTCTACTCATCACACAGGTTAGCAACCGACGTCACTCTCTCGGGGGGGGGCAAGCTTTTCTGGTGGCGCCGCCTTCGATGCTTGTATCTGTCGATCCCTGCTATCCCCCCTTCCGAGTCTCCCACTCCATTGGCTGCTATTCGAACACACAATCCTTACCAGTCCCTCAGCGGCGCCGCACTAGACAGTCCTAGAGGGCCGCAGAAAAACGTTCGTCTGTCGGGGCCGCTAGAGCACCAAACTGCCCACTCGTGTATGTATTCTTTCAACATTTGTGTTTCATTGTTCCAGGACCACGTAATGGAAAACCTCGCCGCCTACGAAAGCACTATCACTGGTTCTGCAATATAGGCGAGCGTGTCTCTTGTTGTATACTATTCCCGACCCCTCCTTTGCATGGTACCATGGCAAGTTCCTCCGGGGCCCTTTGGGGGGCGGACCAGCCTATACAAACGTGTCAGACTTGTTGTGTACTCTCACTAGATGCGACGCTATGGTTCGACGCCATCTCCATATCCCGCGATGACGTGCTCTTCGACCATCCCAGACTATCCATATCTCTAAGCACTTTGCAGCTGTAAGAAAAACTCTGACCGGTGCGGACGCCGTTCCACCTTTTTTTCCCAGTAATCTGCTCCAAGCTTTATCGTTGCCTCCCGCGTCTTCGAATTCGTTACTCGTTCCCATTGGGTCCGGTTCCCACGCCGGCGGGTATCGCAATCTCTGCGGAGGAAGAAGCCATGCTACTTTACCCATGAACTAGTGCCAAATGTACATGGGATTTCCACCTACGAGCTAATGTTTCCGGATGTACTGTCATCATGTTACCTACGATGGATGACCTTTCTATCGTTTCCCGGACCCCATTTAGTACCTTTGGCTTGCAGGGGGGGACCCGTGGGCGAATTGCGACTCCAAGTGCCGAGGGACATACTGCACATTGCACATTGCAGCAGCTTTGGCTGATCTTTTCTGTCTTTTGCCTTGAATTCTCCTACTTGCTTCATATACCTCGCACGTCCCACGTGCTCTCGTTCTCTGTTCTCCCTGTCCAAAGTCTGTGTCTGAAGGTTGATCCACTTCATCTCTTCCCAAAAGATCTTCGTCCTTCATCTCCCGGATCTTTCTCCGTCGCATTGTCGCATAGTAGCAGCCTCTTTTTCAGGCAGCTCAGTCGACTAGATCATATCAAAGATCTCCCCACCCATTGCACGCCAGTATTAGACAGAAACCGTCTTGATTGGCAGTAATTACTTACATATCGACATACTCAGACGTGTCTTTCAGCTCAATCGTCGCCATGGACAAGGGCCTCCGCCAACCTGAGCCGACCGCGGTCGACAAGGCCGCTGCCGAGCTCAACTTCGCCCGCGCCGACGCCGAGAGGGGCGGCTCGACGGGATACAGCGCCTGGTTCGGCGGGCGCAACACAAAGGTCGGGCCTAGGATAGCACCCGTGCAGGAAGGCCTCGTCGACGGCTCCGACAGCGAGGCGAGCGCCGATGCGATTCTCGGCAAGCAGCTCGCCGAGGAGGACGGTCATGCCATCAAGTACCGGACGTGCAGTTGGCAGAAGGTGAGATTCAGGTGTTTGTTTGTGACGGGGTTAACATCTTGCTGACGATGAGCGTAGACTGCCGGTCTCTTGTTTTCCGAGTACATCTGCTTGGTGAGTTAACCGCTGATAGACTGTGGTCCGTCGCGACTAACGATTGCAGGCTATCATGAGCTTTCCGTGGTCTTATAGCATTCTTGGACTCGTACCGGGGTATGTGTCTGATTCGATATGTTGAATAAGAGCGCAATGCTGACCGTCTTTACAGTCTTATTCTTACAGCTGTCGTTGCCCTGATCGTCCTCTACACGTACGTTAATTTTGCGATGTTTGGTCTCGTCCATAAACACTGACGCCGTCGACAGCTCCTTGATCCTTTGGCAGTTCTGCTTGAGACACCCCGAAGTTCGCGATGTTTGTGACATTGGCCAGATGCTATTCTGGGGTAAGAAGTGGGCGTGGTATGCGACTGCGGTCATGTTCATCCTGAACAACACGGTATGTTCTCCTGTCATTGCTACATAGATATATCTGCTAACGTTTACCAGTTCATCCAGGTCAGTGATGCAATGAGATGCGACAAACTTCAACACTAACGTCGAATCTAGGGTCTCCACGTGCTGGTTGGCGCAAAGTATCTCAACACCATGACCGAGACGGACCCAGTCGCCTGCCGCACTGTCGTCTTTTCCATTGTCGTCACCATCATCTGCTGGGTTTGCTCGCTTCCGCGCACCTTCGACGCCCTTTCCAAGGCCGGCACCGCCTCCGCTGTCTTTACATTCATCTCCGTGCTCCTGGCTACAATCTTTGCCGGTATCCAAGCCCACCCCGCCGGCTACGACCCTCGCTCCTCTTATGTCGACAAGAACGGCGTCTCGCAAGTTGGTGGTAACCCGATTGTTACCGCCATTCCCCTGCCCAGCACTTCTTTCGTCGCCGGCATGAATGCCTTTTTGAACATCAGCTACACCTTCATCGGACAGATTACTCTCCCCAGCTTCATCGCTGAGATGAAAGACCCTCGGTAGGTTTACAGACTTGCATCTGCCGCGAGCGTTTTTACTGACAAAACTCCCAGTGACTTCCCCAAGGCTCTGTGGGCCGTCACCATTGGCGAGATCATTGTCTTCAGCATCGTCGGCGCCGTCATCTACGCCTACACCGGAAACCAGTACATGACTGCCCCTGCTTTTGGCTCTCTTGAGGATGTCTTCAAGAAGGTGTCTTTCTCCTTCATGATCCCTACCCTCATCTTCCTTGGTGTTTTGTACGCCAGTGTTTCCAGCCGATTCCTCTTCTTCCGCATTTTCAAGGGCACCAAGCATGTGCATGAGCACACCTGGGTCGGCTGGGGCTCGTGGGCTACCATCCTGCGTAAGTCTACAAAACCTGTCTAAAGGTGAATCCTCGCTGACAATCGTTAGTTGCTCTTTGGCTTTTGGCCTTCCTGATCGCCGAGTTGATTCCCTTTTTCTCTTCCCGTAAGTACCGCCCGCAACTTGCCCTTGACGTGTGCAATCTAACGATAGCCAGTGCTTTCCCTAATGTCCTCGCTCTTTGACTCCTTCTTCGGCTTCATCTTCTGGGGAGTCGCCTACTTCCGCATGCGAAGCGCAGACGACCGCGCCGGCGTCCCCAGACCAAACAAGCTTATTGACCTGGCCTCGATCGCACTCAACATCGTCATTATCCTTACAGGTGTTCTGTTTTTGACAGTTGGAACGTACGCCAGTGTCGAGGGCATCATCCAGGAGTTCGAAGCTGGCACGGTCGGAAAGATCTTTAGCTGTGCGAGCAACGGAATCTGAGGCACAGAGTATATTTGTGGATAATACCCAGCTGGAAGGATGATTTAAATACTTTGTAGATTTGATTGAGAGCCGTTCGCGAGCTTTTGCATAATTATTTATCATGCAGAGCCTAACCGCTTATGATACCAGAGATACCTAAAACACCGTTCTAATACGATCCGGAAAACACCCGCTTTGCCCATTGTATACGCCTTGCTTCTTGTATCAAATATCCGAAATTTGCATCATCAAACATGATCATATCAGCATATCCTGATCTCGTTCCTCAGGAAGGATGAGCTTCCAGCCAAAGCTTCTCCCCTCATCATGCCCTGAATGAAGCATTCGCCAACCAACTCGACCTCTGTGGACGCGAGATCGTAGCGATGACGGAAGCTGTACGGCAGTCTTGCGCCCGGGAGGACCGCGACGAAATCCCGTTCTTCGCTTTCGCTTGCCACCAGACCCATGGCTCCGTTTGCTGCTACGAAAAGCCTTCGTCCGTGGCAGCTGATGCGCAGTTTTGTAACCGCTTCATCGTCTAATCCCGCCAGGAGTGTCTTTGTTTCCTGTTGCTTAGATTTCGGCCCAGACAACCGTTGGCAGATTGATCTTTGCGTGTCGACGAATTCGTTGTCTGAGTCGGTCATGATTGTTTGAACGAAATCTGACAACGCCTTGGTCGAGCAGTCCTTCGGATTGCCGGCTTTCCAAGCGCCCTCAGCAAGACTCCTCCACTGTCGGAAGACGATGTCCTCCCACCCAGGAACATTCACATCACACGTGTCTCCGAGCTTGCTAATCTCTCCAACACGTATCGCTGAAACTTCAAGCCTTTCAGTCAGGCTGTCGTCTGTGGCAGGGAGGATACGGAACACCTGGTTCTCCCAGTGCCCGCCGGCGTTGAACTCGGTCAGAGGGAGATGCGCCAGGATCGTTCGGCTGCCCTTGGCCCTCCAGTCAGGCACCCAGCTCGGCAGACTATGTGAAGTAGAGCGACCTTGGACAGCGGATAAGAAATCGAGACCCTGGTTTTTCAACAGCAGGGCCGCAAATTGTGTGTATACCGTTTCGACAGAGTAAGCGTAGTTCGTGATTCTCTGCGGCGCCTTTCCGTTCTCGTCCGCTCCCCGGACAGTCCTCACTCCTGATTCCCGCTCGATAGCATCGCCTTTTCTCCTCGACTCTTCACCCCTCTCACCTGCCCTTCCAGAATACCCCGATGACCGATACTGTTCAATCTCTGCCTTGCTCATCATGGTGGGGTACATGGACAGGAAGGCAAACACGCGGTCTCTCGGGTCCCGACAGTCGCACGCCGTCGCCTCGCAGATGGCTTTTACAAACTGGTCTGTGGTGATGGTGTCGATGAAGCCTCTCTGCCGCAGACGTCGAATGGGCGACGCCACGGGGACGTCCAAGGACAGCATCTTGGCGCAGAGAGAGAAGTTGGACCATGGCGTGTAAGTATCGTTGTACAGGACGATTGCATTTCTCGCCTTGGCGACCTCCTGGATGACCCAGGTACGGGAGAACCATGGGTGTTTGAACAGCGCGTTGACCGCGGCCAAGGTTGCCGGGGGCGCGTTCTTGAAGCGGCCGCGAGCGATGAACTCCACCGCCTCGGTGTGGTCCTCGGACGAAGTCTTGGACAGGCAGATCACGACCTTCGAGGCTGTGCGGTAGATTTTCGGCATGATCCGGACCTGCAGGCTTCGTTCGTGTAGGTTTGATTGGTTGATGCTGAGAGCGTCCATCCAGAGTATGCGGGGTACGGATGACGAGCGGAGGGTGCGGAGGACAGAGGCGCAGCTCTGGGGGACGGACAACAAGGTCGTATTCCCTCGAGTTAGAACCGGAGGGAGGACCTCGATGTTCTGCTTGAGGGCAGCATCATCTCCCCATGTGTACGATACGGCCTCATAGGGGGGCGCATCTCTGCGGTGGCAGATGAGGATGCGGACGGTGATCGGGTCCGAACCGTGGCCCGGTACGAGGACGACGAGGCGTATCTGGTCCCTTTCCAAGGGAGTGTATTGATAGGATGAACGGCTGGCCGATGCAGGAATGCTGCTGATTCTGTTATCGATCCGCGTGATTGTCACCGCCGCCGCGGCCATGCAAACGTCGTTGAGCGTCATTGTTTCCGGTAGATTGACACGTCGTCGTGACAGCCCTTCCAACATTGCAAAATTAAGGTCAGAAAGCAGGCAAAAGCAGGCGAAGAAAGGTCGACATTGTCATATTTAATGTAAGCTCTCATCGCCGGACAAGCGCACCGGCCTTCGTGATGGGGGTTCACCGACACTGCCACTGCGCCCATTGCGCCACTTCAGGCTTTGGTCTGCAGGGTGAGATGCGCGAGGCCCAAACTGGCGGCGCCGAGCACTAATATTAGGCTTCTAGCGCCGTCTCGAAGTCCGATCGCCGTGGGCGAACGGACGTTGGGTTTTGATTTTCGGTCCTGGAATGATTGGACGTTGGAGGGGTAGAGGGAGGGAGTGTTTCCATTGACTTGCATTGCATCGAGACCCGGCCCTGCGCTCACGGTTGAGCAAACGTCTCTGACCATAGCTTATGCTCGGCGAGGTGTTTGTTTGAGCCAGTTGTTATTGGTTCTTGAGTCCTTCGAAATCCGTCCCGTCTCATCTCATCTGTCCGATACCAGCACAACGGCGACGAGTTGTATCGAAAATGCCGAAGATGAAGAAGGCCTGATTACCGAGGTGGTGGAACACTGGGTTTCATTGACTCTACTGTGCGGTGCCTTGCGAAGAAATGTACATGAAGTTGCATAACTGCTATCCAACAGCGTCTCACGACATGGTGCATGATCCTCTTTTCAGCCCAGCTTCAAGTTTGTGGTGTTTAGGAACATGGTTCTCCAACGCGCAGCACAGCGGATGTGCGTGAGGCCCAAAACACTCCGGTCCCATGTCAATCACCCTAGCCTTCCTGTTCGCCCATCCCTCCCCAAAATTGGCCGTTGCATGGTATACGCAGTAGACCCGGCTCCTATCGTGTGGGTTCGGCAGAAAACTCGCGTGCCCCGGCCCGTACGGACCTCCGCACCGTTGGTGGCTCTTCAACAGGGGCGTCGATCTCTTCGCCCAAGATGCGGGGTTGAGAGGATCCTGTCCGACAAGCGGCAGTAATCCAAGCTTATATCGACTCGTCCAGCTCCCGTCGGCGGAGTACACGATGCCTCTGAAATACCCCGGAATGTCAACCCATGTTGGCCCCTCATTCACGCCCCTCCGACCGTCATCCGGCCTCTCCCATGGCAATTCAGCGCGGGATATGCAGACCAGGGTCTCGGCGATGGCTTCTTCCGGACTAGCCATCTTGATCAGGAACAAGTCCTGCTCTCTATCGGAGTGGTCGCCAATCGGCCACCCAGACCAGCAGCAGTATAAATCGTGTCCATTGGGACTAAAAACCGTGGCGTCAATGGACCAGTGATCCGGCATGCCCTTCAACGGCCCAAGAAACTCCCATCCCGCGGGGTCCATCGGGTCCTGCGACGACGAACGGAGGAGAGTCGTTCGGTGACCAGGGTTGCCAACGCCAGGCGGCGCACCGCAGGTGTAGATGTACCAACTTCCTTTGAGATAGTGCAGTTCCGGCGCCCATATGTTGACGGACCAAGGGCTACCCGGAGCCGGTTGCCAGATAACGGATTTATGGCATTGGTGAAAGTCCTCCAGTTTGTTCGAGCACCAAATCTCAATGCGATTGTCGAGAGTGAAGGTAAAGTAGAATTTCCCGTTGCCCGCTATGATCCAGGGGTCGGGGGTGTCGACGCCGCAGATGGTTCGATTGGACATGATTGAGCACTCAAACCACGAACTTTAGCTATCAAAATCTCATGAGATTCAGTTCGAAAACCATAGATTGTGTCAGGGTGTGACTAGTTGTGTAGTCTGTCTCTATCCGTTGGACTTTTGTTCTGAAATCGCATCACAAGTTGAGTGCCCTAAAAGTAAGATTAAGGCCGCGCACGTCTAGCCCACTAGAGGAACGTCACCGGCGTTTCAGGCATGGTCATCTTATGTTTCGGGCTACAGGGACACTGGCGGCGCCCCGGGCTTTGCGTCATTTCTCCGCATGATCGCCCCAAGTTGATGAACGCCCTCCGCTGGCTGGTTCTTCAAATGAAGAATTCTTGAAACCCTATTTTCTCATTGCTTGGATAAAGATAATGTAGAGTGTCCAAATGGCTGTGTCCGGTAGAGAGCTTGCTCGTGAAAAGGCTGTAAACATTCATCAGTGGACGGGATCAATGCCGACAAGACCCTAGATCATCAACACGAACGTCTTCCCCAAACCCACGGCGCCGTTGGGCTACTATTAGCGGCCGCCGTCGATCTGCTAGTCCAAAAGTTGCTAGCACCAAGCGGCGTTGTTTGTTGTTTCAGGCATGCCTGCATGGGAATAGAAACATTCATGAACGATGATGTAGTGGAAGGCTTGATTTGTCGCGTGGGCTTCCTATCTAGTTTGGCCTAGACTGCATTACTGTAAATCACTAATGATGGCTGAATTGACAAAATGTGCGTGAAACGGCAGACGGTCTTTTCAGCTTGCCAAGCCAGACTACTTGAACAAGGTACAACTGGATCCAGGGCCAGGGGTAGGGCATCCAAGAGCAGATCACCCCATATGTTGTTGCTTTGATCCGTAAATATCCTCCTCCAAGGATCCTCCCACCGACGGCCTTCTGCCTGCAAACAAGGGATGATAACCTAGAAGCAAATGCCGAGTCAAAGAACCCCATCCAAACAATACCGCCTTGCATTTCCCAAGAGCCTTGGCACCATTTCCAGCGGTCCACAAGCCTGATCTTTGGACCGCGTCATAACCTGACTCAGACTCTAAGATGGCGTCGGGGTGGCCTCCTAAGGAGCACTTGCGATAACTTGGGGTTTCTTGGGCGAATATGAAGTTTCGTTTTTGATTCTCATCTAGGTCCTGCAATATTTGCTTCCATGTGTCTACAGCCATATTTGTTCTAGAAATGTGGCTGAGGGAGGTTTTAAAGTTTCACTCCTGGCGCCGGTTGCAATCCTTCTCTGAGGGCGGCACGGCCGTCATGCTCCTGTGCCATGACTCAAACCTCTCGCGGCCGGGCTCGGAGCTCATACAGGGACAATTGTCGATTTCTAGCTTCCCTCCATCAAAGGCGAAGCTATTGAGCTTCTGATTCGCTCAGTGTAGGGGTTGTATTAAAGTAAGCGTATCCGCAACTGCAATGCTGACTATGTCCCAAGTTCCAGAAGCAACAGGAGGATGATAGTTATCGTGGTTCTAGCCGGTGATGTAATCATGTCACATCAGTTGCCGGCTCTTGGGTAGGGCTATCAACTCAATCCTGAAGAGGCTTTTCCTGTTCTAATGGCTGCACTTATCCTTTTTACGCACATGGAGATTCAGATTTGATTCTCCAATAATATCAGGATGTTGTTCCTTTCCAGGTGGCTTTATCAACGTCATGTAAATTTTAAGTTCAAGATGGTCTCAAACTCGTAAATCATCTTTCCAATAATGAGTTTCCATCGTTCAACCAACACAGTGGTGATGTTGGATCAACAAAGGTTTTTGGGCAGTTCTTTCAAAATGTTCATGATACACAGCGACCTAGCAAATACAATGGAGCTGGCTTCTGGCAAACTTTGGGGCTTGGAAAATATGGTCTGACCCTTGAAAAGTGTTGCTCTAAATTTTCATACAGATCTTGTGATTGCTCACCCTATCTCAAGATAGAACAACGCGTTGCACTTCATATTAGTCTGCGTTCCGAGAATCCGATAGTGTCAGAAAATCAGTACCCAAGTTCGCTTATTACGCTCTCGGCAATCCTTTTCGTTCTCCAAACATCTCCGACGATCCTGTTGGGGAAGCCAAGCCGGCCTTGTTTGAACATTGGCAGCAGCTTTTTGGTAGAAGCCAAGGTCTTAACTGTGGGGATTTCCCTCCCGCTTTGGCTGACATTTCAAACTAGGAAGAAACCAAGCACATAATCAGGTGACATCCTATCCAATAACCAGTAAGATGCTGAAATACACCAAGAGGGCCTCGTCGTTAGAGAAAATCTGAATGGAAACCAGGACCGAAATCCCATGGTCGTGTGGTCTTATTCTCAGAGCCAGCCCAGCTTGAGACCCATCCGACATTTCCTGTCTCCCATACTTGGTATCCAATAACACGATAAAGCCACGGCGGGTGGCTTTCCGTCTATTGCATCGAAGTTGCGATTTTCTGACAGAAGCAAGAATCATAGCCAGAGGCCGTTGGCCGGTCGCACCAATGGAAAGGATCTCGACACCTCCCTAAGCCTCGTGCCAGAGCCTCAGCTCGCCCGATGATGATTGGCAAGTCTAGAACCCAAAGCGATCGAAGTCGTGTGCACCTTATTAGGCTCTTGTGATGCGAACCTGTCTTGAAAGCTGCGCGATACTCCCACACAAACTCAGCCAATTCGGGTCATTTGATGGGCGATGAGAGCTTAACAATGCCGAGGCCTCGCCTGCTCGGGTAGGAAGCAAACTCCATGATATGTATCCACCAGGTCGCTTGGCAGCCTAGGCAGAGTCTCGGTATTCCAACGAGAGACTGGTTTCCCAGCCTTGGCCTCGCGGCACTCCACTGTCCAAGACTAATTCGGCTAAATAGCATCACGGCTGCCATTGGATAACTCCCAGCCTCGTTAGTCTATGGACGTCTCTGTCTGGCCAGTTGATCTTACAAGTCTCCATTGCAGTCTGGGGTGCTCACTTAGCCGCAGCCATGGCAGCTCTTGGGCAGACTTGGGGGCTCTCATGGGTTGTGTCATGAGAGCACTGATTATGCCCAGGCAATTTGCCTTGCCCCAGGAAATCATGACCCAAGACTATTCCATGTTGTGCGACTTTGCAATCTCAAGACCAGGAGGCGGAATGATCACCCGATAGGCCGGTGATTGTCTTTAACGCCATGTTTCCCCAGATATATAGACCTGGGGTTCCCCACTGCTTATGTCTTACCATGGAGAGTGGATTGCCAGGCACTCCGGTTTTCCTCTCTTTAACTCTTCGCAGAGTATCATTTTCAAAGCCCTCTTGACAGATCTTGCCGTAAAAATTACAGTATGGGGCCCTTCTCCAAATTCAAGGGTTCGAAACCGAATCAGGAGGCGACGGCCCATGCCCAGCAAGAAGCTCCGGAATTTGAGCATGTCATCTGGTATCGCGACCCAGGCCTCCGAAAGTTATATTGGCATGCATTCATTCTCTGCATTGCTTCCGCCAGCACTGGTTACGATGGGTATGAACACTTAGCAAAGTTCAATAGCGTGAATCAGTGGCTAAATCACGCAGAATGTTCTTCAATTCCGTCCAAAACTTCGAGTCATGGAAGGATTATTTCGACAGACCCAGCGATCACCTCCTAGGTCTTCTCGCCGCCCTCTACCAGATTGGGAGTTTGGCATCCATTCCAATTGTGTACGCAAGAAACTACAACTCTCAATGAGCTGCAAATGGCTGATCTTTTATAGACCATACTTTACCGATAACTGGGGTCGTCGGCTTCCCATCGTCATTGGAGGTATCATTACTATCGCTGGCGCGGCGCTTCAGGCCTTCTGCCAGAACATGGGCGGTATTCTTCCTCTAACTGAGTATTCGTTGGCATTCTGCTAACCCCTGGAAGGCTTCATGGGAGGTCGTGTGCTGCTTGGCTTCGGAAACTCCTTCTCGCAGATGGCGTCACCAATGCTGCTTACAGAAATTTGCCACCCTCAACATCGTGCAAGACTTACCACAGTTTACAACTGTCTTTGGAATGTTGGAGCCTTGAGTAAGTACAAGCACTCAATTCTGATTTTGGGTCACGAATGCTAACATGCGTCACAAGTCGTTGCGTGGACGTCATTCGGCACCGACTTTTTGGACAATCAGTGGTCCTGGAGGATTCCAGCCCTGCTACAAGCCTTGGTAATTACACCTACCTGGTTTACAAAGTGTAGAGCCATCATACTGACTTGCATGTTAGCCTTCAGTTGTCCAGGTTATTGGAATTTGGTGTAAGTTGAGGCGCTTCCAGAAGGTGCAAATTACTTACCAACTAACTTGACAGGGGTTCCCGAATCTCCACGATACCTAATCGCAAACGACAAACTCGATCAAGCTCTGCAGATTCTCGCCAAATACCACACTAATGGCAATGTCGAGCATCCAACTGTAAAGTTTGAATACCGCGAAATCACAGAAACTATCAAGATGGAGCAGGCCGCAAAGGAGCACAGCAGTTACCTTGATTTCTTCAGGACACCGGGTAACCGATATCGGTTTATGATCCTCATCTCCCTAGGAATCTTCTCTCAATGGTCCGGAAACGCCATTATCTCCAACTACACCAACATCCTATACGACAATGCAGGAATTACAGGCTCCACTCAAAAGCTCGGCGTGAGTATTGTCCTCTTTGAACTAGTGACATTGCTATGAAACTAATGAGGCGTACTGAACAGCTCTCCGCTGGATCCTCTATGGTCTCGCTCATTGTTTCCATCTCATTCGCGCTTCTGGTTGACAAGTTTGGACGGCGTCCCATTTTCCTACTTTCTACTGGCGGCATGTTCGGTACATTCATCTTCTGGACCTTGACCTGCGCGCTGTACGAAGAGTATGGCTCTCCGGGCGCCAACCACGCCATGATCTTTTTCATTTGGGTGTTCAACGTGGCGTACGCCATTGCTTGGTCTGGTCTCTTGATCGGCTACGCAGTCGAAATTTTGCCCTACTCACTCCGAGCCAAGGGTCTGATGATTTTGAACGTCGCTATTCAGTCAGCGCTTACCCTCAACAACTATGCGAACCCAGTTGCTCTCGATCACTTCGAAGGAGAGACCTGGAAACTTTACCTCATTTACACCGTAAGTCATATACCCACAGTTACGTATCTGCACGGGTGGCCTGCTAACGCCATCCACAGTGCTGGATCTTCCTTGAGCTCTGCTTCGTTTACTTCAAGTACGTTGAAACAAAGGGTCCCACACTTGAGGAGCTCGCCAAGGTCATCGACGGCCCAGGTGCACATGTTGCCCAGCTTGATATCCAACAGATCGAAAAAGAAGGCCATATCTATAATGGCCGTGACAGTGAGCATGCGGATGGTGTCCCTGAACTAACTCAACCCATGGACACCAAAGGAGTGCAGCGAGACTGATTTATCAAAGAGGTGGATGTTTACAGGATATAACCTTTGGACGAAGCTAAGACAAAGATTGGCTGTCTTCTTTTCTCTCGTAACTTTACCCCATAGGCAATATGGCAGTATAAAAGCTGTGTAGCCTGTAAAGTCTTCTTCAAAATCATTAAATGAAACAAGAATATTGAATCTATTCACTGCATTCCAGTCCACGCATAATTTGGTCCTTCATATGCCTGTTTCAGAACGCCGGCACGGTGATGCCAGAAAGCGGGTTTTTCTGGCAAAGTTTGAAAAGCAAGAAAAGTAATTGAGGTGATTGAGATGCTATATCAAGACTCCAAGAATGGCCGAAAACCCCCGGCCCATATGTATAGGCGTATTAAATCAAGTCTCTTATATTAACCTATTTTCATCATGCAGAATGGGAATCCCATGCTATTCTCAAAGCATCCACTACGGAGCTGGTAGGCCACGCATGTAGAGATTCCAAACTTTCCATGAAATCTATAATGGCTTGTTGTTCTCCTTTTTCCTGAAAATATTCTCCACAAAGAGATATACCAACCGCGGCGGTTACCATGCCTGTTTGGCTCTTGGAGTTCGACAAAGCAAGCCCACATATCTTTCGGGTTGATTCCCGGAGGAATTCCTCGAGTGCTTGATTCGCTGCCTGCGCACCGATACCAAGACGTTGATTCTTCTCGCCATGAACTGCGAGTATAACGCGGGTCAGTAGAATGTGCTGCTGCGCGAGTACCTGGCAGTCATTGGCAAGCCATATCTTGGGAAAGTATTCTCCCTTTTCCGGATCACGTTCCTGATAAGCAAGTGGCCTATAATGAGGTGGCAAATGGGTGTCCCAACGGCGCTCAAACATCTTGAGAGCCTCCCATTGCTCAGCCAATGATTTTGGGTCCTCAGACTCGCCGACGTTATCAGAAACTGTCCCAAAACAGAATTTGAGAACATAGGCACACCAGACCAGGATGCGGTTGGCCCAGTCGAAGTCGTCGGCGGCCGTTATGTCGGCATTGAATTGTGAGCAGTCCTCGGCACCGTAAAGCGGGAGTCGAAAAGGGCGGCGGTAGAGAAGAACCGACCATATTTCCTGACGAAGAGCTATGAGAGTTGCAGAATGCCTTAATGAGGGCATATTTTGGGCATAGATATCCGAGCCGCGTTGAGGGTGATGGACGATACTAACAAGACCGATAGTGTCTTGTTGTTGTGCGTGGAATACAGCTTGGACTGCTCTGATGTATGTTTCATCATCTGAACCAGTGAGGTGGGCTAAGGGAAGGACTATCAGCCAAGGGGTCTATAAAATCTTGTCACAGAGATTGTACCTACTGTCGACTTGCTCATGATATCGGAGGATAGTGATGGCAGTCAGGGCGTCATCGGTACAAGGGTGTGCCGGGTCAGTTGACGTGTCCATCAAGTAGTATATGCACTTGTTGTGGTAGTGAATTGCAGACTCTTTGTTCAAGTCGGGCAATGGGACGCCACTAAACTCGATGACCTGGCCGGGCGCCTTTTTCGACCATAACTGAGTGAGGAATCTGGCCGCTGCTGTGCATATAGCGTACATCAATAGAGGGCTATATACTGCACGCTGAGGTACAACCATGACATAGTGGCGGTCCCTGTCAGTAGTATCAAACTGGTGGATTTTAGCACCTCTAGGCCAGCGTATATAAAGGCAAACACTATTGGATGATCATGACGGCGAGAACATGGAGATTGACGTACAGCAGCAGCTAGATTCTCAATGAAGCACCGTATGAGGCATGCTTCCTGAAGGCCCAAGTAAGGAGTGGGTGTGATATCCGTAAGACTCGACGAAGACTTATTAGTAGACTGGTCAAACACCGATGACGGATGATGAGAGACTAGACTTTGCCGCCTCGGTTGGCTCTCGGGAATAGATCTACCCCACCCTTCGGGTATCGATCTCGGGACTGATGGGCTTGTTACAGATCTGCCGGCATATGGCGAGCCCACTGACGATGAAGTTGCTGGCGTGGGGGCCGATTGGCAGTTGGACAAGGTTTCATGATGTATTTGAGTCTGTGTATCAAACACGCTTCCGCTTCTTAGATCTAAAGGACCATTTTCAGACGAATCTCGAGAAGACCCAATCAATCGTTCAGTGTGGTTGGACAATGATCCAGTTGCTAAACTCGTTGATTCAGAGCGACTACTAGGCTGTCCTTGAGAAAAAGACTGTAGTGCCTCAGCGGCTGCGGTGAGTTGAGCTGCTGATTGAGATTGTCCGAGAAATGTCGAGGTGTCGGTGGGTGATGCAGTAGAATCTGTCAGGCGAGTTTGTAGAGGGCTGTCAATTGTCCCCTTATTGGACTCATCGACGATTGCTAGAGGCTTCTGGTGATCTACTTGCCACAAAGCAATTGTCAGCTTACAATCTAGACAATAAAGCCAGCTCAAAGATCTTGAGGTCAGAGGTTATCTTACCGGTACTCGTATTTGTGTGTAACCACGGCTGGTCGGCATTGAAGGAATACTTTTTCTTAGAAGCAACCATACGCTTGAACCTGAAACGCTTGTCGACCCTAACGCAGCGATCCTCTGCCTTCTTGCAGCTGGAACATGGTGTTTCGCCATCGCCTACGGCTCGTCATCGTCAACAACATTACCTTCACTTTGCCGGTGTGCACGTAATCATTTTCTGGTATCCAACCAAGCTAATGGGGAAAAAAGAATAGTATGTGAAAGCTTACATTTAATGTGCTTTTCTATGATTGATGAATAATCCAGATTAGCTCGCTATACTGTGCCCTTGTTTCTTGAAACCAAACGAGCAGAAGCAGTGGCTGAAGGAGATGCATTTTGCTAGGCCCAAAAGGTGCAGCGCATGGCTCCATGGACCAATAATAATGACAAAATTGCATTCATAAGACCAAGTAATAGCCACAGGATAGATAGACATACCTCTGCATTTTTCGCAAGGCACAATACGTTCCTGTCGTTGTGGTGGAGCCATTTCCGCCCTTTCAAGATCATCAGACCATAGTCGAGGGAAGATGACGAAATGCCCAAGAAGGAAGCAGTTCGCCGATAACTTGACGGACGTGGGTCTAAGCCAGGCATATAAAAGAAGAGCAAATGGGGCGTAGCTTAGGGTAGAATCCCTGCTTCTCCGCACCCTCCATTTCTTTACTAGCAGTGCTTAGTACATGTAGGGATGCTTGTGCGCAAGTCATTCCCCGCACACAGGTCCCTGCAAAGAACAGAAGTAGACCTGATGATGTATGAAGGCCCTTGATTCTTTCATATGGCTTGCGATTTCTACGAGTGGAGTCTAGATGCACACGCAGCATACTGTGTACCTTGGTCGAGACAACTGGACTTGGACGAATGCTTTGGTCATTAGCCATAATAACAGTCGAGGCATCAGTAACACAAAAGGTATCGAGTGGATTTTCAATCCTGGCGTAAGGATTCTAAGAATACCATGTGGAATTGTTGCTTGATTTTCTAGATAAGCTAAACCGAACTCAAACTCGATACTCGATTTTTGGGGTCAGTCCAGACTTCTTCGATAATTCGACGGCGCAAGTCCTGCTCTTCTGCCACATCATTATCCCCAAACAAAGCAGAAATCTGCTCGAGGGATTTGTGCGCGGTCTCTGGGACCATGAAGTATGAAAAGATACTAGCCGCAACACAAAAGCACCCGAAGAATAAGTATGTACCCCATCCAATCTTGATGAGCATCTCAGGAACGCAGACGCCGATAATAAAATTAGCCAGCCAAATCATTGCCGTTGCAGCACCGACACCTTTGGCTCGCTTGGAGTTAGGAAATATCTCAGCAGGTAGCGTCCAGGCAAGAGGTCCATAAGAGCATGCATAGCAGAGAATATAAATGTCTATGATGAATCGGACTTAGTTACGTGCTGCTGGCAGCGATTAGATGAACGGGGTCTCGAAAACTTACAAATCAGAGCAACACCAAGCCAGCCCATGCCAGGGTTCTGGTCCCAACTGTTGTTAAATTTGCCGACAACACCGGCCATGACTAGATGTGGGACAGCCATGGCGAAACCACCGCCGATTGCAAGTCTCCTACGGCCAACTCGATCAAGAAACAGGAAGGTCGCAATGCCAGCGACAAGTTGAAAGATGTTGACCATGCCAGATAGAATCAGGGGCATATCTCCCTTTTGTCCAAGAGCCGCGAAGAAGGTAGGAGCATAGTAAACAAACGCGTTGATACCCGAGAATTGCTGAAAAAACGGTATTGCGAGAGCAATTGTAGTGCGCTTGATATATCGCGGCTTGAAGAGATCAACCCATTGAGCAATCTCAGCTGTAAAGGCGTTTGAACTAGGGTGTTCGCGGGCTACCATAGCCTGCTGAAAGCGAACTTCGGACAAAATGCCTTTCCACTCGGTCTGAACACGCTCGTCGGATACCGGAACCTGGCGAAGCTTTGTAAGAGACCTAAGGCTATCTTCATCGCGGCCCACCATTGCAAGCCATCGCGGAGAGAAGGGGAAAAAGTGTATTCCGAGGCCAACAACCAGAGCCGGGACCATCTGCAAAGCAAAAGGAAGTCTGAAAGCCCACTCGCTGGGAATACTCCTTGTTCCGAATGTAATCCAGTATGCAACAATCGCGCCGATAACGATAGAAATTGCCTCGAGGACAAGGAGAGATCCTCGAAGATTGGGAGGAGCGATCTCGGAGATGTAAAGCGGTGCACCCATGGCTAAAGTGCCGACACCAACACCGCCTATGGTTCGACCTGCCACGAGGGTGCCATAGTTGTGAGCGGCTGTCTGAATGATGGCGCCGACACAGAAGAAAAAGGTTGCAATCGTCAGGGCCCATTTCCGGGAAATCCTGTCGGCTAGGTACGGCAGAAACAAGCAACCGACAAAAGCTCCGAATTCAAGCATACCGGTCATGAACCCGGTGTTGAACCCGTATCTCGGATGGTCGGGACTAGTTTCGGGGAACCATTCGCGGAACTGCGGCATGACTAGAATGATCGAGATGACACCCTGATCTGGCGCAATCAATCAGTTCTACTGATCAGATTGGAGAGTATAGAGGTCTAATAAAAATGACATACCATAACCAAAGGAGAAGCCACCAAATGAAGCTAGAACTGCCGCACCAAGCACAAAAGGTGATCGCACTATGCCTTTGATGCCATCGGAATCGTAGCTTATAGGCGCATCAGCCTGGGCCATGATGTTCGCATTGACTTCTTCCACATGTCTTTGTGAGCCGCTTCTTGACTCGGACTTTTCTAAGTCCGTCATGATGTATGCTTGGCTGCTAACGGAGAGAGACTGGAAGGGAAATGATGTGAAGTTTGGGTACTGAATAGAGATCTTACTGCCTCACAGTTTGATGTGACGAGGCTATAGGATGATTTTGCGACTTTGCGGTTTGCAAAATTAGTTTCGAGATGGGATTGGGCGGAAGTTTTGGGTAGATTCTCAACTGAACTCTTTATAGTTTATCCCCTTGAAGTATCCGACAGACATGACCAAGGCAAATAGCAGTAGACATGATGCTACCCACCAATCATGGATAGAAGCGGTGACATTGGATCGCTAAGTGCTGGAGAAAGCCATGGCCAGGAGCTAAAGACTTCCCCACGGGGTAGGTCGTCTACTTCTGGCCTTGGAGAAGACATCTTACTATCTCAGAGGATCAGATTGGTCAATGCCGGACAAGGGGGTGCACGATTCGCATAGATCGAAAGCGCAAATAGCAGACGTTGAGAAACGTTGATGCAACATCAAGCAGACGCCAATGTGCTAAGCTGAATTGGAGTCCTGCCAGGCATACCCCCGCACAAACTCTCATAACCCGGCGACTCCGTGGTCCTCGAAAAGGAGCAAACTCGCCGGAAATCCGGCGAAATACTGCCTAATTTGGATTTTCAAGGCTTGGCTACCAACTTCCCCGCAACCCTAGATCCAATGGGGGTTAGCTGTAAGTCGAGGACAATTTGGACACGACTGGTGTCACTCCAATGGCTCGCTATCCTTGGCCCGTCGCTGGAACTTGCGGCTAACGTTGGCTTTGTGGGAGGGATTTTGGCTTTACTGTCGACATGGGGCATGCGGTCTGCATCGATCCTACCACGTCAAAGACGTTGTCATCTCACTCTATCGAGTCTCTCTTTACATTAGTACGGCCCCGGTTATGAGGACCAAGCTACGTGTTAAATTACTAGATGGGCATCTTCGGCCAGCTAGGTACATGAGCTCGCCGCTACGTAGTTCCGCACCGTAGTGTTTCTCATAGTGAGTCGTTCGGCTGAGAAATCTCCATCAAAGAGATATATACAGGTGCCAATGAAGACAGCATAGCTAATGCCTTTAATGCACTTGATGCTTAGTTCTATGGCCGTAAATGTTTTCAATTGTATCAGTGTCGCCGAATGGCAGTGCATGAGGACCAGTCCTAAAAATTGATTGTCCGTAGTGTTGGTGCCTCTTACTAAGGCCTTTGAAACGAAAAACACGGGCAGTAAGATATCAGTGTTTGAGATCCGTGATTGGCCATAGAGGCGAATGATTCGAATATTTGCGATGATATTTGACTTTAAAAGCCAAGCTGCAAGTAACTCGATTATGCGGAAGGCGTCTGCTCTCTTATGTTCAAGATCAAAGGCGGCCCCGTGATGCATACAAATGAGGGGGAGAGCAACTGCTGCTTGATGAACTGGAATATCTAGAACATCATGACGCTCAAGGGCTTGCTCTTATTCGCCCTTGAAATCTCACCCAGCACATGAAAGTCTCAACACCCACCAAAATAAAACCCAAACTTCTGCTTAGGGGTTGCATTAAGATATAGACTGTAAATTACTATATTCGCTCACACAACCGGCAAGAATGTCTTTCGTGCATGTCCTTAGCAATTAGGCTTGCCAGTCAACAGACCAAGATGATTTTATTCAGCAGATCAATGTCGTCACGAGTTCTTGCTGTGTGGCTTTTGAAGTGAAGACTTGGATTTCGGCGAAAACCTTCCAATTCAGAAAAGGCCAGTGAGCAGTGAGTTATTACCCGGCTATGCCTCTCGGTATGCGGGGAGCCGATACTCCCCATGCAAGGGATTAGCCGCTACTGCCAACGTGTCAGTTGAAGCGGGCGAAGGTCTCGTCGAACAAAACTCGCCGAAAACTTTCTTAAAACATCAATTGTGTGTTTCTCGAATATCGATCTTAGATAACGTATCTGGGACTGTATCTGGTTATAAGACTTTTGGCGAAAGCTCGGTTTGCGGAGAACGTTGCGCCTTTATTAGTTTTCGAATTTCTCTACAGCACAATTTCCTGACATTGATATAACCCCCTCATCATTGGAAAGGAGCCTTTGCATCTTTACGACACCTTAGCCACGTTTCTATCAGATATGAGCTGATTGCGATGCAGGATAGTTGTGAGGATATTATCATGATTTGCCTCTGGTAGTTGTTGCAATATCTTGCATAGTCAGCAAACGCAGTGTTCTATCTTGGTTGGTATAATGCCATTTGAAGATATGGAAAATGCAGACGTTATTGAATCAATATATCCTCGGTGAACGCGCTTAGCTCGAGATGATCCTAGATCTCAGATCCGACATTGTTTCTTTCAGGGCTCTCAATCTTGAACAGCCGAGGGCTTCGCCTACTTCTTAGCCCAAGACTTTTATTATCAGCCCAAGTTACCTTCTCTTGTTGCGGACTGTATTGCATCAGCTTCTGTTGTGTAAGAACGAAAAATAATAAGTGATGAAGGCTAAGATCGAAGTATTACTGACCTAGAGATCGATCTCTTGGCTCATCTAGAAATACAATACTAACTGACGACTATATTGCAATCTGGCATATTGTTCCTGTGGAAGATTTTAACTTCACCCCTTCAACTCTTGGAATTGATAGTACAGACTGAGAACAATCACTTTGTCCCCAAATCAGTAAAGTCGGAACCTAAGATGCCAAGCTTAACCACAATTTATCTTCTTTTCCTATATCACCTGGAATTTTTGCGCTGCTTTCCAGCGAGACAAGTTTCTATCATTGGTTCAGTTCGAGCCCTCCGACAGGGTGAAGACAGAACTCGAGCTTATCACATAGGCGACTTTCCACGAGCTACGAATTCTACCCGAGCACGACTTCCAAATCATAAAATGAAAAGGATACATCAGCCATCCAGGCAGCCTTGCATTAACTTTTTGTATTTGACTCTCTGCCTGCAATGCAGCACCGTATATACTTTATTACAAGCCCTCGCATTACATCCCCTCGCCAAGCCAGTCTTGAAATTGCAATTAAGCGACGACATTTGCGAGGAAAGCTAGATATAGCATATGTGTCTCAAAGAAGGCCAAGCTGTCTATCATATCCTAACCCAACACCCGCCCACATCTCTGTGCAGTACGTTCATGTCCGCAGATTGACCAAGTTTTATCTCAGCTCCTCTTTCCATTTGGTCATGGTCGCCTGAGGTAACAGAATCGCTCTTTTCCGAGATTTCTTACAGGAAGTTGTTAGGCTTACCTCTGATGATAAGAAGCCGTGGAAATGATTCTGTTCTTCGGGCGTTGGGATGAATGAGGACACCTTAGGGTTAGCTGAGCTGATGACAAGTCCTCTGACGTTGAAGCTATGGTTTTCACGGCGTTCCCATCGGTGTAAACCGCTCATCATCGACTAAAAGATAGCAGTCCTAATGCTGGCAGACTTTTGCTTCAGAAAGAAACTGCACGAATATTTGCGGTGAGGCAAACATGGTCGAGTTCGTGAGTAGTGTTGTTGAGGAAAGCGTGAGGGAAGAAAAGGGTCTAGAAGACGCACGGGTTGGACAGTTGAGATACCACAGGGTGATATTCAAGAAGTAGCTTGCAGAACTTCTGAGGTTGAGAAGGTTCTTAAAGATTCCTCTGAGGATCAGAATATATTGTTCGTGACATTTAAAGCATACACGAAACTTAAAATCGTATTTCCAAGAAGCTAAATTACGATCATCCGAGGCATCTATTTTCAACTGCGACTCTAATGGAGACCTTCACATTATGGTTGACCTCGCCATTCAGGCTGGTGCAAACAAGCTCTTGCATCCGTGGTTTATGAAACAGTAATAGAGCCGTTTCCGACGCTGCTCTCATTCTTGATAAGCTCTGCGCTGGAGGGCTCCTCAATGGCGGTGTTTGTGCTGGAATTTTGCGAAGGGTCCTCGAAGAAGTGAGGGGGCAGCGCAAAAGATGAGTCAAAGTCCTCCATCAACTTGATTGCCGAATCAATAATGTCGTAACTCATGGTGAAAGACATGATTTCGCGATGATCCTCTGCATCAAGGTTAGCTGCATTTTCAGGTCCCCCACTGACTTCCCTGGGTTTGACTTACTAGGAATATCCTCTTCCTTAAGAAACTCAAGAAGATCATTCTTCACCAGATGTGATTGGTCCAGTCCAACATTGCTCAGAATTTGGATAGCACTGGCGCGGCTGCGGCGGAGTTTTTCATACAGTGCCAGTCGTTCTTCAATTTGGGAAGAGTCTGTGATGTTGGCAAATACAATGCCCAGCGCAGCTCCGTCCTCGATACCCATAGCACCACCTTGTCCCTGGTCTGAAGAAGAAGTCAATAAAAATGGCTGAATTCATCAAAACGCCAATGGGTACTCACGCGGTAGCATAGGGTGTGCCGCGTCACCCGCAAGCACGAGCTTGCCCTTTCTCCATGTCGGTAAAGGGGCGCGGTACAGCAATGGCCATCTCTTTATCTCAGTAGCTTTGCTGAAGCCGGTATCAGTACAGACTGATTGAATTTGTAACATATGAGGACGAACCTGATAACAGCCTGCAGACCAGGGTGGAAGCCTTCAAACCGCTCTGATGCGCGCTTTTTATCGAAATCGGCATGGTAGTCTATCACATTAGAACTTCTTTAGCAAATTATAATAAAGTTAAGTTTTCAAACTTTGAGGCTTACCTTCTTTGGTGACTGATTTCATGTCCTCGTCGTAGAATAGTCCGACAAAGTTATGGATCGTATTCCTATTGAGTCAGTCATCGACCTTCCGATAAGGTAGTATCGGTACCTACTTGCGGCACGGGTAAGATACAAGTCTTCTGCTTTTCACATTGTCGGGATAGAGACGAATAAGATTGTCAGAGTTCTCGTTAAAAAACTTGGTCTCTTCGTCTTCCTCAAGAACTTCCTTGGGGATCAAAAACCGGTAGCAGCAGTTATAATGGCTGGCAGGACTAGGAGGATTCTTCCTGCCAAGAACAGTCTCACTCGCGAGAGAGTGGACACCATCAGCGCCAACAACCAAGTCAGCCCGGACTTCTGTGCCATCGTTAAGATGTACCGCCGACAAGTCTGGGTTCTGCAACGCGTAAGCAACTCGCAAAAGCAACTATCGGAGCTGCACCGCACAGATGCAGTGACACGCCAGGGGTGTTTTAGGGCACTCACATATCCCACAGCCCACGACTTAAGATGGATCGTCACGGGAATACCCGGTCCCAGAGGGTCGGTAGCTTTCCTTTTGAGGGCTTCATGTAGATCGACACGGTGAGCGTACCACAGATCTGCGCCGTAACGCTCGTGATTCTGAGCGTGCGACATGGCCATCGTGGTCTCTTGCGTCGCAGGGTCCTTGAACTCGATGGGCCCGGCTTTGACAAAACCGGCCCCCTCAGGGTCGAGACCCCAACGAACAAGGAAGCGTGACACGTTCGGGGGAACGTGGATAGCAGCACCAACTTCGTTGTTCATGGCAGACCGCTCGTAGATGTGCACCTTGTGGCCCGCGCGGCGAAGCGAGATTCCGGCTGCAAGGCCGGCGATGCCTGCTCCGACGATGACGACGTCAAGCATGGTTGGCTAGTGGTTTTGGTAATGAACTAGATTGGGTAATAGAAATAGCAAGACAAGAAAGAACACGACGACTGTCTCAAGTTCTTTCTAGTCCAACAAAAATTCTGTCGGAAAGTCTATCAAGCTCCAGTCATAGACCGTATATCAAAACAGAGCAAATCAAGGAGTGGTCTGGTCTTGAAATGCAAGAGAAACAGCACCTTGAAAAGGGCAGATGGGTCTGCTCGTTTCGGAAGCGTGGTGTACAACCATTCCACCAACAGGCCAGCAATCTACGGCGTAACCCGCTCCTACGTGGAGACATGGATCTCGGGTAACGGGTATTATGGACGTATACCGGACGAAATCAGAACAGAGGGATTTTTGCCATCAATGGGTCCCTAGGCATGGGTTTGAGCAAGGCAACAGCTAGCCTTTGCGAGAAGTTCGACTGTTCGAAGACCTCGCTTCCTTTCATGTGGGCAGATACTTGGTGGCCACTCATGTTGGTTCAGTGATATGGGCGGAGTTTTGTCCTGGTCTCGGTGGTTGGCCTCTTCGTGTGAGTTTCTCGTTTCCTGGGCCTTTTGTCGTGCTATGCATCAAGGGTGGAGATGCAAGGGGGCGGCACGAAATGAACTAGATTCAATACGGACTCGTGATGAGGCTCGAGGTATCCGTGTTGTGTGATTTGCATGTGCCCCCAGGCTAGATATGGCCATTCAAATCGTGTCAATACAGAGGCCCCTTGTCCGACGTTGAGACCAATTAAGATGTCCTGTCCAAGGACAGACTGGGATTCACCCAAATGAGTTCCACTATGACAACAAGTCGGCTGTCTTGCCTGGGGCCCTTAGTGGACTGGGTGGCGTCCGCTAGACTTCGCTTGATGCGACTCCACGGCGGCGACGATGAACCCATGCAGACAATCTTTTATTCCCTGGTTAAGCTGTTGGACTGAAGAATCGTTGACCAAATGAGTGGTTTTTGTGCAAACTCCAACCTCTTGCTCATCAATCACTACTGCGAGTTAGGTAATGGCTTGTGTCCCAAGTACGAATTTCCACAGAATTTAGGTGGAGAGCATCATTGGATACATACTTATATTCTAAAATCCAGGATGCAGCCCTGCTTAGTACCAGCAAAATAATGTTTGGAGGATATGATTTCAGATGAAGGTGGCGTTGGGCACCTGTCAGAATACGATAGTGTTCTCCCATCCTTCCATTCCCCACCCCATCTCTGCAGCCCGGAACTGAATCTGGTTATCATCTTCGAGCACATCACCTCGGCCACTAATTTAATCATGGCCTTCCATGGAGCAAGTTCCGCCTAATAACGTTGTAGCCGTGCACCCATGTCTTCCGGTCCGAGGGGTCCGGACCGCCAAGAACAGGCGGGCCGATCCTTGCACATGCTCACTCGAGTCAGTGCCCTGTTGACAAACCAGCAAAATGGGGGAAGACATCCACAGAGTCACTAACAAAGGTTGAGTGAACATGAGATCTTTGAGTTATAGAACACATACCTCTGTGATGTTTCTGTAATGGACCAACAAATTATGCACGTATTCGTGGATGGATCATGGCACAGTTTCTGAATGGCACGATGTCCAGAATCCTGGCCAGAGACAAGGGGACCATAGCCGGGGGTTTATGCATTTTTGAAAGTCCCTATCGAGGCGCATGCTGTGCCTCTTACGTGTCCATACATACCCCGGTTACAACGTTCTTCAACGGGCTACTCGATCACAGTGCCGCTGTACGGAGTACCTCTTGGGAAAATCAAGGAAAGCAGCCAAGGCTGGGCTACACGTGGGTATGCGGACACTTACACCCACCCGGAACCACGCAGTATTGCTTGCGTTGGTCTTGAACGTTGGTTCGCATCGGGGTGGAGCTCAGAGCAAATTCGAGCGTCTTCCGACTGCAACGGTCAGTTGGGCCCAGCATGAAGCCTGGCCCACGACGGCCGAAAGCCCAGCCTAATGTTTGCCTCCTGCAAGAATCCTGGAGAACTGCCGCGGACCCCGTGAGTCCTTCTAGGTTACTTGGTCGCCGATGAAACCATTGTCTTATGTATTTGTAGTACGACCTCCCTTCTTTAGTCTGTGTAACAGCTAGCTGGTTTCTTCTCGACGATCTGCAGTCCTCCAACTTTCCTTCCTCTTCGGCCGGTCACATCGACTGTGCTTTATCTCGTCCTTTTCATTTTTCTTCTTCTCTCTCTGTGCATGCAGTGGCTTGATATTTCATTCCCTCTATTAGGCAGTGTGATTGCATAAGTCTGGCAGATATGTCTGCCGAAAGCAACACCATGGCGGAGAAGCCAAACAATACATCGGCCGTCGTTGACAGCACCGAGAAGCCCGTGCCTGGGTCCTCGGACGCCAGCGTGAGCTCCGATGAGCCGTCGCCTCACCTTCACGCAAAGACATTCCTAGCCCTTTTCGCTGTAACCCTTATCTACTTTGCGCAGCTATTTAGTTTAATCGGCGCTGGTGCTGTAAGTTTGAAGAAATACAGCTAGCTGTCTCGTTCCTTTTTTTTCTCATCATGGCTGACGAGATATGTTTCTCAGCAAGGCCAAACCATCACGGGCCACTTTGGTGCCACGGACAAGACGAGCTGGCTGTCAGCCGCAATCACCATCATGACCGTCGTGCTTGGTCCCATCTTTTCCCAGGCGGCAGACTATTGGGGACGCAAGTGGTTCATTGTCATCCCAACTCTCTTTGGCGCCATTGGTTGCGTCATTGTCTCTCGTGCTATGGACATCAACACGTGCATCGCCGGCTTCTGCGTCATGGGTATTGCGTTCGGAGCTCAGCCTCTGCTTCACACTGTCTCTTCTGAGGTCCTGCCTCGTAAGTGGAGAGCGTATGCTCAGGCTTCCGACATGATCTCCAACGGCCTCGGCAGCATTCTGGGCCTGCTTGTTGGTGGTGCCTTCAACCGAACCAACAACCCGGCCTCGGACGGTTTCCGGTCTTATTTCTACTTGGCTTTGGCCTTGTACGCCGTCTCTGCTATCATCTGCATTGTCGCATACAACCCTCCACTGAGGCCTCTGCAAAAGCAGCTCACCACAATGGAGAAGCTTGGAAAGCTGGACTGGGTTGGATACTTCCTCATGGCATCCGGTCTCGTACTGTTTTGCCTTGGTCTATCCTGGTTGAAGAACCCTTATGAATGGTCCGACCCCCACGTCTGCGCAACTTTCGCCGTGGGTGTTGCGCTTTTCCTTGCTTTGGTGGTTTACGAGACTTGGTTCAAGAAGGATGGTCTGTTCCACCACGGACTCTTCACCAACAACCGGAACTTCTCTCTCGTCATCACCTGTGTTTTTGCTGAGGGAATCGCCTTCTTCGCCGCAAACACCTACTTCGCCTTCCAAGTCAGCGTCCTATACGAGACTGACGCGGTACTGGTCGGCACTCGTTACGCGTTGATGTCTATTGCTTCCATGTTTGGTTCAGTGGCTTGTGGATGGTACTGCGCCAAGACTCATCGTCTGCGGTGGCTGACCGTCGGTGCTTTTGTCATTTTCGTCGTCTTCTTCGCTTGCATGGCCACGACAGATCAGGGCTCAAGCAAGCCAGTTTGGTTCTACCCGGTTCTCCTTGGTCTCGGTCTGGGTATGACGCTCACCACTCTGATTACCGCTGCCCAGCTTTGCATTCCACCGGACTTGATTGCTATTGCAAGTGGTCTCATCCTGAGCGTACGTTCTTTGGGAGGTACCATTGGCATTGCCATCTACAACGTCATCTTCAACGATAGCATGAGCCATATGCCCGGTAACATCGCCAAAGCCGTGATTCCGGCTGGCTTTAACCCCGAGAACCTCGGCATGCTCATCGGTGGACTTACCACTCACAATGACGAACTGATCGCTCACATTCCTGGCATTACCCCCGAGATTATCGGAAAAGCTGCCAACGCCCTCCTGGGAACTTACGTCTCGTCTTTCCAAAAGGTCTGGATTGCTGCCGCATGTTTTGTCGCTGTCGCCGTCATTGGTATGTATCTTACTCTTCTTCTTTTTTATCTCTTACTCTATTTCCATACATGATCACGTTACTGATATACCACAGTTGCTGTGTTCATCTTCGATCCTAAGAAGGAGTTTAACAACCACATTGATGCCCCGCTTGAGAAGGAAGAGGCCAGTGTGTATAGTGTCACCGCGTAAGCAAAGATCTTTTCGAGCATATGCCAGTGATTGCCAGCATTTGCCGCTTTGGGGGTGCGGTTGCCACAGCTGCTATCCTAGTATATAACTCACAAAACTCAGAACATAGAATTCCTATTTGTTTTTAATGCCATGGAGCTATCCAAAGTTCGCTTCAAATCAAGTACAAACGCTTTTCGCTGCCAATACGCATTCATCAACTATTGCGACTAAGAAGTCACGTCTTGTTATGAACTATGTGTTTACGGGATGCTACCCACCCTCAAGAATCTGCCGTGCTGCCAAGTGTTCTCGAATCTCCCCAACTGGAAACTTAGGAGAGAATTACCGGGCCGGGTTCAACACACAGACTGCGCCGCCGCTACGCGTAGAGAAGAACTCTCGGGACTGAATATGCAACTGGCGGCAACATTCGCCAAAAGTGTGCTGCAAAGTCGAGATAAGCATGTTCTGCCAAGGGGAGAGTGGTCCCGGGTGTCTTCACACTCCACATGCCGGTCAGGTAACCCCAAAGACTTCAACCAAACGGGAGGCTTTTCTCCCTGTTTCGTGAAGGATCCTGCCAATAGCGGGTATCCCGTATATGACTGGGCAGGGGTCTTATGCTGTTGGAACCGGGGTAAGCATCAACATCGGCCCCACCACGGGGGTTGTCTGCTGCAAAAAAGCAAGAAAACAACGTATCGTATGATTTGAGGGGAGGATGAGCTAGCGCTGCAATGTGTAGGCGAGACCATTTCGCGTCTTTCCTGTTACTTGAAAGAGACAGTTGCAGCTGGAGCCTAGTAAGCCGAAAACCCGCACGCAGATTACATTTCGCTCTTGAATTCGAAATAGGGTTGGAACGCGAGAGGCGCCTCGTTTAAGATTTCTCTGCATGAAGACACTAAATGGTACTTGTGCTGTATTCACATTTGATGTTATTCCTCGGCCTGGAAGCCCATATGCCGGGTCAATAATCCCTCGGCAGGTTTGCCTGCATGAAGAAATTCCGGATGATGCCAAATCAGTTACATTTTGGCCCCGTGAGAACAGGACCACGGCTCATGATGAACATGAAGACTCCAAGAGAATGATTGTCCGCTAACAATAGACTTGCGCCATTAGAGGTAAGATCATCAAGAAATTGGCACAACTTTTGATGGATCTGGATCTGTCCCACTGATTTGATCATGTATCGCAAAGTTAGAGCCGATCCAAAGCCTTTCTATATTGACAGAACTAAAAAAGTACTTTCGTGGGCTGGTCTTGCGGGATTCCACAATTTGTCCAGGATCCTTGATCACTCCCGCAGAAACCAACAAGGTTCTTTTTGTCGCCTCCCCATGCTCGTTCTATCAGTGTACATTCCATCTGTTGCACACTGTATACTCTGAAGAGCGCTGTTGGCTTGGTATTGCGGAATGTGGGCTAACAACACGGTACACCACTGCGGCGAGCAAAGCTAGAAGTGCTCAATTGCTAATTTCATAGTATATTTAGTCGTGTCAAATTTTACATCCTTGGCATGGGTTCAGAACCGTATGATGCGCTCTAGCATGAAGCCCCTAGTCCATCACCTCGTAGAGGAGCCCGAAAGATTTATTATTGATGGCGCACCTGAGATAGGCAACATGACCAAGCTAGAACGTTGCCACATCTAGAGGATTCTGCAGATGGGCATCTTGACTGCATCCACCCATGCTCAGGGGCAGTGTATTGGGAACTTCAGTTAGTCGTGGAGTGAGTTGATTCTTTTTCCCAGCCCGCTTATGCGCTGCTGCGGACCTTTGCATGTCTGAAGAGGGCAATATGTGCTGCATGGATGGTTTGGGCCTTCCTTTTACTCTCAGATGTCCCGCTGTCCTTCCAGACAGCCAGTTCGTCTGTTTTCCCACTTCGCCAACCGGATCGTCCGTCATAATTTAGTGGAGATGTTACAAGTTGTTCGCTCGTCTGCGCTCGAGGTGTTGTAGCCAACTTACAAACCCACACTCTTACGCGGTATCTTCGATATTGAACCGGATTCCTGGGACGCTGACCGCAATGTGGGACATCGCAGGCATCCGGGTGGTGCCTCGCAATTACGGCTTGGTGTTCTCAGCTTTTTTCTTCACCACGCTGGCGGCTGTGGTGGTCGGAATGAGAACATTCACACGTGCGGTCCTTGTCAAGAACGTGGGCACAGACGACGTTCTGGTGGTAGTCGCTTTTGTAAGATTCTGTCCTCGACATCTTTCCTAAACCTGAAAGCTAGGACCTACAAGACCTGGTAACTAACACAATCATGCATTTCAGTTTGGCACAGTCGCATATCTTGTCACCGTTATCCAACGTATGCTTCCACAACTTCCTCATACCCTCGTGCTCTCACTAACCTTCCCACGTATGCAGAGATCAAATGGGGACTAGGAGACGCCATAGGGCTCGAAGAGCTACAAGAATTCCTTCGAGCCCTCTATTCGACAGTGGTGTGCTACAACTTCACCCAGTTATGCGTTAAATTTTCGATCCTTTTCCAATACCGACGTATCTTCCGAACAGAGAATGCGAAGAAGGTCATCACAGGGTTGATCATATGGCTAGCTGTCTATGCGGCCTTTTGCTTGGGGATTAGCATCTTTACATGCTGGCCTGTGGCAAAATACTGGAATGATCAGATCGAAGGAGGGTGCATTGAGCGTTCTGTTGTGAACTATGTCATTGCTGGTTTCAACATCCTGAACGATATAATCATTTTAGTTCTCCCGGTTCCATGGCTTCGTAACCTACAAGTCACGTTTCGGGCAAAGCTAATCCTTATCGGCGTGTTCACCTGCGGTGCATTGTGAGTAACTGGTACCTAGCCACCACCTAAACTACTTCTGACACACTTTAGCGCTGCCATTGTCGCCATCATACGTTTGCACTCTCTTTACGTCCATGGCTCTGCACCAATATCCCAACAACCACGTAAGTTACCTAAAGAAGTCAATTTGACTAGGTATGATATATTAACAGTTAGCAGTCGTCGGTGTAGACATCGCCGTGTGGTCTGGCTTGGAGATTAACATAGCCATTATCTGTGCTTCTATTCCTGCACTAAAGGCGCTGTTTATCAAGATTATCCCCAAGCTTGGAACATACAAGAAGTACTCAAAGAACCCCTATGGACGTAGTACCACGGGCAACCTTCCTCTCCAGAGCTTCGACAAGCGCACTGGGAACTTCTCACAGCGAGGAAAGGAGAACAATAAGATGGAAATTCAGGTTCAGAGGTCGATTGAGATGAACGTCATTCCACTTGAAGACGATGACAGCCAGAAAGATTTGGTCACTAATGGATGGGCTGCGGGCTGTTACGCGCATGGACAGCAACCTGACGACTTGGAGCGCCGAGCTGGACCTGAGCCTGGGCAGCGTAACACTCGGACCAATTCGAACTGAGTTAATTATGATATGTAATCATGATTTTGTAAAGTTATTAGAGAAAAAAAAAGAGGGGAGGTTGCTTGTATATTCTACAGCCATTGCTAGAAGCACTAACCAGGTTGGCTAGCCATGGTTCTTATGCGGGATATACGGAAAATGTGCATTGGTAAACCAAAAGATAGAAAAATTGTTTTAATTTTTGTGGCATAAATATTCGGACATATAATGGGTACAACTCTGGAAATTCCTGGACTCAGCTGCGTGTCCCGGCCGTTCGTGGATGTTCGGGGTTCGGATGTCAACACCGAGAGGGTCAAACAGCCGAAAGTGGGGCCGGCCCAATCCGAACGCCTACTATCTGATGCGGTTGCCATTGACTCATTCAAGCACTCTGTTTCATTCACTACCAGGCCATAGAAGCGAAGAGAGCTCGTTTTGAAAGACATAGTAGGCTTTAGATGGTAATTAACTGGACTAAGTTCGCCAAAAGACACCCCGAACGGCCATGGCCAGCAACTCGACCGCCGCTTCTACCCCGCACCCGCGGCTTGGGTGGATAGGTAAGTATCTCAGGTTTCTATCTCTAAGCTTATGCAAGGCATCAGCTTCTAAGCAAGGTACTGACGATCAAAGGTCTTGGATCTATGGGCATCGGAATGGCCACCAACTTGCAAAAGCATCTGGCAGAGAGAAAGGCACCATGTCTCCAATTCCACAATCGAACAATGTCTCGCGGGGATCCGCTGCAGGATATCGGGGGCGTGCCTCGTCCCGACATCAAAGATCTTGTTGTGAGCGCAGACATTATCTTCATGTCCCTCAGCGATGATGCAGCATTGGAAGCAACTCTGAATGCGATTATGGAATCCCACACAGCCGACGATCTGACTAACAAAATCATCGTTGACACCTCGACGGTTCATCCATCATCTTCAGCAACTGCACGGGACCGTCTTGCAGAAAGAAACGCAAAGTTTGTTGCTGCCCCAGTGTTCGGCGCAAGTCCCGTTGCAGCTCAAGGAAAGCTACTGTGGATTGTTGCCGGGCCTAATGATGCCATTGACACTATTGACCCGTTCATCGTTGGCGTCATGGGACGAGGTGTCATCAAGCTCGGAGAAGATGTTACAAAGTCTAGTTTGCTTAAGACAGCAGGGTAAGTAGTCCAATGATCATCCAGCCCAATCGACTAACTCAGTTGTGGCAGAAACTTTGTGACTGCTGGCATGATGGAAGTTGTCGCCGAGGCCCATGTATTCGCTGAGAAGACTGGACTAGGCACCGAGGCAATGGAGTCTCTGATTGATCAGCAGTATGGTCCTTTAGCCCTGTCCATGTCGAAGCGGTTGACCACCGGCGCTTACCTACCGCCACTTGGCGAAAAGCCATGGTCTGATCTTGGTCTTGCCCTGAAGGATGTAGGACACGGTATTAATTGCGCGGAGACGTCAGGTTCGAGATTGGAAGTTGCCGAAGTAGCGTTGAAGCATTTACAAGAAGCAAAAAAATTCTCAGAGGCTGTGGGAAGGCCACTTGATTCCTCCTCAATGTATGGCGTAGTTCGCAGCGAGGCTGGGTTGTCGTTTGAAACGGACTTGGTTAAAAGGAGGGATGGTTCTTTACCTTGAATACGAAATTCAGTCAGTCCACAGTACAAAGACCAGAATATGCTTTTATAACCTGCACAACTTGACGAGTGGCTATGGAAAAGAACGAATGCAATAAAAATCGTCATGGCACGGGCCATCAGAGATTCTTAGATCATGTTGTATGAAAAGCATCCTATGAAGATCAGCCACGTTAGTTTTATCCCTGATCAAAACCTCACTGTAAAAGTGAAATGAAACCGCCTCAGGCGATGTCGGCTCTAGTTGTCGTCATTGCATCCGACCGGGATAAGGTGTTTCATCATAGCGGTTGCGAGGAAGATATTTGAAAACACTGACCGTTCATATTCACTGAATGCTTTTTCTCAGTCTCGTTCACTCTCCTAAATGCATCATGCAGTTAGCTTTAGTGTCATTGTCTCGGCGTCCATTAACAAATTGAAAACTTTTGATCCTAGCTCAGGCGATGTCGACTATTATGATCGTCATAGCCTCATTTTGAGGCATGTCCGTTCGGCAAAACAGGTTTTAATCATGAGGAAAAGAAATTGTAGGGGAGGCAAGTGCCAACTTACTTTCTGTTCTGTACCTTGGCATTTATCAGATTGGCACAAGCAGTTCGAGGCTGTCAAACCAAGAGAATTCTACAGCCTTTTATTTAACTACTGAAAACGCCTATTGCGGCTCTATTCAAACTTGCAATCCACATGTGCCGCTTTCCTGCTGCCTCTAATTACTATCTGTGGGGAACAATCATACTCTCGGCCTGAGTCACTCGCCCGAACTGGCAGTAACAAGTTGTATTGTATCGAAGGTGAGTACTGCTTCACTCATGATGAATCATTGCTACTTCCCAAACTCTCACACTCTATCGTCTGTTAGAAAAGAGGCAGTGGGCCCCTGCTCTTAGAAACGCACTACAATAGTATATGAGTGTGGATGAGCGAAGATGAATCATCCTGACATCCTTGCTTATGGAGGGGTTCCACAACTAAAACGTCGAATGAGCCATTTCGATTTTGTCAATAAGAGTTGGCTGTGCATAATCCGTAAGCTGACAGATTTTAAGTCCACGAATCTGGATGAAAGCCAAGATGATAATCTATCCGGAAAAACCGGAGGTGCATAAAACAAGGACAATCGACCCCAATCCCAAAGAACCATGTTCATTATAAGCACGATATTTCTAGAAGCAAAATAATTGCTCCTGTCACTTGGTTGGATTAAAGAACGATGGTAGTTTGTTTTGCTATGTTGCAGTTTTAACATATATATATATCCTATCACCTGTTCCGTGTCCTAGGATGATGATCTCTCAAGCCTAGCCTTTTGACGGGAGTCGGCGACCTTTTCCTGACTACCATCCTGCGCCCATACCTCTTCCTCGCGAGACCTCTGAGTTTCACTGGCGAAGTCTCCATTGTCCTGAGGCACACCGTCGATATCGAGTGATCCGTTGGCATTAGCCCGAGAGAAAATGACGCCTGGCATGACAGGATAGATGCCCTGGGTGATTTTGGATGAGGGCACCAGAACGTTGAACCAGCGCGGCATGATAAGACCGACAAGTGCACTAACGAGCACCATGTGCATAAAGGTAAAGCCCGCGATGTGGAGAGGATCCATCCGATTTTTCGCATAGAAATTGGGGTAGGCGAAGGAGAAGATGATGGACACAATAGGTGCAGTGTTGTACTTGAGAACAAAACTCCAGATCGCGGGAATCTTCCACTGACTACCAGTGGAAATGGTTGCATTGAGATCACGGCGGAGTTGGTTGCCCTAACGAATATGTAAGCCACGAAATGCGGGTTTCTAGAGAAATACATTTACATACCGAGTACGAGGTCAGATACCAGAATTTGCGCATCATCGCACTTCTGGTGAAGAACTTGGGGCAGTAGGCTGTTGGATCCGAAGCCAGGATAACCGATGAGATCATTCCAGCGAGGAACATGCCAAAGCCCACACCAGCACCTGCTTCAGGGGAGACAGAGTGCGCAACAACAAGCCCAATGACGGTACCGCCGATGTAACCAAACAAGTTGTACAAACACCACGAGACAAGCCCGCATTGATCGACAACGTCGCGATATCTGTAGAGAGTAGTGGCGCATACAGATTCGCACCACACGATCCAGAACAGCGCAAGGTAGTTAATCCAGGTATCTGCGGCGTCTACAAGTGCATATCCGAACTCGGTACAGAACGGGAGCGAGATGAGGAACGACACAATGACGATTGCAGTCGAGACGTAGGGACGAGAGTACCTTTTGCCCCAATCTGTGTCGCAAATCATAGTCACCAGGGTCTCGAGAAGAGCAAAAGCTGATCCAAGCCCGAGGATAAACAGGGTCGCAAAGAACAAAACACCCCAGAAGTTGGCGCCGGGCATCTCGGCTATAGCTTCAGGGTAAGTAAGGAAGCCGACGACGAACGTGTTTAGTCTCTCGCTGTTGTCTGGGTGCATTCCGAGATACCCGACCACGCCGAAAACGGACATGGAGCCGAGAACTTCGATGAGAGAGTTTGAGATGCAGATAATTAGGGCGTCCTGCACGGCGTTGGAATATTTATGATTATACGAGGCATAACTCGTGTAGTAGCTGATGTCTGTCAGCTTCCTGAACTTGAGAGCGAGCCGAACGTGATACATACCCCATGCCGATGCCGGTAGAAAAGAAAACCTGGCCGCAGGCTTCTTGCCAGATGGTACCCGACGCGAGCTTAGATCCATGCCACTCGGTCCAGTATAAGCGGATGCCGTCAATGGCATTGGGCAAAGAGCAGCCACGACCGATGAGAACAATCATAAGGATGATTGGCATGGCCATAGTGAAGTATACAACTCGCCCAGTGAGGCCGATACCCTTGAACATGCACAGCCATACCACGAACCAGGTGAAAAGGTTCCATAGAGTTATCTCGGTGTTCATGCCCATTCCGGTATAGTCCGAATAGTCTTGAACGGCAGACCCGTCAGCAGTCAAGTTGCCCTCGATAGGATCGACGTTCTGGAGAACGTCTTTGTAGAAAAAGTCCTCATTACGTCCGGTCCAGGGAAGTGGGCTTATGAAAGAGTGCCGGAAGTACGACATGATCCATGCAATGATGGGCACGTAGTAGACGCAGATGGCGTAACCAATGTAGACAACGCCAAAACCGACGCCCTTGGCCCGGTTGTGAGCATGGTGCCAAGCCAACACACACCCACCGCGATACGCTTGACCAATAGAGATTTCGAGAAGTAGTGTTGGAATGGCCAAACAGAAGAGAGAGATGAGGTATGGGATGAAGAACTGGAGGCCGTGATTGTTGTATACAATGGAGGGGAATCGCAGCAGATTTCCTAAGCCGACGGCGCCGCCCATTGCAGCAAAAATAAAGGACAAGCGTGATCCCCAGACATCGCGGCCATCTTCACCCTTGTTGGCAGCGGGAGCCAGCCAATGGTATACTTTGGAAGCAATGTTCACCATGGCAACGGATGATGTTCGGGACCTTTCAACAGGCTCCTCTGTAGAAGAAGGCCCATTCAAGTCTCTGAGATATATGGAAACAAATGTGCGCCCCGATGTGGCTTGAAAGTATGATCGCGGTAACGGACCCTAGGTGCGTCCCGTTATCTGAAAGCTTGGCAAAAGAAATGTCACACACCTAAGCCAAGACTTAAGAAAGGTGAGAGGTAAAACGATGGGGGAAAATCAAACATCACACATCATAGCGCCGGGATGGGCACATAATTATATGCGTTCTCGCTAAAGAACCATTGGACCAGAACAGGAGGGTGATTGGGGGTAATCGACCCAGATCGGCCTGCGACGGTACTTCAACTGAGGCGAGGGACAATCCGGGGAAACGCACTAACCGGTCTTCGCGTACAACTCAATCAGGAAAATTCAGATAAGTTGTTTAGCCCTCGGGCGTTTTTTGGGCACGCGAGCTTGCCGGCCAAGGGTCTTGGACGTCTTGTCAGAACAGAAGACCTTCCAGAAGATCGAAGGTCTCCAAGCCAACTACGTACTCGTAATGTGAGATATAAGCGTAATTGGACCGGCGGTGTGCCCGACTTGGGGCCAAGAGCCTCAAGTCATACGGGAGGCGTACTCCATGTTTTTCTACCAGCTCTGACGCCTGATTGAGACGATCTGCCTCATTAGTGAGAGATATCATCAGGTGCCTGTATAGGGGCAATTTCCCCACCCCTTGGCGTGCGGGCTGCGACGTCAGCGGTCAGTATGCTGATTGTCCAGGAGGCACAATGCAGACGCTATTGACACGTCCGAGACGGTATCATCGCGTTTGTTTGGTTCGTAAAATCCTTGGTATTCTTGGTATTCTTGGTAGTCTTGGTCTTGGAGTTGTTGCTTCGCCGTCTTCAATTTGGATTACGTCGACCAAGAAGATGTCTCAGTGAGCGAATCAGCCGATTGTGATTGGAAGCAGGATTTTCCAAGCAATTACTTGGATTATTTACGAGCCGTAGCCAATTTCTAGGCTCACTGAGTTTGTGCAGAACTGATGATTGGTCTTACCTCATCATCTTTTTGCCTCAGCTGGACTTTCGATCCTTTTCTGCTGGCTGAGTGTTCTAATTCGAACAAGTATCAAAGGAATTGAACAGGCAGGGTTCATTTCAGCTGATGTCGTAGTTATAGCTTAATCACTTGTAACGAAATTCCCGAGTCAAGCCGCGGCTATTTTGGATTCAGACAAAGTTTCAAGTCACTTGTTTCCTCAAATATGGAATAAGATCATCGTCTGGTGAATGGATGATTCTCTTCATGTTCGTTTGATGAGCGTCCATTTCTGAATGACTCTGTTATTTGGACATGTACTTGTCGTGAGTTTTTCATACCGGTCATGTCTTGAGCACCTGCCGATCGATTGAGGTTATCACCGTTGGACACGCACAAGCACTTATCATGTAGCCGATGACGCATAAAAATGAATTATTTCGTCCTCGCATTGATTTGATCAATAGTCTCTTTGGCTGACTATATTCTTTTGCTGCTCTATCTGTACTGGAATTGAACCATGTATTGTATGTTCATCGTACCTACTGGTCCAAGCTCTTATTACGCGTGTGAAACCTGCTCGCTACAGCTATCAATAAGCAGAATGAGAATGTACATGATCTGCATCATTCAATGGAACGGAAGCTACACAACCATACCCATTCACTCATACTACGTATGAGACATAGCAGATGGCAGAGAACTAATATTTGAGCGACAGGATTGCCGCTCAGGAATACCCAGGATACGCAGACGAGCTTTCCCGTTTGCCTTTTCCATGCAGCTTGTCATACACTATTGAGTTGAATAAATAATTATACTTCAATCATCAGCCAATTAAGTTGCCACGCAATGTGCTCTCCACACTTCATATACGCACATCTCACATCATGGAACTGATAATCGTAGAACAAGAAAAGAAATGGTTCGAAAGATATACAGTGAATCGAATGATCTATTCCCCAGGAACTCTCAACCCACCCACTATAAAAGAAAAAAAAAAAGGTCCCTCCCCATCATCCGCGTCCTCGGAGAGAAATTGGCGTCAAGAAGCACCAGCCTCAAACCCTCAATCGTCCAGAGGTCCAGCCTGGTCCAGCCCTGTTTCCGAGAGGCGCATCATCCGACGGATCGAAACCCCCCATCCCCTCTTCCACTCACTCACTCATCGTCCTCATCGGAACCGGCGCCGGTAGAGAACGGCGCCAGAGGCGGCACGCTCTCTTGCGGCTTCTTCCTCTTTGTCAGATCCGGGACTGCGTCCCTCTTCTCCACGCTCGGCGAGGCCTGGTCGTCGCGTATCTCAATGTCACGACCGTGCTTCTTGGTGCTGAACGGGGCCAGGGGGGGAACGTCGTTGTTGCCACCCTTGCCGTCGCCGTCTTTGCGTTTCTCAATGTGATCGACGTCGCGGGCGTTGTGGAAGCGGACGGGAGACGCACGCTTCAGCTGGTGAGGGACGACAGGGCTGCCGACCTCCTCGCGGCGGATGAAAGAGACGACGCCGCCGATGGCGTCGGCTGCGCGGTTCTGAAGGTGGCCTAGAGGACTAGTAACAGTTAGCACTTGTCGTTCTTATACAAATCCTGTACCATTTGACCATGGTACGATATAAAAGACGGACTACTCACCCAGGCTCAACAGGCATGGCGCCAACGCCAGCCACAGCGGCAGTAATGACAGCAATAGCGGAAAACTTCATCTTGGATATCTAAACGACTGTATATGTTTCGTAGTTCTTGTGTATGTATGTGACTGTTTTCTTCGTCCAACGAATAGTTTTCTTTCTCGAAATTCAAATGGATTCTACGCTCGCTTAATTTCTTTCTCTCGTAAGTCTCGTTGAGTGTTCGTGGTAGTTTGGTATAGTGATTGACGCTTGGTCTCTCGATGATAGGATTCTAGTTGCTTGGAGTGGTATGTAGTTCGTGATGATCCAACATCAGACGCAAAGACAAGAGGGGGAAGCAGAAAAAAAAGAAGAGTCGAAAAGACCAGACGTTCTCTCCGTCCTTTTTTAAATTCAGTCTCTCTTCGTCCCGGATTTCCTTGTTTTCCCCATATTCCCACTTATTCCAGACGTTTGGAACGGACTATGAACACCCCGGCTGTCGCCGATGTATAGCTTACATCCCCGCCCATCATCACTTACAGCCTTGCAAATGGCAACGTGGCGCACGCGTTCGCATTGTCTGGTATCACATCTTACGGAGGCCTCAGTCAAGGACCATCCCTACCAGTCGGCTCATAAGATGCGCACAACTAACTTCAACAAGCGCGTTTCCACAGTTTCAGCCCGCGACAATCCACCCAGCATCACAGACCACGCCGCATGCCAACGGGCTTTCTCTCCTTTTCCCGAGCTCAGACACGGCAATCCCCAAGGGAGGTCGTCTATCTGCATTCAGCTGATTAGTCGTCTCATCTGCTCCTTGGATTCACTACCATTTACTCCCCCTTCAACGGAGAAAGGCCAAGCATTCTCCATCAAAAATCGGCCCCTCCGGTCATCCCGACTCTCGGAATCCCAAATACATGATGATTATCCACTCGACTCGTCACGCAACAGTCCAAAGCACGGCCCCGACTCCGACTCAGGATTCGTCTCGACTTGTTCGTCCCACGACTCAAGTGCCGCCTTTTGCGGTTGATTTTCCCTTCCCTGTGACGGCTCCAAACCTCCAAAAACGGTAGCACGCAACTGATGCTGAAAAGAATCGTACCCAAATAGATATGAGGCTGCCAATCCACTTTAGAACCGAGTGGTTGGGGGATCGTCCGACCACTTTCGTCTGAAGCGATCCGGGCTGTCCGACTCAAAACCTTTCAACCTTTTTATGATCCCACTCTACACGTTAGAATGTCACTAATGTCTGCCCAGTTGCAGGTTGCGTTACACTTTAAACCGTCTTAGATTGGTCTGCCAATAGAGTAAACTTTTCATCCATTGATAAACCGTTAGACTTGAAGCACACTTGACCACATCCTTCGTTGGGTTGCCACCACTATTTGGTCCGAACTCCGCCTTCTAACCTGACATTAAGCAAAAAAACAAAAAGGAGACCTCCGATCAATTTCAACCTACTTCTGCAATTCAGAGTCAAGTTTCTTGTTGAAATAAATAGTAGTATATATATCCCGGCACCTTAAGCCACAAATAGACCAGATCAACAGTCTCCTCTCCTTCTAGAATATTCTCAAACACCAGCTTACCGCTGCCAGATTTTGCCAACAGCTGCCATTCCAACACGCAAGGCCTTGGCCTCTTTACACCCCAGTCAGAAAGCTGACCACCAGCCATGGGAATGGGGGGAGGGGCTCCTAGAAAAAGCACCAAGCTCGGCACCGAAAACCGACCGCGGACCCCGCGATGGCGCAGCCGCCAAACCCCTGTACCCCGGGCTTCTGATGCATTAGCCAACGTCAGTCAGTCGATCATAAGCCTGGGTCTCGGCATACCCATCAGCATGAACGGTGCGTCTTTTTTGGGTTCCTTGTCTTCTGTCTTTCTCCATCTAGACAGGCGCATCGCATATTAGCTGCCTCACCATCTCTCACCGAACCCACCAGGAAGCTGACCGAACCACATACATGCATGCGTGACTTGGAAATGTACACGTAAACAGAGCAGGCAGGTCTATTCATTATTCCTTGCGAAGAAAGAAAGGGGAAAAAAAGACAACCGAACCTCCACCCGGCGCCAGGCAATGTGAGCAACGAGGCCCAGACAAGAAAATCACAGGAAGAATACTACTAGGTACAAGAAGAAACATCTGCTGCTTTGTCTGGTATATAAAAATCTCCTCCCTGGTTCCCTGTTTATGGTTGCATCCAGACAGTCCCTCAAGCGTAGCGAACCTCGTTGAAGAGTCCTGCACGCACTTGGATCAGGGCAGCAAGCTCAAACAAGAATGATTGGAGCACAATGATGTTCGTCAGTACATGCGATACCGATGCCGTACGTTCTGGTTTCTTCTCTTCTGGTTGCTTCGTTTCGGGGGTATCATCATTGCTTGGCTCCGGTTGCTCTCCTTGTTGTTCTTCCTGTTTGCCATCTTGACCATCAGCTGGCTCTCCCTCCTCCTCCTCCTCCTCCTCCTCCTCTTCATCTTTGGGAGGGGGCATATGGAGAGTCGGCTTCTTCTTCCCAAGGTCCAAGGGTATAGGCTCAACCTTTCCAGGAATGCCGATTTTACGTGCAAGAATGCTTTGATCAATGGCTGCAAAGGCAGCGGCTTGGCTGGCAACAGGGTCCCTTGGTCCATGCGACGAACCACTATCGTCAATCACACTTCTAGGGGCGTTATCGTAAGGCGTATCCTTTGGCGGGGGGATGGGGCGGGTTGTAGGTGTAGATAAGCCATATCCTCCAGACAGCCCAGTCGGTGCCGGGCTGTTCGACCTAGAACCTCGGCTATTTTTCCTTCCTCTTGGGCTCCCTGTCCGGCTAGGGGTGCTGAGCTCCGAGACCAGTCGTTGAGCGAAGCGTTCCAGACCCGATGGGCGGGCTGGTGATCCACTGCGGGTTGCCTCATCTAGACTCGGGCGTTCTGGGGTATGCGCTGAACTGTGTCTCTGAGGAGTCGGCTTGCGGGGCGGAAGAGGCGGCGGCTGGCGCGGGTTATCGGCAGTTTGGAATGCTTCCCTCCGGCTTTGCAGCAGGTCTTCAAAGCGTGGGACCGTTTCGCGATATGCGGCAACCTGGTTGCATAATTGTTGGAGCACAACAAGTATACGGGGCAGAGACGACTGGGCCCAAATAGGGCGACGACGGCAGCCATCCAAGGCCTCAAGAGTTTGCTTTTCCGATGACGTGGTGGAGTCGGGGTCTGTCGGGGGCCTGAATGATGTTGTAGATGCGTCAGGAGAGGTTGGGCTGGGCGGCTGGTCATCATAGGTGTACTTTTGTGGATTCCGCAGCATCCAGCCCTCGATCGTCATGTAGCCACAAATGGCCAAGTCCAAGATGGATTCAGTGAGCGAGAGGTTTGTATCTACGGGGTTCATGAAAAACGTCTCAAGAAGATCCAGCACCGTGTTGAGCATAGGATCATCCGGGCGGAGCGTGTGCTCGTGCACGTCGCGTGGCGCCCCAGGGAGTGTATCAGGAACAGCGGGTAGGTCATGGTTGTTGGTGGAAATTCTGGGTGCCACGAGCTTCAACGAGCAGGGATGGCTCTCGAGCCGGCTCATTGTGTCTTTCAAAACGTTCTCATAGACCTCATCGAAGTTGTCCTGGCCGCCGATGGATCCGGCCAAACTCATGAGGTAGTCAACCTCCTGCTCATGCGCACCAACCGTACGGTGCATTTTATCTCCCAGCACCGCCTCAGTTCGCAGAAGTGTGCTGACAGCATAGCGATGGTGCCTCCTAAGGATAGCCGAAACAAGCTGTAGCGTAACACGAATGGTTTGCTGATTGTGCGAACGCAAGCATGCTTGAATGAGATCAACGAGGTTGAAGAGGAGCGGCGTGGCAGTAATATCGGATTTCGTCTGAGCTAGCATCGTGGCAAGATCCATGGATTTGCGCTTACGAGCCGCACTAATGGAAGCTCGCCCGCTTGGTGCGCCCGACGAGACGTGGTCGGGCAAACCAAGGAGGTAATGGAGAATCAGGTTAATCATGTCAGGGTGGTCCAGAGATTCTAGGATGCGGCGTAAATAAGTCAGGACGGCAACGGACGAGCCTCCGTCGATATCAGACGACTCCAGCAGCGAGGGGTATCTAAGTAGTTAGCACAAACCGGGCCAGCTTTTCAGAGGATACGGGGTACCGTACAAAAGTTGCTGCAAGAAAATGACTTGGAAGTGCTCTAAGAGGGTCTGTTTCACCTCGACCGACTTGCAGTGATCCAGCACGTCCTGCCAGAAGAGGAGATGGGAGAGGAAGGTCTCGAGGTGGAGTTGAAAATCGGAGGAGCAGGAACTGATAATTTCGAAGGTAGATGTTGGGTGTTGGTAGTCGGATAGAGCGAGAATGGGAGGAAGATCGTTGGTGGGATAGTCAATGACGAGCTTGCGGCTCAGCTGGCTGTAAAGTGCTCCCAGGCCGGTTGCCATCAAGGTAGACAGGTCGCTCTCGACGATCCATTGTTCTAGAGACTCGTCGCTGGAAGCCGACTCGATGATATACAGCAAACCCGTCCTGGCAAAATCTCCAACCTTGCCCTCATGGTGGATGTAATCCATCAAAATGTAGAACAGAGGGAAGTCCTGTCTCTGGGTCCGGCCAGCGAACGAGTCGTGCTCGTCCTGGGTCTTGTCTTTAGGTGCCGCCCCCTCATAGTTGCTCTTAAACCAGGCATGAAGGATATCTCGATTAAGACGGATCTTGGTGGTGATGTTAAAAGCCAGCTCGACGACCTTGGCCTCAGTATCTGATCCTAGGCGGACACTATTGACGCCAGTGATTCGAACCAGCAGGTTCGTCAGGCTAGCAGAGAAGGTGGCATTTTCGACAAAAGCCTCTTCCTCCGTCTCAAGCAGGGTTGCAAAGAACAACACGGCTTCCTTGATGATCCACTCGTTGTAGGATGTGGTGGCTATTTTGCCAATCGGCACATAGACCTGTTTCTTCGCAGCATACTGGATGCAGGGATGGGGGAGAGGCCGTCGGGACTCGTCGTTCAGGATGTTCGTGAGCTCTTGTAGACGGATCTCGAGGGTCTCTGCGGCGTCGACGTCGTTGGCGAGATTAGAAGACGACCTCCATATTTGCTGGGAAGCACACGAGGTAAGAGTCTGGGGAGCAGCAGGTATGGGATAGGGTCACGGGAGAGAAAGGCTCACCAGGATGCGATTGTACTCCTTGTCGAAACGATGCAGACGTTTCGTGGGGTTCTTTGCATCGTCCTTACGGTTAGCCGCAGGTGAGAGCGAAGTGCCCGCTAGGAGGCGCGACCACTACAGCAGAAGTTTAGAAAAAATGAAGCCATTTCCAGCACTCTTCCACAAGTACTCACAAAGTCCATGGTGTCGTCTCCGACAGCATCTCCAGAGCAGCAGGGACAGGCTTATTCGCGCATGAATCCAAGGATCGCAGTACCCGTTACGTAGAAGTAAAGCGGCTGTGAGGTATCATCTGCCGGATGAGGCGGGTAGGCGGTGGTTGTGGTTGTGGTTGTGGCTTGGAAGAGGAGATAGAGAATGGGAGAGATATGGAGCTTGGTGCATAAACTGTCAAGTGTCAGGCGTCGCGAAATGTCATTCCGAGACTGACCGCGTCCACTACAGGTGCAATTACAATTGCAGGTACGGCCTACAGGGCGAGCCGAAACGGTACGTACCCGCTCCTGCAGCTTGTCGCATCTTTTCACAAGCTCCCCCTCTTTGTGCCCTGTAATTGGGCCGCAAGCCTGCATTAGGCGGGCCGGGTAGTAGGGGATGCTGTGGCTTCAGGGGACTTTTTTGTGGCTTACCCTGCAAATTACCTCATCATACACGTGTGTGGCTGGTGCATTTAAGCGAGGAGCACAGACTTTGGTCTCCATCAGCACCACTGCTAATCTCGCGATGGCTTCATTTTGGGCACCCCGGGCCGTTGTAAATATCACAGACACATTGCTAATCTTAGGAGTCCCAGATTCTGAGAAATCAGGGAACTATGGAGACTGCTTATGAATAAACATCTATTCGATTACTCCAGCCTACTGTCTGCATCAACATTACATAAAAATCTAATCTCTTTCTGGGTGACTTCATTCGACCCATGTCACACCTATTACACACATATAAGGTACCCGTACTTGTTACCACGCTCGCCCCTTTCTTCTGTCAAGACTATGCCACTTGAAGCTTACACAGCACAAACTTCCTTGCATACGGCAAACTAATTAAGCAGCATACGTCCCAATGCGCGGCCCAAAGTACTCTCCCTTGGGCATTTTAAGCAGAGTGCAAGCCGTGGATTCGCATCCCTTTTCAGAGTTATTGCCCCACCAGTCAATCTCGAAGCCATGATAGCTGACAGCAAAGAAGATAACTACGGCAGCAATGGCAATAGCCGTCGAGAAGGCAGAGGACAAGACATAGTTGTACTTGGACCAGAACGAAAGGTACCTCTGGCGAAGGTACACCATGCTCAACCAGCCCGGAATGACTGCTGGCCACATGTACGCAATGTTATACTAAAAGAAAACGTCAGCACGTTTGCCAAATCATACGATGGTAGCTACTCGAGTGAGACTTACAGGAGACCAACTCATACCGCCGCTGAGGATCATGACAGGGTGGATCTTGGCCACCCAGTGCGTGCGGGGAAACTTTCTTTGGAAGATGTAAAAGATGATGGGGATGGCGAAACCGACGGGGAACGCCGACAGGAGAGCGGTGTAGATGCCGCCTGATCCAAACACCTTCCTGGCGCCTAGGCTGCCAAATAGGACAGCTGCAGTGAAGTACGTGTTGACGCCGGGGCAAGTGAAGCGGTCCTTCTGGTTGCTATATTCCCATCCGAATCAGTCCCATGTTCGACGTTACAAACGGAAAGGTAATCTCACGTTGAGCACAGGTCAGGAATGTTCTGGATCTGGAAATTCATGACACCGGTGCAGACAAAGGCGGAGACGAAGACGGCCACAACCTGGGCGAAGAAAGTATGACGCTGAGGAATCTTGAGGTAATGCGCGAGCTTCAGATCATTGGCGAAGTCAAGGGCGTGAGCGGTGGTAACGTAGCTACCCAAGGTCATTAGCTACTTCGCCCCGGGAAACAAACATCTTGATGGTTTACTTACCCAAAGCATTTGAAAAAATTCATGGCTAGAGCATTACCTGGCTCCCACGCACCTCCAATGAACTCGGCAAGAACACTTTAGAGGGTCAAGTCAGTGGCTTTTACCTTCGAAACGAGCCATTCGAAGAGACACCTACTTGAACTCAACTTCCATGCCGGTTGTGGCAAAGATAATTCCAGTGGGGATAACGAATACCAAAGCAAGGGCAATGCCGAAGAATACGACGCCAACGCTCGTCTGTGATATGTCGTCAGCATGTCAACGCTCCTGATTTCTCGAAGTAGACGCTTCTAGGCTTACCTCAGTTGGCCACGCTGCAACAGCTGCAACACCAAAGGCAATGGCAACAAGGTTGAGAACTGCGTACCACCACTCGGGAACTGGGAAAAGTCAGCTTGGACGGAATCTGTTAAGATAATGGACGACGTACCCTCGGGGTAATTGTTCATCATTCTGGTGTGAACGTCCTTGAAATCGTGCGATGCCTCCTTCTTGAAGCTGCGGATCAAGCTCTTGAACCCGAGTGCGATATCATGACGGTGGTACAAGACGGCGTAAGAGATGGTCGCAGCATACACAGCGAAGAAGTAGTAGTACATGGTGATACTGCTCGCCGCAAGGTAAACCGGGGAGTAGGCCTGGTACTTTGCCTCGTCCAACCACCCGCGGCCGTCCAAAATCCTGGAAACATTGTACGAACCACCAAAGTGATTGTACATGAGGTTCGAGTTGATGGGGAGGTAAGCAGTGTTGTAGGAATTCGTCCAGTAGAGGCCGATAATGGTGATACCGCCAATGAAAACACCAATGAAGGTGTTGAAGGTGACTCGGAAAGGGACGACAAGGGGCTGGACGACATGAGTAACGACGTTCCAGTCGAAAGTCGGGATCGGATTGAATCCGAGACCCTTTCGGACGCCCGTGATGGCAGTCAGAGTGAAGTTGTTGGGCGCAATCCAGGCCACCCAGTTGAAAAGCGAGAGGGCGCCAAAGATGTAGTCAGGGAACCAGAACCAGACAAACATGGCAGCAAAGGCAGCCATGAAGAAGCGATAACGGGATATGCTGTAAATCTTCTTAAAGGGGCCGGGGACGGGGTGGTTTGTCTCTGTAACATTGTGAGCTTCATGACTTCTTTCTGACGCGGGTTTAACGTTGTCTTACCGCTGTGAAGAGAACTATTCAAAGCAATCGTGACCAGAGACGCAGGCCAAAGACAGAAGGATGGATACACCAAAAAACGCCTGCAGAGACCGGCCAAACCGAAACCCATCAAGTTTGTGGAGAGAGCCAGGAGGATTTGGTAGCTGAACGACTTGGCGTACTTCTGGCCAAAGTATCGGTCCATCCACTGAGTAAAGACTATTTTGCCTTGTTAGAATGTAAATGTACTCAATGGATTTCAGGGAGGCTCACTAATATATCTTGAGCTAGGCAGCGTCTTTCCAACACTTGCCATGATGGAGATAAGCATATGTTCCTTTTTGTTAAAAGGACCCGGGTTTAGGCTATGTCGAACTCCAAACAAGGTAAAACCAACATCGGGAAGGAACTTCTCCGCGGCTTTACCAATTGGATATGCTAGCAGTTGGACAACCTCAGCTCGCAGCATGATTGAGGGCTGGCGCACACTGAATAGCTGGTTGATGAAAGCGATGAAGACAACAAACGCCAACCCAATAACCCAGGCTCTGATTGTAGACACAGGCATACTAGGATCATCGTGTGGATCAACAACGGCACGAACTTCGGCGTATGGGCTGTTCGTAGTCAACAACGAAACCTCAACCTTGGCCTCGGATATTTCACGGGCATGAGAATCCGGGTTGGCGAAGATGTCTTCATTGGCAAGGAATTCCTTGAGGCGCTCGAGGGCCCCGGCAGGGAAGTTCGGATCGAGCCCATGTTGGGAGACGAGCGTCTGGGCGGCCTATAATCTTTCGTTAGCCAGTGGCAGGAAACATGGTGAGAAGCATGCATACTTCACGTGCGTCCTCAAGAGAGAGGCCACGAGCGTGTTCCCTGGCTTCGAGAACCTCCTCGGCGGTTGCATTCAGCTGTCTTTTCGTTCGTTAGCAAGCGTGTTTTGAAGTAACCCAATTTCGAAAACTAACCTCGCAACCTCCTCCACAGAGATTTTCTCATCGAAACTCTCCCTCTGAGATACCATTAGCAAGATCCACTCTCGAAAACTGGAAGGTTGTCTAACCTTGGGGTCCACCTGGGCCGGCGTAACGGCTTCAATGGTGTCACCCGTCTTCTCGTTGAGAGTACCCATTTTGACTATGGTAAATCAAAAGGAGCGAGTAACAGCATCAACTTTCCGAAACTCAAAGTTTTCTGTGCTTTAAGCTTTCAAACAGAAAAGAACGCAGCTGGCGGGATCGAGACAGTAGAGGTTGCCCGGAGACCAGAAGGGAGACACTCTCTTTATGGCCGCTTCACAGAGAATGATAACCTCATCCGCTCACGAACCATGGGGCTGTCTTCTGCCCATGTCCCCGTTGCTCAATGTCGTTCAAAACTGCATGATTGACGCGTCGGTTAGGTTCCCCACTCGCCGAGGTACAGCTCAAACTTCTGGATTTTTTTCACCATTGTGCTTTACACAGATCCGTTAACTTGTAAGTCACAACATCCCATGTAACGGGTTACTCCGATAGAGACCCACGCAGTTAGGCCTAGTGGGAGTAGGAAGCAAAGAGGAGGCGGTGTTGGGCTTTGCGGTGGGCGGCTTTCGTGATATCCTAGTCGTAAAAATCAACCGAAATGGGATATAGTTCCCGTTCTATGTATCTCAGGAGAGCATATCACTTTAAAACTATTGGCCAACATGAATTTGGTACCGCTGTCGAAGTCGATCGGCCTGTATCAATGCGGGCGACAAGTAGAAAGGCAAGACGATGTCACCTTCCGCTCGGGTTGCCACTCTCCCAGCCCTGTGGTTCTCGGTCAACATGCCCCCTGTTTTTACGTACAAGCAAGCTTAATTTGCTTCACATTGTCCTTATTCTTCCTAGCCCATGGCCGCTGGCTGGGGTTGAAAAACGGCATGTGGGGGCGTTCGCGATCGCGTCATCGGAGTGAAAGATTGCGGCTGCGGCGTAATGAACAAAGATACACAGAGATGGTGAAAGCAAGCAGCAACCAAAAACTGATAGATGCCATCAATCGTCCAGGTACTTTGCGCGTTCGGTGCTGCAACTTGCTGACAAGTGGTCCCATCATTTACAACAGAAGTCGGGTGGCGGCCGACATTTGATAACAAAAACCACCCTTTTCGGGGAGGCACCGACAATCGGCTTTTTAACGCTTAAAGGTATACGGCGTTTCTCCAAGAAGAAGCCGTAATTTTAAAGACATAACCGATGTTAGGATGAAGAGTTTGGGCTCTGCCAGTGAGCGCCTCCCAGGCTTTACTTGGTCTATCTTCTTCAATCCATCCTGTTAAAACAACTACTAGTTTGCGACAGCCTTGCCATTGATTAATTATGCTTAAGAATCGATACATTAAGAATTTTTGCTTACGCATTTCTGTCTCTGTCAAATCTTTTGTTTTATTTTTGGCTGGTTGGCATGGGTTGGAATTGATAACAACACAACTAGGATAGTAAAGTACCGCGTTTCGATACCGTTAAGGGAAAAGGCCGGCCTAGTCACACTAAGAGCCCTCATGCTGCAGCCTATCAATACTGCTTATAGGATTGGGCCGTTTGCTTCGGTCTCGGTAAACTTTTTACTTAGTACAGCACACAGGAAGAGAGCGGGCCGAAGTCGGTTGACGCCATTTCGACCCACGTTGACGCCCTCAGGATTATGAAATGCCAAGCTCAAGATCATGTCGAAGGAAGATGCTCCGAAAACCAAATAGAGTGCTGATACGAACAGCTCTGTTTATCTCTTGTTAAAAAGCATCAGCTAAAAATTATCGTGAACTCTGGCCCGAGAGTTACTTGGATAGCAACTTGGCGTCTAGAGGCACCATCCGCTAAGACCTCTAAGATGGGCCGCAAAGACGACAGCATCTTGGACATAAACCCTCCACCATATCAACAACAACCCCCTTCGCGGCGGCTATTCACTCGGAGACGTCGAGTGCGACTTACTGTGGTTGCAGCGCTCTTCATCTTTCTTGTTGCGTTGTTGCAACATAATACTATCGTCCAAAGATCCTATCCTACAGCTGGCCAGCACGAGCTATTCTTGAAAGGGCTGAGAAAGTGTCAGGAGATCAACCTTAGACATGAAAAATCAGTTCCATCACCTCTAACCCGTGCGAACCCGCGCTGGAACGCCAAATCGGGACAAAAACATGCCATTGTTCTCCGAAATGCCACTCTTTTCGACGGAGAATCGATCTTGACTGGACCAGTCGATATTGTTTTTGAGAAGGGGATCATCAAATCAATCGTGAAGAGTCAAGCAAAGAACTCTATTCCAAGCAATTCCATTGTTTACGATGTCAATGGGAGATTTGTTACTCCTGGTCTTGTTGACATTCACTCACACCACCTTGAGCTTCCATTCTCTTCAGTCTCTGCAAACCAGGACGTGAACGAGAAGCCCCTTCTGGGCCCCATCACGCCTTTTGTTAGAGCCATTGACGGTTTCAAGCCATATGACCCGGCGATCAAGATCATTGCCTCCGGTGGCGTCACCTCTTCGCTCAACCTCCCAGGATCTGGCAATATCATAGGAGGCCAAGGATACTTAGTCAAAAACCTTCCCTATCCTGGAGAAAATGCCGAGCCTGTAGTAGAAGAGCTCCTTTTAGAGCACGGTATCCCGGAAGAGAAGCGTCAACGATATCTGAAGATGGCCTGTGGAGAGAACCCAAAGCACTTGTACGGTCATACTCGTCTCGGCAATGTCTGGCTACTTAGACAGCACCTTGAGAAGGCCCAGAAGTTGAAGACCAGACAAGACGCTTGGTGCCTAAGCGCGCAACAACTTGAAAAGGGCCGTTATCGGGAAAGTCGTGTTACCCAGTTTATCGATGAAAGTGGCGAGGTTCCCGACGACTTGGAGCTTGAGGCTACTGTTGCTTTGCTCAGAGGAGAGTTCAACGTTAATATTCACTGTTATGAGCCCGAAGACTTTGAGCGTATGCTAGCTGCTCTTCATGAGTTTGGAGTTCATCCCCAGGCGTTCCATCACGCATTAGAGGCATGGCAGGTTCCCGAGTTTCTGAAGCAGCAGGAAAGGTAATCATTTGAAGCTGTAACCGAACAAAAGTTGCTGACATGCTGCAGAAACATCACTATTGCCACTTTTGCGGAGAACTCCCTGTTCAAGCACGAGGCCTACGGCGCCAATCTAAGAGGTCCGAAAATACTCGAAGATCATGGCGTTCGCGTAGTCCTCAAATCGGTAGGTTTCGGCAGCCTTTTATTATCAGGATCTACCAATTACTAACGACTTGCTAAGGACCATACTGGCGAAGGTAATCATGCGAAGTACCTGATGTAAGTGGCGATATCCTTGATTTGTTCCTATGTTTGCTGAGACCCAAACAGTAACCAAGCTGTTATTTCACACTCTTTCGGCTTGTCAGAGATCAAAGCCCTTCAATCTGTAACATCCGTCGCCGCGCAATCAATTCAGCAAGATCATCGTATCGGCTTTGTTCAACCTGGTTTCGACGCCGACTTGGTTATCTGGGACTCACACCCACTTAAGGTTGGAGCAACGCCAGTCCAGGTCTTTGTAGATGGTCGAGAGGTTCTTGATGCCAAGGAGTCTCTCAAAAAGTTGGAAACATCAGCTCAGTTAGCCGAACTGATTGCGCCAAAGTCACGGCCGACAATTCGTCTGCAAAAGAAGGAAGATATTTGCCGCAAGGCAATCGAGCCTGGAACCCAGTTGGTGTTTACTGGCGTCAAGCAGACACTTCTCGACAGGCATTTCCCTGCTTTCTCGGATTCAAGCAGCCGCAGTGACTTGACATTGGTCATCTCAAATGGCAAGATTACATGTTTTGACGTCCAGTCTAAATGTGTTTCAGCTTATACTAAGGAGAAAGTCCTCTCGATTGACCTTGAAAATGGCTACGTGACACCGGGCCTTGTCGCTTTCGGTAACAACATCGGCATCCTCGACATCCCCTCTGAACCATCCACTGGCGATGGATCTCCAGGGCGCAAGGGTAGTGCCCTGAACGCACGGAAGGATTTGCATTTCGCAAAGTACGGTGTTCATTTTGGCGGTAGAGGTTTCGGCAGGGCTAGAGTTGGTGGCGTAACGAAAGCCATCACCGCGCCAATCTTTGGGGGCGGCGTGATTCAGGGAGTCAGTGTTGGACTACGTACCAGCGAAAATGCAACGATTCTTGGCGGAGGGATATGGAAAGACGAGGTAGCATTACATTTTTCTATTGGCCAAGAGGCTAAGGGTAAGTGCGGTGTCTCCAATGGAAGAGCCGTGGACTGATTATCTGGCAGGTGACGACACTCCCACCATCTCATCTGGTATTGAACGTCTACGTCAAGTTCTCGAGGAAGGTAGTCAACTCGATGGCAAGCCGGCCAGGGCCTATGTACGCGCCGTAAACGGCTCTTTACCTTTAGTTATATATACAGTAAATGAGGTAAGTGCTCGAGGTGGTCATCCGACGAGTTCAAATCACTGATAATGGCCTAGGATGATATCTCTCAGATTATTCTCCTCAAACGGGAGTTTCCATCCGTAAACTTTGTCATTTACGGCGGCCATGCTGCTCCATTGGTGTGTTGAAACAAACCTCTATCTAAACTATCGCTAGCCTTGTCTTACGGTTCGATTACAGGTTGCCCGAGAGCTCGCTGAAGCCAAGATCCCAGTCATTCTTACTGGAAACCGTGGCGCACCTGATAAGTGGGAGAAGAAGTCTGTTTTTGCTGGCCCCCCCCTCTCCCCAAGCCCTGTGCAAGTTCTTATTGATGCTGGTGTTCTCGTCGCGGTCGCAGTTCGGGGCGATTCCAAGGTTCATGGACTTGCTCAAGAGGCGGAGTTGGCGGCCAAGTTTGCTGGTTTGAGCGAAAAGGAGGCGATTAAGCTGGTGTCAACCAATTTCGACAAGATACTCGGACTGGCCAACGATAAAGAACCGGGGTACGGTGCGAGGGAGAGACCGATTGAAAAGAATTATACTGGGGACTTTGTTGTTTGGAATGGTAATCCTCTTCGCGGAGAAGGAAGTGTAGTGGTGACTGTACAGGATGATGGGAAAGTTGGAGATTGCTGGCCTGACCATGAAGGGGCTATTCTCTAAGATAGGGATGCTAGTCTTTCGGAATCCCGATCAGCATATACAACATCTGAACGGTTGGATTTGTACAGATCATGTCGCCACCGCTTCAGGGATCATATTCATGAATATTTCATATTTTTGCCATGTATTTCGTGCTTCTCATACCTCTCATCGCCGAAGTGATCATGGCCATTGATCATTATATCAATTCCTCTATATCTTGCTACTTATCTTTCTTGACTTGGCACCTCGGTAGAATCAAACGCCTTACAGATATCCTAATCGACAATCATGTGCATGCCACAACTAACCACTGCCTTTCGAATCTACTACGTGACTGGCCTTGTCACAACTTTGGAAGCCTCCGATTCAGCAAGCTTGGTGAGGTGGCAATAATGACGTGAGGCTTACCGACTAGAACAGCCACAGAGGCGATCGTTTTAGTCAGGAAGACATCCGTTTTTGAAGTCATACCGAACCTAGAATCTGTTTGTTGCGATAGTTGGAATACGGAGTCGTGTGGCACTTCCAGCCACACGCCCGCCAGGCTGAGAGGCCCAAGCCTCCCAGACCCACGTGACAGGCCAAGGGGGAATATCCCCACCTTCTAGTCAACAACACCACTTTCAACTATCATAAACCATCGATTAAAACCAATTTACTATTATTTATTATTAACAAACGGAATTCCGTTTCACCCCCTGTGAAACCTACACTGTTAGACTATTTCCTCACTCGTCGATGAGTCCTAGAGGTTGCAGTGAAGGGGTAAAAACATCCTATTCAAGCGACAATGACATAACTTAATTTGAAAGATAGTAAAAACAAATCCAAGGATATCAGTAATCTATTTGCCATGTGTGGCAAATGAATAGACACTATCAGTTGGACCTTCCCCATGCGGCTAGGTTCTGACAAGAAGAAAATAGGCTTTATTTCACCGTGCGTTCATGCTTACACGAAGATATTCGATTGGCTTTTGAGACGAACGGATGCCAAGGTGCCAGCCACAATATCACACGCAAGTCGTCATATCAACCAAAAGAAACATCATCTTGTGTTCAGAGAAATTCTGTGCCGTCTGTTCCAGCCAGTCGAAACTCTCTGAACATAGTTCAGTCTATGAATAGCCAAGTCCCTGGGCTTTCGTGATTGTTCATGCAATCGCACACACAAATGCCATCCCGCAAACTCAAAATCTGCTCAAGACTGGCTGTCTCTCTTGGCTGTAGTCAAGGAGCTGATTCGCATCTCGCATGTGCATTGATCAGCAAAGGCCCGAAAAAGAACGCAAGTGTCGTTCTCGGACATTATCGAGAACATCAAACCTTGAGCCTTTTTAGACGTAGGCAATGAAGGGACGAATGGCATAACCACATCGAAACAACACTTTAGCATATTAGCCGCCCACGCTGCTAAGTATGTGGACTACCTAGTAGTACCACACACATAGTCACAAGAAGGATGTGTCAGTAAAGAGAGTAAGGTTCTCACCATGCTCGCGGGTAAATCGCCCCTGCTTGCAGAAAACCTTGGTAAGATGTGGAACATGCTGTCATTGAATTGCGTGTCGGATATGGCCGATGAGTTACTCCTCATTTCGCTCCAGTTCTAGATTCAACTGAAATTCGTGCAGAGATCATGGAAAGTTTGCATGGCGGCCATCACCGCCACTTCGATTCTGGGGATCATCCCAATTGGGGTTTTTTTTTTTTGAACGCCATCTCGTCGAGCAGCTGCCGCGATCCATTTCTGAGAGATTCAAACAATCATCATAAGCCATTGTCAGAATCAATGACATACAGTGCAGCTGGCAATGGCAATCCCCGCTTCATATTGGTTAAACAGCCTGTACGCCAAAACGGCATAGCGTAGAATTAGGTCGGGGTCATATTGTCACTACTTTATGAGTAAACAATAAACTGCCAGATGGGCAGACCAAGCGCAGCACATAGTTACTTCCATAAATTTGCCATTCCCAAAAGACGCCAGGGAGGCATGCTGTTCTAATTGAAGGCCTCAACTGTAAAACACAAAGAGCTTCATCCCTACCTTGTATCAGCTGCCACAGTCACATCGGACCAGTTGTCGTAGGGTTTGGAGGAGAAAATGACGTGTGAGCTTATAGTTTATGGTCCAAGCAAGCTCTTGCTGGCTCAATATCTGATGATCATCCACGAAATACAGGCTTCACGAAGCGAAGCTTATTACACTCCAACTTGGACTGCATGGATCTAACGACTTTATGTTGCCTGGTACTTCTCGGGCTCTTACGTGTACTTTGCTGGTTCTCGTGAATCTGTGGTTCTATTTTCAGCCCAAGGCCTGTGCAGATAATACCAGGAGGTCACTGCTAAGGAGAGCTCTGCGCAGCAACACAAGGTAGCTTGATTGTGTTGTATGGGATATAAAAGATGGGTAATTCTTTCTACAAAATCCAACAGTTTCTGATGCTGCATTGTTACTCACTCAGTCAACATCATATTTACTATTGATCTTGTACACATCTCTTCACAACATGCCTACTCTTTCATGGAAACAGGCCTTTATCGGCCTCATCCTTCTTGAACCTCTTGCCGCGGCTCTGGTGGTCCCTCCAACGGCCGACTTGATGTATCAGGATGATCATCCAGCCATTGACTCTCATCGAGCTAAACGCGCTGTTCTCGTGCCGAATGGAGGTCTCGCCATCCGCGACGATTGTGATGATCGCCCCAGGCGTCCAGATGATGACCCAGACCGTGACCGCGGTAAGTATTAGCCAGCACACTTTCAAAGACTCTTAAATTGACGAGACTCACACCCAGATCGGCCGAGACGACCAAGACCTCCAAGACTTCTTGTTCGCGATCGTTGTGACCCCCCAAGACCGCCAAACAAGCGAGATGATGATGATGATGACTTGCGTGAGCATTGACACGGCTGTAATAGCGACAGGGGCACCGACATGTTGTTTCTAACCTGTCTCTAGCTCGGCCAAACCAGGAGCCTCCTCCTAATCCCCCGAACCCTCCTCCTAATCCTCCAAACCCTCCGCCTAATCCTCCAAACCCTCCGCCTAATCCTCCCAATCCTCCTCCAAATCCCCCTAACCCTCCTCCGAATCCCCCTAACCCTCCTCCGAATCCCCCTAACCCTCCTCCAAACCCTCCAAATCCGCCTCCGAACCCCCCGAACCCACCTCCAGCGCCGCCTACTGGGGATGATGACGATGACAATCGTGAGTTCATGTCCTAGGTTTCTCAGCCTGCTAATATGTTGTTGGAACTAACTGCTCAGGTCCTGGCCAGCCTCGACGACCAGATGACGATGACTGATAAAAGTCAGACTAGTGCTTCCTATGGAAATATGGAATGAAACATGGCAACTTGGCTTGAAATTTTACAACTACATTCACACATTCATTTCTGCGAATTCCTGACAAATGCATATGCTAAGATTGGCTTTTCTTGCGCTAGTAGCTTGGTCGTTCATCTGTCGGAGAATGCCATTTGCCAAAAAGTAGTTAAAGCTGAAATGAATAAATATTCAAAATATTGACTTTACCGTAACAAAAGTCTGACTTTCATTTGCTAGAAAGTTTATCTAAATTAACATTAGTCCTGTAAACAAAAGGCTCAATCCATGGTATCCATCTCCCCTGTAATGACAAGAGTAGCAACAAGTCAAAACAACGGCAGTAAATAGAGGCATTTAGCTATGTGGAATTACTGGGTTTCGGAACAAATTCATGGACACCAGCCGACTTAGACCCAGGGCCCCCTAACTTTCACGTCACTGCGTTTTAAAAGATGAAACGCTTACAGAAAAAACTGAAGTCAACCAATCCACTCTTTAGAACACAATGCCATAAGCAAGTTTGTATTTGTTAGCTGGCTAAATCAGGTGTCTCTATCTTATTATCATATAAGTTTTAGTATCATCAGGGTTACGGTATTATATGCCCAAGCGATATTACCGGCAAGTGTCTTGAGGCCACTGTCAACTAGTTCTAGCTTCGGAAGAAGTTCATGCTCTATCCGTGGTTCCGGCTTCATCGGCCACCGCCTTGCGTTGTATTGTGTCTTGAGATAAGGCACCGGATCCGGGACAGAGATTTAGGTCCAATAACGCTGTCAAATCACAGGTGCGGCAGGGCTGCGGGGTCAGTCATAGTGAAACCACTCCAGCCTCTTCAAGCGGGCTTTTGCTCTTGTTCAACGGTATATCGGGGCCTGGCATTGGCAGGGTTCAATGACGGCAATTTATTTTTAGCTTCAAAACAAGCTTTCCCTGGCCCACATTATGTTCGACATCCCTAGCGAGCTGAAGTTCGAAACATTGGTTATGATCCGCCGCTGTCAGCTTCCCCTTACATGACAGCGGCAGTTGATAAGTGTCAACTGGGAAAACGAAATTCATCCGCATTTATTCACTGGCCTTGTATTTCTCAATCACTATCTACCTTTTTCACACCATCGCCATCTCCTTAATCTTGCAGCAGGACTGCAAATGAGGTTTTGCAATCAGGAAAACTTGAACAGGAACTTCATGATTTAATATCCAAAAGTCTTTTCTTATCCAACTCCAGGGAGAACAGGCTTGCATTTTGATTTTACACGCCCCTTGCAATGTCTCTGGTGAGAGAAAAGGTTCGTCGATCGATTTATGATAGCATTAACGTTTGAACCGTACAAACTAATGATATGTTAAGCTGCGACTAGATGTTACATTCCCGTCCGAAAGTTTAGCAGTTCGCCAATCTGAAGAGAATGAAAATGAACCAGATGAAAAAGACGACGATTGCGACGGCGATGAGGATGAGAGGAAGTGCAGAAGCAGTACCAGCAAAACAAGTTTGACTACTTCGGCCACGGCCACATCTATTCAATCTTTGACGATATCGACCAACCCATCAAGCAGCTCTTTCAAACCTCCGGGACCAAGTCTTGCTCCGCCGCCACCGCCATTGACGTTGGAAACATCAACTTTCATAGTTACCTCGTCCCTAATTCCCCAGAATCCTCCAGTTGTGAGCGTTCCGGTCTCGACTGTGCCACCTATTGTGTCTCTTACGAGGCCTTCGGAAACAAGTCTTATTTCACTTTCGACCGACCAAAAGCCAAAGCCAGCAGCCCCAACTTCTTCTGCGGCTGCTGCAGCTGCAGCAACAAGTAGGACACCGCCTCCGGCACAAGTGAACTCCAGCACAGACAACGCAGGCAAAACAGCCGGAATCATCATTCTTATCATCGGTGAGCCACCACATAGCACTGTGCCGAGTTCCACGCATTGGTTACTGATGGCGCTCCTCTCTTAGCCTTCTTCTCCTTTTTTGTGGCGATCTTCTTCTACCGGCGATGGCGAAGTCGGCGCCGGCGCCGAACGAATGAAAAAGGCAAATCGTCCACCACTTCAACTTCCATAGAACCCCCAGCTCCGATTCTGTCTCCATCTCGACCGGCATTGCCTCCATTGACCTCTAATCCTCCCATGGTTTCCCTCCCACCGCCACCTCCAGCCCAACGTACCGGTCAGGCCCCTGCGCAACCGTCACTTTCTTCCAACTCATCCTTATATAGTGACCTGGCAGTCCTAAATGCTCAGCCTGATAGACCAGCGATCAATTCGCGTTCTACACATCAGGCGGCCCAGCTGGCATCGAACACGCGCCCAGGAGGTCCTCCAAGAGATGAGAAGCGACATGTCGCATACGGCATACCCACTTTCTTTCAATCCGCCATTAACCGCAGAGCCAGAAATGCGGAGAACGTTCAACCTCGGGGAGAAAGCTGGCCTCCACCCCCTTATACTGGCAATAAAGAACCGAAAACAAGCTCATGGAGAGGGCCCATACCACGATCCTCGAGGCTACCTGACCCCACGTTGACGTCGCCAAGATCGCTTCCAGGTCGACGCATATCTCCAAGCGAAACACAAGAATCCCTGGTCCTACCCTGGCGAAACTCAGTGGAGTCAGATATTTCCAGCCTATCCAGCGGCTGGGGAGATGGGCCATCAATCTCAGCTCCAGTTGCTATTGCTCGGAAGCCATTGACGGGCCATACATCTTTTATATCGCAAGCGAGAGGCGGTGAAGTAACACAAACAACACCAAGAGAAATGGTGTGATGCAATTATACATAATCTGCAGATTATCAAAGTGCATAGGAAACATTAACTTCAAGCTCCACAGACATGTCCACGTGATGAGCGGTCTTATGTTTGCTTGCTTTCAGTGTATTTGTAAGTATGACACATCAATCTTAGGTTCAGATATGACCAAATGTCTATAAAGGTTGTCCTCGACAAACGTGAGGTTGGTTTTGGTTAGCAGAGTGTCCCATGTGACTAGCCAAGGTTTCTATACGAAACATCAAACCACTTAGACGGTAAAGATGTAGGTCTGCGTTGTTACCATGAATTATCATGAACAGGGTAGTAAGAAGACATTCTGAAATCAACATATCGGGCTGATAATATGGATTCTTTGTTTGTTTGTTTATGTTGTTGTTTGTGAGTATGTTTGCTCATTTGCCAAGTGAACGAGAAAGGCGTAAGAAGCGAAGGCAGGAAGAAGCTGGGTGAATTTCATGATTAGCCGGAGTTCATGAAAGAGTTTTTTATCAACTTGCCTGACGTAATTGCAGCCTTGCATAGTAAACAAACACAATCTCACATCATGTGCTTTCCGCCTCGGATGAAGGTGCTTTCCTGTATGCATGCCCATCGTTCCTGCCATCTTTCCACCCACTAGTTCTTTCTTTGTTTTTCAATTCTATTTTGTCCCCTTGAAAAGCACAGCTCTCGAAATCATCACCTCTTCTTTATCAACTTTCATCTTTTGTAAAGGATTCTGGCTCTAACAAGATCACCACATCACCGCGTCAGGCACCTTTAAATCTTTTTTCATTTTTCTTGTAAAGCTCATGACGGCCGAGGGATACAGAAAATGTTCTCATACGCACTCACTAAAATCTGGCTGATCGCCATTATCATTGGTGCTGCGATCAGTAGTCCCCTCGATACCAGCGTCACTGCCATCCGCGTTGGTGGTGAGCACAGCAATGTCGCTGAGGTTGTTGCCGGGGATCGGCCTGAACATAACTGTGAAGACATCATTAAGCGACAGATTGTACCTCTCATCGACTGCTCTTACTCTTGGGAGAACTGTGGCTTCGACGACCACCTGGAATATCAGATCAAGATTGACCCTGTCGGCGACTCAAGCGACAAGTGGTGTGAAATGCTTAACGACAAGATCAACACCTTCACCAAGAAGACAACTACTTGGATTTCCTGTGATCGCAGTTACAAGGCCAGTGATATTGGCAACGGCATCTGGCTTCGCGTCAAAATTGGTTACCCTTGGCCTGCGGGTGGAGATTTCATGAACGAGGTCGAGGCCGCTATCCGATTTTCCATGTGCTTTGCCCATCCGGTGCTCACCAATTGGGTAAACGAAGGGTGAGTTTTTAACTACTCGCCATATATTGGGTGACTCAATAAAGCTAATTCTTATCTTCATCAGATGCTACCGAAGCAGCATATGTTCCTCTAGATATTGGGCCCTGAATGAGCGATCGATTGCCGAAAGCCAGCCTGTGAAGGAGTTGTCTTCCAAAAACACCGATGCCAAAGCATTTGATTCGATCTCCAGTAGCATTGCCACTGTTACAGACTCAGAGCCAAGCACTATCTACTTTCAAGCCCGAGACGAGAACAAACTAGCCGGAAATGCTGTTGTTTCGACCTCCAGCGACCCCGGTCCTTCCGTCGTTGAGAGAAACATCAAGGCCGTGGCTACGCCTCCTCCGGGAATTGACCCCGACTTCACCTGTGCTTTCGTCGACCCCAACAAGGGTTTGTCTACCAAAGTCGACTGCTCTTACTATTACGAGAAACGCAACGACCGTCTCAAGTACAAGGTCGACATTCAACCCACCAGCCAGGACTCCACCCTCTGGTGCGAGCAGCTTATTCATGCCATCCGCCAGCGTTGCCCACATGGCAATGTTGACAACAGATATTTGACCAAAAAGTGCAGGACCGACGTTTTCGAGTCGAAATTGGGCAAAGGAATGTCTATCGAGTTCGATGCTTTATCTTGGTTCGTCAATGATGACAACGAGTCTTGCACCGAAGAGGCGATTAAGTCCACAACATGTGGCATCCCGGCAGTGTTCGAGAAAGGCGGATGCTATAAGGCTTAGTGATGGAATTTGGAAGCTTATGGGACCTGCGAGGAATCATTCAGGATTGCAGAACGTCCCGAACAACAAGCACTTTCACTAATCGGCACAACTAAACATAATCAATTATTAGATAGCCAGCCTAGTTGATTAAAGTCGATTATGCACACGGGGTGTCTCTTTTATGTCTCGCATGGACGTTTTCGAAAGAAAAAAGTGATGTTATTTTTGTGTTGTTCGTTGACATAAACTTCTTTGTTCCCGCCAATCCAATCCATTTGCCCATGACTTCATCTCAAATGAACGTCACGCAAAAATAATCTATCGCGTTGTTGTTGCGAAAGCTTCAATACCTGTCGAGTGAAATGCCAGGCGATGATGTATCAGAAACTGGGCGGAACAAGCGGGAATACTGTCCCACTGAAAAACGGGAAGCAAGGGTACATGGGCTGCATATTTTGCTCCAGATCTCAACCAATCCGCCAGCATGGCCAAGTGGTAAGGCATCGCACTTGTAATGCGGGGATCCTGTGTTCGATCCACAGTGTTGGCATTAAATTTTTGATTTTTTGACTCTTACTTTCCCTTTCTTTTTAGTACCTACCTTCTTTGCGCCCAAAATTTTATTCATAGGGCTGCACCAAGACGTTGCTGCGAGCTCGGATCAGAATAAAGTACAGTTACATCCTAGCTCCGCATCCGAAGCCGTGCGTTCTAATGAAGAAGGATAGGTATGATCAAGGTAATCAGTCTGCACCGATAGCCATCATTTGATGTTGTCAGAGCTGTACATGATTGACAAATCTGATAGCGTGAGTACACATGGGCATAATTTCGCGAATTGGTCAACGGCAAATGGCAGTGGTTTGCTTTGCATAGTGGAACAATGACGATGTCGCCCGTCATTGAATGCTCTACATCACCCCCACGCGTGAACAGAAGCATACTTTCAATAGCATTAAACAGTTGAGTCCGGGTATCCGACCCATCCCAATTCCCATACCAGCCAAACGCCGAGCCTGCAAGCCTTCTCAATAACCTAACCAATAAGAGATTTTGACCCAAACTAATATGAATCGTTGCCGTTCTCATGCTTTGTTACGGCGTAGCCCTTCTTGTTAGGCAGATCAGTCTCTTGGTCGCCCTTGGCGCCCACAGAGGCCATCTCATATAGCCACCTCGCAATGAGGAAGCTGCTGGCAGCCCACACCCACACGAGAATTGCAACTGTGCACGTGAAGAAGAGTACAGGCACGAGGAGGAGCATGGCGACACCGATCCAGAAGAGGGCAAATATAACGGCAGCACCGAGGGCGAAGACAATAGTCGAGATGGCAAAGACCGAGAAGACGAGGATAGGAAGGGAAGAGAAGATGAGCTGGGAGAGGATGAAGGCCTGTGATAATACTGTTAACGAAGGCACCATAGGGATTCAATGCGGGGGCAGACGAACAAAAAGCAAGGGCCGCTCTTGGGCGAAGTCAGCGACGCCGCTGTATGCCTTCTGTCTGGTGTCATAGCTGACGACCCGATCAATCTGTCGTTGACCGTAGGCGTATACGCCAGCAGCGTTTTCTTTGGCCGAGGCCTTGATATCGTTATAATCGGAGTAGGATGCCATTTTGGGATGGAAGATGCGGAATCGAGGGGTGCGTCAGGGGTATTGCAGAGGGACGGATGCAGATCGGGCAGTTGGGATGGGTGGTCCGTCGTTTATCAATCGAAGAATGGCCGCCCAGCTTCCAAGGGATACACACAGGCTGGTCGAGTAAAAGGGGATTCTTTCCTGACGAGGTAGGGTGGGAGAAAGGAGAGAGACAGCGGACGGCAGGTTGGCGACGGAGAGGTTACAAAGTGCGAACGCCAGCAATTGAAATTAGAGGAGCCCCCTTTGACCACCAGTGCTGACGTTGTGGTGATGGTGGCGGTACATTCCCCAACGCACACACCATTAGGCACTTTGTGGCACTACAGGGAGCGGGAAGCCGCGTTCCATTGTCGTTCGAGTACCTACCTACCTTGTCTTTACCTTACTGTACGAGCACTTTGTATCGTAGTAGGCGCGTCATGCAGGTCGCAATTTAGGGTCCTCGTGCCTGCAGTTTCCCCCACAGTAAACAGGACGCTACAAGGTGCGTAAGCCACGAGTCACAGCCACGCTCCATGCCTTACCCCCCTCTCCCCGCTTGCGGTTTGGAAGGAGCTTGGGCCGCCTGCATCTACAGATCTACGAACGATACGTACCCATCAGGGACTTTATATAATCACGTGTTCGCCTGCAGCCGGCCCGCGCGGGACTGGTTCATAGTTCCGTACAGAGTGTAGTGTAGAAAGTGGTAGTAGTGGTAGTAGCAGCATTAGTAGGTCCGTGGCAGTGCCATGGTCTCTTGCTTTCTCGAGCTCGTCACCATGACTTTTAGTGTCTCATCCATCAATCACTTTTAAGAGAAACCCAAACAAACTCTGCAGATCCTGCATACGCTTGGTCAAACTTATCGTACATGCCGCATCTCGCATATCCCTTAACACCGTGAACCCGCGCGACGTGAAGCACCAAGCACCCCCGGCTGGTTTTTCTCCACGAGTGAAAACCAGCCTTTTAAACCGGAGGCTACATCTTAGCAGCATGCGACAACACCATCAACTTGGGTATCGGATACACTGTACCACATTCTCGTCCAAGCGCCAAACGATCCCTCTGAGACACGGGAAATTCCGTCTTGGATGATAACTTCATTCCTCAATCCACTCAGTCCGACGGCCAGTCCGAATGCCGGTGTCATGAACGGTGAATCCCCAGGCACAGAGTCGCCCTCTCTTAAAGACGAGGTTGAGCGTCTTGAGAATGGCGACAAACCGAAGATGGGTTCTGGGGTGAGGGGTACGCGTATCGGCCACAAGAAGTCGCGGAATGGCTGTCAGCAGTGTAAGAAGCGGCGTGTCAAGGTGAGTGGGATTAGTGCAGGATTCCAAGACTGAGATCCTTCGTCTGGATTCCTAGAGATGACTCTTGAGCTACGGCGGATATCTAACAGATTACAGTGCGATGAAAGCCGGCCATGTCGGAATTGCGTACGGCACGACGTCAAGTGCAGTCTGGTCTTGACACCCTTCGCCCCGCAGCTCCCAACCGTCGCCGAATCGCCTAAGCCGGCTTCAGAGGCGGCCAACACGGCAACCCCCCGCAGTGTTGGCGAAACCTCAACAAGTAGCCATCCTGGTAGCCAACGCGACAGAGCCTCGCCTCAACTGTCATCTTTGAGGGAGAAGGTCGCTGCCATGCAGGGGCTATTGTCCGAGTTTTCCGCCGAGATGGAGACGCTCACCCAGCAAACCGCTCACGGGGGAGACAATGTCTCCAACTCGAACCAAGGCGAATCCGGAGAAAGTCAGAATATCTCTCCTTCGGATTGGCTGACTGACATGAAGCTCGTCCATCATTTTACATCGAATACTGCTTACACCCTTTCGGAGAACCGTGACTTCGTTCACCTATGGACCACTACAGTGCCTGAAATTGCATTTGCTCATGTAAGCGCCCCCAATCGACATGCATACATGTACATGCCGGACTGATCCCATCTCAGGACTTTCTCCTTCATGGCATTCTCGCCGTATCAGCGATCCATCTCGCCCATTTACACCCGGAAAGGCGTGAGGAATTCACCACAATATCTACCCGCCACCAAACAACCGCACTGGGCCAATTTTCGCCCCGACTGAACGATATAGGGGAAACCAACGCTGACGCATACGTCCTTCATGCCGTTTGTATTTTCCTCTTGAACACCTACTCTATTGCCAACCCACATGGGCCCATCACATCGAAGGACGTTGCTCAGTCCTTCATCCTACTACAAGGTAAGCCCCTGCTTAGCCTAAATCTAGAGGCAACCTAACCGCGCACAGGTATCAAGAGCATTCTCACCCTTCCATTTGCTCATCGCTATATTGCAAATGGCCCTTTGGCACGCTGGCTCTACCAAAGCGGCATGGAGCCCGCCGTAACCGGAAACTACGCAAGTAAGATTGACGATCTCATCAACCTCACTCGCAGCATGGCGCCCTCTGAAGACACGTCCACCTGCCAATCCGCCCTCGAAGGGCTTAAGCTCACATTTGCCGCTGTTTCGGCACCTACTCACCGACTCGGCCTTGTCTGGCGATGGGCAGTCTCGTTACCCCAGTCATTCCTCGAGCTCATGAGCCAGAACCACCCAATGGCCCTAGTCATCCTCATGTACTACGCTGCGTTGGTACACGCCTTTGAGCGAAAGCTGTGGTATCTCAACGGGTGGGGAGTTAATGTGGCATCGGCTTTGGACAAGACTATTCAAGAGCCTTGGAGGGGGTGGATTCAGTGGCCACTGCGGTGTGTTCGCGAAGGTGTTGATATTCGACAGGTCGAGCCCGATCCACCGTCAAATACTACCCCCAAGCCCGAACCGATTGGGCTTCCTACGATCAAAATGGATCTGTTCAGGGTGGGGGAACCTCCACCATGATGGCCTCGACAAATGAAGTCCAGAAATGGCGGATTCAATGTCACCAAGAAAACGTTAGCCCAGTCGTCGCAGTCTCGCAATTGACTGCGCAAACGCAGCAAGTTCATTCGTCTACACAGATCCCTGAGCTTTAGTCGCCCTGGCGCGGCCGGCAAGAGTCTGTTTGACATATGCAATGACCTCATGAGACTTCGGTACTGGGATACGAGGTTTACAGTACTGAAAAGGCCCAGATAACAATTCTGTGCCGGCCTCGTCGGCGAAACACGAGGCCCTCTTGGCTGAAGATGAGGTCGACCCTGGCTGGTTCTTGGGTCGATTGTCCCGCCGAGCCGACGCCAGCAGTTCTGTTCACTGCCCATGAGCATGTGCCAACTGCGAGCAACAGAGAGTGCCCCAGCTATAGAGCTGGGAATTGGAAAGACACGGAGTGACTCGCATAGTAGCATGGATTTCAGCTTCCCTTAGCAATCACTGTTAAATGAGGCTGAGGACAGTCTCTAGCGGTGTAAACTTTTCAGAGAAGGAAAGCAATAAATGCTGGCAGTGTACCTAAAGGTATACAATTGATATGACAATCTTTTATCACGTCAGTCGATGCACGCATAGTGATTTGATGTGTATCCCGAACGAGGAGGCTGCTGACAGTTCTCATGCATGAGCACCATCGTACAATGCAAACACACTCAAAGAAGCATTAGAAATACGTTCAAAGTCTATCACAAATTGTCCTATTAAGCGTCAAAATTAAGACGCCTAGCAATAGCCTCTTGGAACACAGCAAAAAGCAAAACAAATGTCCCTGGCAAGGCTCGAACTTGCGACCTTTGGATGTCCCTACCTCGAGATAGAGTCATATTTAGTGATATGAGACCAACGCTCTTCCAACTGAGCCACAGAGACTCTGCGATTGCTGAGTGTAGGGGTCTAATTTGGCAATATGTGGCAACACCGGTCTGTGCGTCAGCTGGGATCCCACCGACGGTACGTATCTTGCACCCCACAAGGCGTATTCGGCTCTCCGTCGCGGGCCGGTCTCATGCTGTTGTGCACATATTGCGAGCTTACAATATCAGCACCATCAGTGAGACCCATGGCAACAGCTTAACAACATAAACTTCATCAATAACCAAACCCAGACTACGACGGCGCTTACGCGTTTGACAGGTTCACCGACGACCAAATTGAAGTCTGCCTCAGCACCACCTCCCACCTGCGCCACCATTGTAGCTCTCAACACCCACAACTCACTGAAGCTGTCTTCCATGGAGCCATACATCATACCTTGTTTGCATTTTTACGTTCCCTCAACCAAGGGGGGGGGGGGGGGGGGGGGGGGGGGGACTACGCATGCCGTGACATGAAACATACCCTATCTCAAACCTTCCATGGCAGCATGCGGAAGTGGGAAAAAGAAGGATAGAAAGATAAGATGGGATGACTGGACTGCCCCCAAGCCCCGCCCCGGTCGTTATCGCTCCGTTTCTCCTGCTTCGCTCTTCCGTCTCGTCTCCCGTTTGCCTCCGCCGCCTAGACCACCTCCAACAATGCCTTATTTCGGTTGTTCTCACCCGCAGGCATGAACTAGAACCCATCTTTTCTTACGGATCTCCGCGCGGATGAACAGAGTTGTCCCGGTTCGTTGGTCATCGTTCATTGGCCTTTTGCGAGGCGAGACCTTCCTCGAGCTTCATACCATGCCCCCAACCTTCGTAACTCCATCCCCGCTTGTTATAATCGGGGGCCATCCTTGATGCTGCTTCTCGAGTGAGATGTGCTTTGATGATAGAGGTTGATATATATCATGCCTCGTGAGCTTTCTTTTTGATCTGAATTCTTCATCTTCTTTTACTCACTTACACAGTCTCAGTCACTTGCTCAATACCCAGATTCCAAGCTACAAGATACGCCTTGATAGCCTCTTCGTCATCATGACCCCAGATCCAGATAACAATGAGGAAAACCAATCACTAACCTCCTCAATGCCCTCGTCCTCCCGCTTGTCTCTCAAGCGCCGCATCTCCCTCTCTTTCCACCGCCATCGCTCCTCCTCTGTCCCGAAACCCCCTGGCCGAGGCATCAGCCACAACGTTCACAAAATCACAACCGCAGCCGGCGTTCCCTTCAACAAGGCCGCGAACCTCGTCGGCGCAGAGGGCTTCTTCCCTCAGACCATGGCCCGCGAGTGCGCCAAGGCAGCGCGCATCCTCCACTCCTTCACCGACGACCCGGGTCCGGCGCCCACCAACTACAAGGCCCCCATCCACCCGCTCGGTCTCAGCGTGAAATCCATGGTGATAATCCCGCCCCAGATCCTCGCCCACTGTGCCGGACTCGCAATCTTCAACACCCTCCGCGCGGGAGCGTACATGGGCTCTCTGGCCGCCGGCTCCGGCATCGTCGTAGCGCGCCGCCCGGACGGGACCTGGTCACCCCCATCTTCCTTCTTCGTTTCGACCCTCGGCGCCGGCTTCATGATCGGGCTGGATATCTACGACTGCGTCCTCGTGCTCAACACGCCGGCACAGGTCGCCGCCTTCACCCACCCGCGCGTCTCACTAGGCGCGGAATCGTCCATAGCACTTGGGCCCATCGGCACGGGCGGCGCTGTTGAAGCCGCGCTCTCAAAGACGGCGAGGCCAATGTTCAGCTACATCAAGTCCCGCGGCTTCTGGGCCGGCGTTCAGATCGACGGGACAATCATCATCGCGCGGCAGGACTGCAACAGCGTCGCCTACGAACAACGGCGCATCTCCGCCAAGAAGATCCTGACGTTACAGGCCGAGTGGCCTGAGGGATCGCAACCGCTTTGGCAGACTCTCATGGCGATGGAGGGCAGATATTCCATCGACCCCGCCATTGCGAGGGAGGTCGCACTGATGGGTCCGCCGGGGGATATCACTCCTCCGGGATATACGACACCGCCTCCAGATATGGAGGATGGCAGGCCTGCGCCCGCGTATACGCCATCTGTCGCTTCTGCTTGGAGGTGTGGAAGTGAGGAGGGGATCACAGAGGAAGCGGTTATGGATGAGAAGGAGAGGTTGAGCCGGAGGGGTTATTGACCTCTGTTTAGTTCTTATTCACGGCTGTTGACATGGTTTTATGGAAGCGATTGTTTCTGGTTTTTTTTTTTTTTTTTTTTTTTGAGTTCGACGGTTTGCCTCGGGATGCGTTTCTCGTACAATACCACAAATTTGATTCCCATTCCCTAGCAGCCTTCACATCGTTCGGAATGAGCGGGGAACCTGAAGACAAGCTTCGAGACATTCGCCCTCTCTCCCCGGGGCCACCCCTGAACCGTGAACAGCCGCACAGCCTTTTCGGTAAGCGTTTGATCTCAGCTATGCATGGCCTAGGCCGGACACACATCAGTCTCCTGCGCACACAGTGATGTGTCGGGTTCACTTAGAGTTCATCTATATGAGCAGTCTTCGTCGCCTGGGGAATCATGCTGCGGACTGATAGTCAATTCTACATTTGGACAACAGCACGCTTCCGCTCGACAGCTTCTTAGTAAGAAACAACGCCACCACTGGAGGTGTCCTTAGCGGCTAACCGTTGAAGACCAATTGTATCGGTTTACAATATCAATGTGAAGGGCACGTCGTTTCTTGTGGGATAGCATCTGTCTTGTTCATGCTGAGGATGCAGGAAAAGTCTGTTATGTTTGTTTGGTCTTTGGATTTGGGTTCAAGCACTTCGCCTGGCCACCCAAAAGTCGGCCATCTAGACGTAAGGTTTACGTGGAGTAATAGCTGCTTGGCGCAGTTCCATGTCACAAGAGTCAGACCATTTACCATGCCACAATACACCAAAACCACTGCCATCAGACATGCTTGCCATTATCTCTATCGTAGCTGCCTTTGATTGCCTCCGACCGTCGGCGCCGCCGTCTAACTTTGCACTCATACACATGAATTTCTGCAACCTACAAGTACAGACCCTCTGGTTCGCTTTCCTGCTTGGTCCGGAGAACTCTCTCGCGGGCCGCGCGGAAATCTGCCATTTGCACACGCATACGGCGCTCGCGAAGGGCGAGCAAACCAGCCTCGGAGCAAATGGCCTTGATGTCGGCACCAGAGAGGTCGTCCTTCTGCGAGATAAACTCCTCTAGCTCCACGTCGTCGTTGAGCGACATCTTGGAGGTGTGGAGTGTGAAAATCTTGCGCTTGGTGTTCTGGTCGGGGTTCTCGAACAGAATCTTTCGATCGATACGGCCGGGACGGATAAGGGCAGGGTCAAGAGTCTCGATCTTGTTGGTAGCCATGATGACCTTGACGTCACCACGGTCGTCGAAACCATCAAGCTGGTTAAGGAGTTCCAGCATGGTTCTCTGGACTTCGCGCTCACCACCGGACGTCGAGTCGTAACGTTTCGTACCAATGGCATCGATTTCGTCAATAAAGACAATCGAGGGGGCGTTCTCGCCAGCAACCTGGTACTATATTAGTGGCGAAATGCAGCAGACAATAAGATCAAGCTTACCTGGAAGAGCTGGCGAACAAGGCGGGGACCGTCACCAAGGTACTTCTGAATAAGCTCGCTTCCTACTATACGCAAGAAAGTAGCTGAGGTCTGGTTGGCGACTGCCTTGGCAAGCAGCGTTTTTCCGGTACCAGGAGCGCCGTAGAGGATAACACCCTTGGGTGGCTTGATACCCATCTCCTCGTACAGCTCTGGATGAAGGAGAGGCAGCTCGACTGACTCTCGAACTTCCTGGATCTGTGTCTCCAAACCACCAATGTCGGCGTATGACTCCGTTGGCGCCTTGTCTAATTTCATGACGCTAACCAGGGGATCGGCATCGTCTGTAAGGACACCAACAATGCTTACGCTCTTGTGGTGAAGGAGGACACTAGCTCCAGGTTCGAGCAAGTCCTTGTCGACGAAGCTCATGATGCTGACGTAGTACTCAGGACCAGTAGTGCTACTCACGATGGCGTGGTCATCGTCAATCATCTCTTCTAACGTGCCAACACCCATTGGGCTGCCACGCATGTCGTCAACCCGACCACGCTCATCGGCGAGACGGTCAACATCGCCCTCAGGGCCAACTGCCGCACCTTCCTTCGCTGCCTTGGCCCTGCGAAGACGTTCCTGATTCTCGACATATTCTTCCTCGAGGATCAGATGATCGTGGATTCTTTGCATACGCAGCAGACGGAGCTTGCATCTGCTGGTGGGGAAGACGGCGGGGAGCTTGGCTGCAGCGCTGGTACCAGCAGCCTTTCTCTTCTTGCGACCGACTCGGGTGGTTGGGCGCGGAGGAGGCTCGTACTTAGGCTTGTCCTTCTACATTGCCAGTTAGCTGATGTCTTCAAAGGGCGGACGAGCGTTGTGATGCATACCTTCTTGTCCTTGTCGTCCTTGCCATCTCCTCCACCACCCATGCCCGACTGGTTCTGACCCATTCTGGCGCACTCTCCGTCTGAAGCTTCTTTATCTGTAGTCTATGTGGATAATCGAAGGAAAAACTCGGCGTGATGGTCGGATGTTGTGGGTGAGAGAGCTTGTGATGATGGATGATGAAGTTGGGTGGATTCCGGAGACGGTAGCAGGGTAGGTAGAAGGCGAGGCTGCTACTGCTTGCGTAGGTAATCACAGCAGCGGTAGTACCTGCCTTGTACCTTACCTTCCAGCTGGACCAAAGCACAGGGCACGGCAGGCGGCAGAGGAACGCGTGCTCAGGTCTAACCCATTTCCGGCAAGCCTGTCCACCTTTCACGTGATCTTTGAGTCAGCTTAGTCACTCAGCTGAGTCAGCCGTCGGGTTTCATTCGTAGCATCAACCACTGTTGCCAGCCAAGTAGGTAAGGCATGCTGCTTGAAAAAGGGAAAGTTGAGTAGTCTAGGTCGGGTGAGATAATTATAAGCATACTCTTCGATTTTAACTATGATGAAGTTTCTCCGAATATTGTCTTTCCGGGTTCGCGATTTGCCCCTTTGGCTCATCGTTCAGTCCTCGGTCACATAATGACATCTTTCGTCCGCCAGGGCCTATTGTACATTTCGGCCTCCTCTGTGTATTTTCTGGGTTTCTGGTGTTGGTTGTCATAAAATGTCTTGCCTAGGATGCCAAAGAACTTATTACTGGCACATACATTGAGTTGAGTGACGTAGGTCATGGTGCTCATCTACCTCTTAAATCAATGCCATTATCTCCCCACACTCGCCATCTGCAGACGAAATGTCGGCGCTTAAGCCAGCTGCATTTGTAAATTATCACTCCAGCTATGCATCAGTGCCCTGTTCAGGTCACACCGTAGTGTGTGTATCCTACGCTGGGGAACTAGGCAAGTGTGTCACAATGGACCTCCACATTCTGCCATCACCATGCTCTCCGTATCCTCAACACCACTTAGTATCATTGCAGCGTTTTACGAATTAGATCCTTTCAGAGACCTTCGCCAGACAATATCCACTTTACCTCCAAACTCATATATTCATTCAGACGCCATTTTGGGAAAATATGTTTTTTGTGGCATATGTTTGGATAGATTTTATGTTTACTATAAACATGAACATGAATAATTTGAATTTAATTAACATGAACACATATAAAAGATGAAGAAAATATGAGCATGAAATCTTAAAACTCACTTAAATTCGACAATACCAAACTTTGGTACTCTTAAATTCAATAACATTCGTTTCAAACTGTTACAGCTTCTTATTTCTGACAATATTTATTTGATTTGAACCATCAGTGACTTTTTCGTGGAAGTGAAACATAACCCGTCTGCCACATTGGAAATTGAGATTGTTTAACATCTTCAGTCATGGGTATACTCCATGTAGTATCTGCTAACGTCCCACACCCACTTCTGGGCACCCCCCACATTTGGGCACCCCATTTACACCAAAAACGCCGTTTTTCGAAATTCTATATTAAACTAAATACTTTACTTATTAAAGAGAATAAATATATATTAAATAGATTAAGACTTAATTATAATACTTAAGTAGCTATATACTAGTATTATTGATAATAAGTATTATAAATTCAAGGTTTAACATTTATAATACTAATTTACCTAGCCTATATCTTAATATATAAAATAGGTAGAGATATTTAACTAATATGATTAGAATTTTTAAGTAAGATATAGTAGATTTATATATTCTTATACTTAGTAAAAAATTCTTTAAGCTTAGAATAATATTTTAAAATTTCCCTTAAGAAAAGTTTCTATTATAGAATTTTAACCCTTAATTATACTATATTTACTAAAGTAATACTTTTAAATCTCTTTTAGATATAATTATATACTTTTAATAAGTATAAATATTAATTTCCTAGATTTTTTAAATAAGTATATATGAGCGAAAATATATTTTTCTAATGTTAAGGAATACTAGTAAGTTACTAGTATCTACTAACATTTTAAAGCTTTTAGTTTTAAACTTCTATATTATAACTATTATTATATTTAAACCTTTATAAAAAATTAGATGGCTATAATTATACTTAACATAGTTTATATATATTTTCTTTTCTTAGTAAGTATAGTAGTTAGTTTAATATAGAATTTCGAAAAACGGCGTTTTTGGTGTAAATGGGGTGCCCAAATGTGGGGGGTGCCCAGAAGTGGGTGTGGGACGTTAACCGATAGTTTAGTTGTTCGAATATTCGTAGGCGCACATTCAGGGGTCAATCGTGATGTGTATTGTGCTTCTTCTTTTCCTAAGACCTGTCCGTATCCCTTACGCGCCTTCTTCCGGCGTGTTCCCTGTGACTAAGCGCACCTAGCGCGGTCCTCGGCCAAACATTCCTCCTAGCGCCTTCCTGGCATCCTAGGCGCTCTGCGTGTGCATCGCTTCCAGCGCCCCTGGCCTACCACCCTTTTTGACACACCCCTTTAGCCTTCGCGGCTCGAGACCTCGGTCCTAGGGCGCTCCTGCGCGCTTCATACGCAGCAGCGGAGGCTACCCTTAGGGGTGGCAGGCCAACCGACTTCTTCCTTATTCCTCTCCTCCTTCAAAGATCCCTCCGCTCCATGCGGTCTCTGCGAGAGGGTCCCTCTCTTCGCGTAGTGGTTCCGTCTCCTTCTTCACCAAGTTGAGCTGTTTTATGAAGTCTTCAAACGGTTGCCTTGCGAGGCTCTTCGTGAGTCCGTCCGCAACAAGGTCTTTCGTTGGTGTGTGGACGACGTTGATGGTGCCGTTCTCAACCTCCTGTCTCAACCAGTGGTTGTGTATATCAACGTGACGAAGCCTCGTCTTTAGAGTCACGAGTTCCTCAGTTACTATTCGAATCGTCTGGAGGTTGTCGCACTGGATCGTTATTCCGCCGCTTGGAATCGTCGTATTAAGAGCACTCAACAGACGGCTAACGAATATAGCTTCGCGTGCTGCTTGTGAGAGGGCGAGAAGCTCTGCTTCTGTCGTTGATGTTGTGACTGTGTCTTGTTTGTTCGCTCTCCATCCGATCAATCCTCCAGCAAGCCGTAGTGCGTACGCCTGAGAGCTCTTTCGATCTAGCGAGTTATCTGCGAAGCTGGCGTCTGATGCGACTTCGAAACTCTTGTTGTTGCCATCGTACTCGAGACTAAGGAAGCAGGTGTCCAAGATGTACCGCAATACTCGATCTGCAGCGCGATGATGCTTCTGAGAGGGATTCTGGTTAAACCTCGCCAGACGGCTTGCAGCAAAGGCGATATCGGGGCGCGTCATCACCGCTAAGTATAGGATCGATCCAATCTTTCGTTGGTATGCCGTTATTTCGCTCTTTGAGGCGTGCTCCTCGGCGGGCAGTAGCTCCTCGTTCGTCATAGGTGTCGTAAATCGAGTGTTCTTCCTCTGTGATCCTTTATGTGTGCCTTGACCAATCAACCGTGCGATCTTCTGTGCGTATGCTGCCTGAGATAGCCAGATTTTCTTCTTGGCTCGGTCGCGCGTGACCTCGATTCCTAGAAACTAGTGAAGAGGGTCTCCGCCTTCCAGGTGGTACTTCTCTTTGAGCCCGTTAATGAGGCGCTCAGCAGCGTTTCTACACTCAGGGGGAAACGCGAGAACACAGTCGTCGACATAGAAGAAGAAGAGCACGCGTCCCTTCCGCCAGCAGCAATTCTCGCCTGCGACGCGTTCCATCCCCATTGCTTTCAGACCGTTCTCTAGATGCCGTTGCCACAGTAGAGGGGACCTGCGAAGGCCGTATAGAGCCTTCTTCAGCCGCAGGACCTTCCCCTGCTGCTCATGGCCCGGTGGAAACTCTATATATACTGTCTCGTCGATCGGAGCGTGGACAAAGGCATTAACTGCGTCGTACTGTAGTAAGGTAAGATCTTGCTGGGCCGCGGTGGCAATAAGGGTTCGGAACGATTGTCCAGCGAGGGTCGCAGCGTATGTATCCTTGAAAGCGTTTTTAGCCTGTTGATCTCCTCGAACAACGATCCTTGCCTTGAGTTTCTGGAGTGCTCCCTTCTCGTCCGTTTTATAGACGTATACCCACCGGCAACCCAGAATCTGGTGCCCGGCGGCTTCTCTACGGTCCACGACGACGTATGTATCTATCTCATCGTGGCTCGCGAGGTGCTTCTCTTCCGCTTCTCGGAATCCCCTCTCGTAGGGGTGGCCGTATAGATCGGCATGTTTCTGAGGCACTGGGGGTAGTACGCCTGCTTGGCTTTTTCGCTGGGGCAGAGGACGGTCCTCTCCCGGAACGCTAGAGGCCACGGTCTCAACCGCGGGCCCCCCGTCACCTGACACGGGCCTACCGTTGTGGGAGCTTAGCCCAGAGGGAAGGTCTTCCTTTACCCTCGAATCAACGTGGTTTCTTCCCTGACGGAGGTCGAAGGCACGCTCACACCCAGGGTTTCTAAGACTCCTCCTGGGCCCAGGGGCAGGGTTCATACCATTACCACGTCCGGCTACGGTGAGACCTTCGAGTCTGTTGTTCCAACATACTACCGCTTCCAGGCTGGTATCGGCGTTCTTCGCCTTTTGCTTCATCTTCACTCGTTTTCTACCCGTTCTAGTGCTGCCGAGGAAAGCGGCTTGCCAGGAGGTACGCGGAGTGGTAATTGGAAACTCTTCGTGGATCGATTCGCGTGCATGAACCGCCTCAGGAGCGATCGAAGCACGTCTCTTCCTCCACCCCTTCACTCCGAGTGCCTCCTCAAGGCCTGCGAAGAACGAGGTGGGTGGCGTCCGCGGTGGTGTATTGAGTTCGAATCGTGACTCCACGTACTTAGGCGACGGCGGTGCGGTGTATTCTTGTGCCTCTTCGTCTTCAATGTACTGGACTTCATCGACTTCTTCGTCTGCGGTGTGTGCGTACTCTGGAGATGTTATCCCTGTGGGCGAGACCTCTAGTCGCGCGAGAAGAGCGTTGAGCTCGTTCACGTCGAGGTCTTTGAGGTCATCCCGCAGCTCGTTGATATCTCTATTAAAGAACTCGGTTTCCCTGAACACAACGTCTCGCGTTGTGATAACGCGGGCAGTAAGCGGATTCCACACGCGGTAGGAGTTGCTAGTACTGTACCCAATGAGGTAGCCTATCCATCCTCTCGGTTGAAGCTTTCTCGACTTATTCCTGCCCAGCTGTGCGTCTGTTGTGAGCGCATACACTTTGCAGCCGTACGCTCGAAGGTGGGCTTGATGAGGCTTCCCGAGATCTGGGCCGCGAAACTGATTATGGAACCGTTCGAAGGGCGTTTTCCAGCCGCGCGCCGCTGACGGCGTCCTGTTGTATAAATACGTCGCGGCGGCAACGATTTCGGGCCACAGCATCTCAGGGAACTTGCCTGCCTCGCGAAGGGTCCTAGCCTTCTCCTTGATAACTGCTGCGATTCGCTCGGCGCCTCCGTTCTGGGCCTGCGTATTGGGCGCAGAGGGTTCGAGGACCACCACTTGAGATTGAAGGTGAGTGGCGACTTGCTGATGAATCGTTGCAACCTCGCGGTCACATTCGAAGACTTTGACCTGTATATTATATTGCGTCTTCATCATGGCCATGAAGAGATCGAATACCTCGAGGAGCGTCTCTGTTGTACGGTCCTTAAGGTAGTAGTCCCACGAGTATCCTGTTAGTCGGTCAGAGAGTATTACCGTAGACATATAGCCTCCGTATCCTTGAGGGCTAATCGAGTGAAAGTCGAACGCCACTCTTGATCCTGGTTTTGCCCACGCTATAGACTCGCGTGGGGCACGTCGAACAATTCGTCTTGTCTTCCCTTTTCTACACGCTGAGCAGTCAGGCAGCTTGTTGCGTAGGTCACCCATGATCTTCACGCCTCGAGAGGCGTTGACGAGGTGCTCCAGCACCCCCTCGCCCGGGTGACCTAGTCTCTGGTGCTATCTGAACGGTCTTCCTGCGAGTCTTTTGCGCGGTGTAAACGATGTGTGGCGCTGCTTCGCCTGCGTGACGAATCCTGCTTTGGTATTGTCCTCGATAACCTGTTGTCCATGGAGATCGTGAAGGTAGCAGACGAGTGTCCCATCCGCTCTTCGTACGCAATTCTGGCCTGGGCGGTTATCCCACCACATCCCTCGTTGCCGTAGAAGGCGGTAGGAGACTAGATTCGTTGCGAATTCTTCGCAGTAAGCGACGTTGTATAAGCGGAGTCTTACCTTCTTCCCCCGCTCAGCGTCAGCCGTTATATCCACGTTTCCATACCCTAGGATTGGGACTTGTGAGGCTCCTGCCCATAGGTAATCCCCTGGTTCAGCTGCTCTGAAACCTGAGAATCGAGCCCGGTTGTTGAACACGTGTAGCGATGATCCTGAGTCGTATATCGCAGAGTTGTGTAAGGGGTACTCAGTCCGGATCATGAACGCAGAACGGTCACTCGTATACTGCTTCCTCCACGATGCGTTGGCTGACCCCATACACCGACCATACAGTCAGGTCTGCTTCGCTTCCTTCTCGCGTTGTTCACGGATCTTCTTCACGCGGTCCGCGAGGTCGTCATCGGCCTTGAGACGCTCGGTGACCTTCTTCATGATGTCGTTGCTGGGCCTCCATCCTTCATACGCTTCCTCTGGGAAGCAGTAGAAGCAGTTGGCAAGTAGGTGTCGTGGCAGATCACATCCGTGACACGTTGGCATCTCGTTTTGGGTCCGCGAATCGGCGGCCCTATGTCGCTTCTTGGTTGTACTCCGAGGCATGGTCTCCTTGGGTCCTTCTCTTGTTGTGGCAAAGGCACCTCTTGAGGCTCTTGGTCCTGTCGATAGGGTATCTGCGTGGATTCGTATATATCGTCGTACTTCCGCAGAGATCTCGCTGATCGAGGGGTTGTCCGACTCGTGGAACTTCGCCTCGAACGTGGCGTGGAACGCAGAAATAGCGGTCTTCGCAATGACCTTTAGGAAGTCCTCGCTCCACTCGCTGAAGTCCCTTGTCTGGGCAAGGTTGACCTCTTGTCCCTTCAACATTGCGGCCTCCCATTGCTCGAGCCAGTTCTCGATCTCGGCCTTCGTGGTTATCCGCTTTGTAGCCGCTTGCTTGACGGTCTTCTCGTACTCCTCACGCGCGGCGCTCTTTTGTTCATTGTTCGAGATCGAGGCCACGCCCTTCAGCTTGACCATCCAGGCGTGGAGGGTCTCCGTAGGTTTACAGCACGCATTGACGTACTTCTCGGCTGCTGTCGATAGGACACAGTTGCGGAGCTCTCGTAGAGCAGCTGCTTCACGCTCGTAGATACGGATATCATGGTTGTAGTCGCTCCGGAGCTGTACATACTCCTCACTGTCCTCCTTGACAAGGTCTTGGAGGCGTCTAGCCGTCTCGTTCGATCGAACTTCTTCGATATCTGGTGTCTGTGACACCTCGATGATTGATCCGCGGGTATGTCGCGGTATACCTTTCTTCTTGTAGTCGGAGAAGGCCGGAGGCTCCGGCTTCGGCATCCGCTTCTCGGGGTTTTCGGCGCCGGGATCCACTTGCTCCCAGACGTCCAAGTCGGTGGCTTTACCCTGGAAAACCTTATACCAGGTTGGCCATTGACTGGGGTTGTTGAGGACAATGGATTCCATCTTTGCTTATGTCGTTATTGATTCGGGCTTATCGCGTGGGTTTTGAGGGACGTAAACGGGGTGTTCGTGTGTTTTGCAGTTGATCGGATCTTCGAATAGCTTCGTTTTGCCTGTAGGTAGGCCAATTGGTAGGTAATCAGACTGTTAATTGTTCGAATATTCGTAGGCGCACATTCAGGGGTCAATCGTGATGTGTATTGTGCTTCTTCTTTTCCTAAGACCTGTCCGTATCCCTTACGCGCCTTCTTCCGGCGTGTTCCCTGTGACTAAGCGCACCTAGCGCGGTCCTCGGCCAAACATTCCTCCTAGCGCCTTCCTGGCATCCTAGGCGCTCTGCGTGTGCATCGCTTCCAGCGCCCCTGGCCTACCACCCTTTTTGACAATATCACCTTAGGCCCGTGGAAAGGAACCGGTATAGGGCCCTAGGATGGTACGGCCTACAGAAGGGACTAAGTGCCCGCTTTGGGCCAACCCAGCTAGTTAATTACAGCCAGCCAGCCAGCCAGCCAGCCAAACAGTTACGCCCAGCCAGTTAATTACAGCCAGCCAGCCAGCCAGCCAGACAGTTACGCCCAGCCAGACAGTTACGCCCAGCTAGTTAATTACAGCCAGCCAGCCAGCCAGCCAGACAGTTACGCCCAGCCAGTTAATTACAGCCAGCCTTAGGCATACCCCCCTATTACGCCTCGCACTAATAGAGGCCTAAGGAAGTCATGTTATTAAGCCGTTTAAAGTCATGTTTAGGCAGCCGAAACGATCGGGACGATCGTCTTTTTCGGGACGGGCACCTGTCACAGTTCTATTAGACACAACAGTAGGGATGCCACAGTTATGGGGCTGCCAGTGTGGCTGCCAGTGGGGCTGCCACACGTGGGGCGATACTGTCGCCCTAGACCGCCCTATAGGTATATTAGACCACCTGTTCGCTAGACCTAGGATAGACCTAACCTAATAGACAACAATGACTAGAACGACTTATTAACTGTGACAATAGGTTGATTACTTTAATCAAGGCATAGAAGTAGGTTTTAGCTATTCCTTTTAGTATTAGGGGAAGTGCCTTGTTATATTAAGAGGTATAAATTCCTAGCATTCTATAGTAATCTATAAATACTAGCATCTTTTTTTCGAGTATATCGTATATATCGCCGCTATATTTTATATCGTCGGGGTATAGTTTTGCAAATTCTATTAATTACTTTCCGATACGGTCTATTAACTTATATAGTTAGAAGTCTATTAACGGAGAGACCGTAAGATATAGCGGTCGGTATAGTAGTTGCTACTATTATTATTCTTATAGAGGAGGTAGCTATAAGGTTGGTTCGACTCTTCCTCCTATACTATTAGCTACTATTGCCGGTCTCGTGATCTCTTCGTAGAATTCGGGGTCTTTTATCAAAGCCTTTAGGTTGCGATATCTCTTAACGCCTTATTCGAGTTCTTAAGGTAACTAGTAGTAGAATTCTTCCTTTTTAAAAGCTAATACTATATTTTTTAAGATTTTCTTACTATCTATTTCGACGTAGACGCTATTACCGATTAAATAGTCTTTAAAAAATCGTAGGATTAGGGGAGGTATGTTCTAAAAGTCTTCTTCTAACTAGTCGGCGAAATCGGGAGAAACTTTGTTCTATAACTCAAAGCCTATAAGATTCCTCTTCTTATAAGTCTCAAGTAGGAAACCTATATAGGAACCTAGTTGCTATAAGCTAGCGTTTATAAGGTCGATTGCCTAGTTGCTTTATACTACTAGATCGATTATACTTTCGATTCTCTATAAGATAGGGATTATTAATTAGCTTTTAGTAGTAACGCTACTTATAAGCGATCCTTCTCGTAAATTTCGCTTTATTCTAACAGTATAAAAGGATTACTTCTATTTAGAATCTTAAATTCTAATCCTTAATAGCGTTAGCTACGATTAGTATAAGATATAAGCCTAGAAGTAGGAGTTAAAAGACGATTCGGGATATTATGATTCTAAGGGGAAAGAATCGTAAAATCGGGATTTTCGTCGGTTCGTCGTTTATTTCCGTCAGCGCCGTTCTTGCTAATATTCTCGAAGGGTATAAAGGTATATATAGGTCTCGAATTAGTAAAGAGAAAGTTCTACCGTAGATTCTCTCGTAAATCTCTCTTTCTCTTTAGGCTTTGCTCCTTACTATTAAGAAGTTTAGAATCTAGTAGATAGTTAGCCTTATAACGCTTATAACTATGTACGTTTCTCCTAAGCCGTAGCCTCGGAGGCGTATACGTATAGCTATATAGGCGGATTACTACTAGTAGTCTCTGCTTGCCTTTCAGCATATTCTTCTTCTAGTAGGGAGGTCTCTTATAATAAGCGCCTTGCGGTTAGCACCTTGTCTAGGGATTTATTAAGAAACTAGCAGGCGCTTCGTAATTAGTACTATGCGTAGGGGATAGTTATAGTTAGGGAAGTTATTATCCTTTATAAGATTCGTAAATCTTTGCCTTTATAACGTAAAAAGGTTAGAAGACTATCGATTTAGTAGGTTTCTTCTTCTAGTAATTAAAAACGCGTAATAGAACGCTTTTGCTAGCGATAATTAGCTACAATTAACCTTATCCCGCCTAAGGTAAGCATAATAGTCCCTAGGTTACTCGAATAATCGGATTACTAGTAGATTCGAGGAAAAGAAGCTTTCTTCTACTAGTTTCTATAGATCCTAGTTACTCTCGCTTCTTCTCTCGTTAGCACGAAATCCCTACTTTTACCTAGGCTTAGGTATCTAGTTTAAGAAGTCGTCTCTTCTAGTATTAACCTTACTAATCTACGGTTTATCCATAGCAAAGTAGTAATTATAAAGTTAACTAAATTAATAGCAACTATAAGGTTTACTACTAATCAGTATAGGTTTCACAAGGGGTAAAACGGAATTCCGTTTGTTAATAATAAATAATAGTAAATTAGTTCTAATCGATAGTTTATGATAGTTGAAAGTAGTGTTGTTGACTAGAAGGTGGGGATATTCCCCCTTGGCCTGTCACGTGGGTCTGGGAGGCTTGGGCCTCTCAGCCTGGCGGGCGTGTGGCTGGAAGTGCCACACGACTCCGTATTC